GTTTTCGACCTGCTTAACACAATCGTGGGGTCATGGTTCGACGCTTATTCCAAATGTAGACCCTACCACCATTATGCATATTCAGATATTATAATCTCGAGTTTAAGCTACAATTTCACGTTATCAATTTTTTTGTAACATAGTAAGATTTAGACTCAATTTTTTATATTGTGGAGTGAGTTTAAACGAAGATTGCTTATGAATTCCAGCTTTAAAGTTTCCATGATATAATGTTTGTTGCAATGTGATGAACATTTTTGAGATAATATATTGTTAACAGTCTTCAGCATATATAAAAAATGTTTGGTAAATCGAAATGTGCATGCCTTTCGCGCTCATGCTATACGTCAATTTTTGAATTATTTTAAATACACACAAGTTTTCACCAATAACCTTATCTTCGTAGTTCAATTCGATTTTTTCCCTTTTTACCTTGCGTACCTCGGCACGTGCCTTGTTTGCTTAAGGATAATCTGCCACTGTTATCAACTAACAAAACGAGCCCAAACTCAGGACACCTATTAACTATTACTACTCTCCGAAGAGTTCCGGTTGTATTCACCGTAGTATACCTTAAGGTCGCTTCGTCAAATCCGGGGTTAAGGTCTCATCATAACTAACATAACGAGCACAATCTCGCCACACCTAGTTCTACTCGTCGAGGATTTCCTGTAGCAGATATCGAAGTACACCTTCAGGTCACTCCATAAAGTCCAAGACGTATAAGCATAGAAATTATATATAAGATGATAGATATCTTATTATTGGGATTGACCAAAATAAACTATGTACTGTTTTATTTATAAAATAAAATTACAATTTTCTACATGCGGCTTGTTATTGTTCTACAGACAATACCACCATCGTTGTTTCACAGATCCTATCTCCAAAGATACAGATAAAAAATACAGATAACGATTAAAGAAATATTACATTTTCTTTACATACATATAAATCCTACGTACTTTTAGCGAAACAATATATTGTAATAAAAATATGTGATTTTAAAAATAAAAAATTAATTAGAACTAAACCAAACAAAATTCAACTGCCATTTACATTCCATGGCTTCCCACATAATATATGAAGAAATTTAAAAATAGATTGAGTTGAACAAGTGATATTTTCAAAAGTAATCGTGTTTACTCCTCCATGCGAACTTGATAAATCTTACACCATAAGCCACTAAAACCATGTTTTTAGTGTAAAAATGGCAACTAATCGTTTTAAAAAGAAATTAAAATGGCAATCATTTATTTTCTGATAATATACTTTTTATGTACTTTTTATTTTCTATGTTCAATATGATGGTTAGATATGATTTCATGCGACAAAACGTTGGATTCTTGATTTTTAGACGCTGGTAGAACATACCTACGCGCTTTGATAAGGGTGACAAACGAGCACATAGTCTACCTGATAGTAAGTGAATGCCGTGGCCCATATACATATACATTTCTGTCGTCGATTGAAAATCAAAATACCGATGCGTTGTCACTAATGAGGATAAATGGAATGCCTCGTTTCCAATTAAAAGGGTCTCCGGTTCTCTATACTCATCATACGAAACACAGCATCATTAAGCTGCTATTGCACACTTTTATTTTGTGAGAGCGTGGTCAATCCTCGGTCGAGTCTCTCGATGCCTCGGCAGACTTGAAGGTTCGGACCTGTCCATCCTTTGGCTACGCGTAGACAGCGACGACCATCCGCGCGTCTACGGGTGCCTCTATAGGTCCCATAGCGGTAATGCCGAAACAGACCGACTATTCGACCACGTCCAAATGGCTGCAGATTCGTTGCTACAGCAGATCCCCTCCGCAGAGATCGTGATCCTCGGCGACTTTAACGCCCATCACGCCGAATGGCTTGGTTCACGTTTAACCAATCACGCGGGGAGATCTGTTCATGATTTTGCCTTGGCATATGGTCTGATACAACTGGTTACTTCGCCTACGCGGATTCCAGATGTGGAGGATCATGCACCTTCCCTGTTGGACCTTCTGCTGACCTCTCACCCGGACGGATATCAGATTTCCGTCGACGCCCCTTTAGGCTCCTCGGACCATTGTCTGGTCCGGAGTGTGGTGCCACTCACGCTGAAATCGCGGTTGCATTCTGCGGGCTGCCGCCGTGTTTGGCACTATAGGTCAGCCGATTGGGATGGGATGCGGTCTTTCTTTGCATCCTACCGTTGGGGGCGGGTTTGCTTCTCGCCGGATGATCCCAACGTTGTTGCGGATCCTTTTGCTGATGTGGTACTTCAGGGTATGGAACTTTTTATTCCTTCCTCTGTGGTGCCCATTGGAGGCAAGTCTCAGCCATGGTTTGGTCGCTCCTGTAAAATAGCATCATGCTATAAGCAGGAGTGCTACCAAGCCTGGGCTGATGCATCAGCGTCCCGGGATGTAAACACCAGTGCTCTAAAAAAGAAGTATAATTCCGCCTCTAGGTCCTTCAAAAGAGTCATTGCCAAGGCAAAGTCAGAGCACATAGGCAGAATTGGTGAGAAACTAGTTCGCCTTCCTTCTGAAACCCGTGCATTCTGGTCTCTCGCCAAGGCTGTCCAGGGGAATTTCTGTCAGCCATCTCTTCCATCTCTGCACAGGGAGGACGACTCACTGGCCCATACCGCAAAGAAGAAAGCCGATCTTCTAGGCTCTTTCTTTGCGTCTAACTCGACTCTCGATGACGGGGGAGTACTCCGCCGACCATCCCGCGGTGTGAGTGCTCCATGCCGGAAGTGCACTTCACACAGCGCTCGGTTCGCAAAGCACTCCTCTCCCTGGACATCCACAAGTCGAGTGGGCCTGACGGAATCCCCCCAATTGTGCTGAGGACGTGTGCTCCAGAGTTGGCACCGGTTTTAAAGCGTCTTTTCTGGTACTCCTACTCCCTAGGCGTAGTCCCAAAATCATGGAAGATGGCTTACGTCCACCCGATCCCTAAAAAAGGCGACCGCTCTGACCCGTCCAACTACCGGCCAATCGCCATCACCTCCTTGTTCTCCAAAACAATGGAGTCCATTGTAAACTGCCAGCTCATGAGGTACCTTGAAGATCACCAGCTGATTAGTGACCGCCAATACGGTTTTCGCCGTGGTCGGTCAGCTGGTGATCTTCTGGTCTACCTAACTCACAGATGGGCGGAGGCAGTAGAGTTCAAGGGGGAAGCATTGGCCGTTAGTTTGGACATTGCGAAGGCCTTCGATCGGGTTTGGCACAAAGCGCTTCTTTCGAAGCTCCCTTCCTATGGGCTTCCCGAGAAATTGTGCGATTAGATCACCAGCTTTCTTGCAGATCGGGGGGATCAAGGTCGTTGTAGACGGTGCAAGCTCCGACTGCAAGCCTATTAATGCTGGTGTTCTACAGGGCTGCGTGCTATCGCCAACGCTGTTTCTTCTGCATATCAAGGACATGTTGCATACCCGTAACATTCCTTGCTATGCGGATGACAGCACTGGTGATGCTCTTTACACTGGCCGAGCCAATATTTCTCGGGAAAACGTCTCCGAGTGCCGGGACAAACTTGTGTCTGAAGTCGAGTCTCTGCTGGACAGAGTCGCGGATTGGGGGCGACTAAATCTAGTCCAGTTTAACCCCCAGAAGACACAAGTTTGCGCGTTAACCGCTAAAAAGAACCCCTTTGTCGTATCCCCTCAGTTTCAAGGCACTCCCCTTGTTGCCTCAGCCAGTATCGGAATCCTCGGCGTCGACATATCGAGTGACGTGCAGTTTCGTAGTCACTTGGAAAGGAAGGCCAAATTGGCCTCTAAAAAGCTTGGCGTGCTCAGCAGAGCGGGACAGTATTTTATGCCGGCACACCGCCTGCAACTTTACAAGGTGCAGGTTCGGCCGCACATGGAATACTGTTCCCATCTCTGGGCTGGGGCTCCCCAGTACCAGCTTCTTCCACTTGACCGCATCCAGCGCAGAGCGGCTCGAATCGTCGACGACCGAGTGCTTTCCGATCGGCTCGATTCACTGGCGCTGCGAAGAGATGTTGCATCTCTTTGCGTATTTTATCGCATCTATCACGGGGAGTGCTCTGAGGAATTGTTCGGATTAATCCCAGCCGCCAAATTTCGTGAACGCACTACACGTCAAACGTCCCGATACCATCCACACCATCTGGATGCTTGGCGGTCCACCACTGTACGTTTCACAAGGAGTTTTCTTCCACGTACAACCTCTCTGTGGAATAGTTTACCACCGGCGATTTTTCCGGACCGATACGACCTGGAGACCTTCAAGAAAAGAGCTTACTCCTTTCTAAAGGGCCGGCAACGCAACCGCAATTCTCCTGGTGTTGTGGTTGATCATGGGCGGCGGTAGTCACTTAACATCAGGTGAACCGCATGCTCGTTTGCCCCTTCTTCTATAAAAAAAGAGTCTATTCATTGTAATACCACATAGCTGCAGCCATGCTTTATGGTTGCAGCACGAATGGGTCGGCGCGAATGTCCCCATTCGACGCTACGCTCGGACGGACTACGGTCTTACAGAATATCAGCATCAATTAGCTGCATAATGCTGTTGTGTTTCGTATGGTGAGTATAGAGAACTGGAAATCCTTTTTACTGGAAGCGAGGCAATTCATCTTAGCCCTCATTGGGGGGCAACGTATCTGCATTTTAATTCCTACTAGAGAATAGACGCAAATGTTTATGGGCCACATCATCTACTTACCATCGAGCGGACTGTGTGCTCGTTTGTGACTCTATTACTATGAAAAGTTATTATTGCCTATTTCTGCCGCCAAGCAGCAGTGTACAGCTGCATTCCGGTCTGAAGGTTATAGAGAGCCAGTATAATATTCACAGGATGTGAGGCATTCCATGTTAGTTCTCTGAAATGACAACTCATTTGTCAGGCTTTGTTTACAGTTGGTCACAGATGTCCATGGGCTGCAGTGGTCTCTTCACGTTACTACTCACATACATATTTCCAGTAAAATTTTCTTTTGTTTACCAGGAAACATTTATGTCTTTCCAGGTGATAATGGCGACGGATCCGGCACAAGTAACTGGAGCAACTACACCCGGCGCAGACAGTTTAGGTCCGGATACAGGTCAGGCGTTAGTGGCACAGGCTCCCAAGAAACCGGCGAGACCTAGAGGCAAGCCGCAACCTGAGAAGCCGAAGAGGAGTCTATTTTGTTTAGGTCTTAAAAATCCACTTAGAAAATTGTGCTACGATATAGTTGAGTGGAAGTATCCTTTTAAACAACAACAAAAAATATAAAGATTCACTCTTTGCTTAACTCTTCTTCATTCTTCAACAGTCCGTACAATACCACTACTAAATATGGGCCCTCCACTCTGCCCTCCCAAATCCTCTCTCCCTTAATTAAATTAGGCATTATTTTGCGAAAATCCATTATATTAAAGATCGTAGTAATTAATTAGCTGACATCCGTGTAACATAATAAAATGATGTGTCTTACCTACTTTGAAAAGCACCTCCCGTCCTCCCCCAATAGCGTGCACAATTCTCGTCACCACTAATTTCAACACCAATATTCCCAACCCCGTGTAGTGGCGGGTAAGAATACCCACTACCCCATATATTCCCGTGGGTGTAAGAGCCGACAGAAGGAAGTTAAGGCAGAAAACGGGCAACAGCATCTTTTTGGTAACAGCAAAATAACAATAAAAAAAGATGCGATTGCCAACCCGCTTGCCAAGCGTGGCAGTTATCAGTGGCATCTTTGGGCGAAGCCTATGTTTAGCAGTGGTTTTGTGAAGGGCTGTAATGGTGATGATGAGTCCCAACATCACTACAACACTAAGAAAGACACTGCAGCATCGATAATACGACATATTCTTAGGTAATTAAATTTTAACGTCTTAATTTTTTTTCGCCTTTATCGTCAAGTTTGGCAGGTGCTGCTTCTGGCCGCCCAAACCGGTATTTTGCGCGTTAATGTTTAGTTTTACCGTGATCTGTCGGAAGTTATAAAATTATTCAGACTTTTGTAATAGTCGTCTTTTACGACACCCACACAGTTTGCCACTTTAATATTATTAAAAATTGCTACGAACACTAGACTAGTCGGCGACTTCAACATGTTATATGATAATGATTTCATTTACGCGAATTTTTATATTATTTTATTCAATGATATTATAATTTTTTTATTCAATGTTATATGATACTAAAAAAAGTGAAAAAAAAATTATAGACTTTCATATTTAAAACTCATCAGAGCATAGTAGTATCAAGTAGACCTGTTTACAGGTTCAAAAGCACCTGTACAATCTGTTCGAAGAATAATTTATAAACATGACTGCCTCGCTGGTGTAGTGGTTGTAGTAGTGCAACCGTTGGTCATGGGGTCCCGGGTTCGAATCCCGGTCGGGCCAATAAAAAAACAGACTATTGAGTTATACGTCAAGAAATTCTGATTCGGAGTCAGGAAGTTGGTGATGTCCCACCCCCGTGCCTCGGAAAGCACGTAAAGTCGTTGGTCCTGCGCTTGATCTCTCTCCGGTCGTGTCGGTTTACCGTCTCACCATATTATGAGAATGAGGGAATGGAAAGTGCAACTGCGTTTGCGCCTACACTACGACACTATAATTCTGTTCAGCGCATATGGTTAGCCTCAGTTGAGACTGACTGCCGTGACTGAAATTCGATCTGGAGGACATTATTATTTAAAAACACTGGAATCTCCTTATGTAATTTCCTTAAATAACTATCAGACCATTTGAATATATGATATTAACGACAATTTTTGCAAATTGCATAGCGTTAGCAGTGTTTACGCCTTATCCGAACGGTGATACTAATAATACTAATCAGATATTGGTAAGTACTGAGTAATTTTTAGTACACCTAGATTTTGTCTGTTACATTGCCCTTGCGTATGAAATTGTGTTTTTTTAATACTGGCCAGTTTGATGTTTAATATCTTGCACTCAACATGGAATTCGAAATTCAAACGAATGTCATAACTTTGGTTTTGGGGTTTTGATGGAAACTGGACTGCCACCGCATTGCAGATCCTATATTATCGTTTAAATAAGTGGTGCAGTTTTATGTATTAAGTGTATGGGCATGTGAAACATTAGTAATAAAACAAAGGGTGTGATGATGAATGAATCTCATGGCGGTGTCAACCATAGAATGCTATAATACACAATAGAATGACTGTCAACCTTATTTTGTACGACGATAGGCATCGCCGGGAATATACAAGCAATAACGTCGTATTATCACTACTAAAAACCCAATTCGCTATGTTGACAGATAGATTTTAATACATATTTATTTGTAAATAGCGTGCAATTTGGCATTTTCTAAATAATCTGCATGAGAAATTTGGAAACGATTGTAACGTCAAAACACATCTTGTTTTGACATTTATACGTGTGAATTGACGTGTTAGTGACATTTTAGTGGCTACACGGGCTCCGCCCACTCCCCCGTTCTAATGTACTCGTTGTATTATAGTATTCTATGGTGTATTGTTTTTTAGGTAGAACCTGCAATATGAACTTTAAAGGAGATCGTATTTTGAAAATTTGATATCGGCAGTCTTACTGATGGCATGAATTTAAGAAAAAAAATGAAAATAAATTGCCATTAATTTTTAAAATCAGTTTACTCATTATTTGTTTTCTCGCCATATGGTATTTTTCTTATAATATATAGTTTTAACCGTGATCATAGAAAACGTAACACTTTCAGTTTCCGATTTACGGATACAATAGTAAGACAATAGCAATGACCTCAGTATATGTAGCACACGGAACAGGGAATGGGTTAAAATGTCACGTTATTGTCCAAAAATAGTATGTCAACGCTTTGTATGGACTAGGTACAAAATAAATGCGCAACGTGAAATGTCACTAATAAAGCAAATAACTATGTTATTCTTGTCTCTCATGCTTTAAGCTTACTATTATATATATTATAATAGAAATAAATAAAGTATTGTATTTGGCAGATAGACCGGTAAGCCTTTGTCTACCATCTGCACAGACATTCGTGGTCGTTACCAGTCAGTGAAATCTTTTTACAGAACAATAGTGACAAACAAGCACACAGTCAACCTGACGGTAAAAGCCTGAGGACTAAGTTAGAATGCTTTGTTTCCAGTAAAAATGGTCTCCAGTTTTCTACACTCACTATACAAAACACAGTAGCATTAAGCTGTTATTTTACGCTGGTATTCAACAAACAATGTGAAAGCGTGGTCTTAGATAGTCTAGGTCTTCTCAGAATAGCTGCTACATAATATTTATTTTCATATTTATTTTCCAGGAAAAGGTGGAGTGGGTTTTTATGGTAATTTTTACGGGAGAATGTATAATGAAAATTATAGCATACGGCTTCTTATTGCATCCCGGTGCTTATTTAAGGAATACTTGGAATAGTTTAGATTTTACTATAGTTACTATTGGGTAAGTAGTAATGATATTATATTAACAGCAATATTATAAATCAGAAGATCTATGTATTCTTATTTAACCATCGAAATGCAGATATATATATTAAAGATGTGAAAATACTCGTAATTGAAATGGTACGTCTATCCTAGTTTAAAGAGCACCTAATACATTCTCAATACAATTCCACTGAGCTTACAGTCCTTCACAAATTCACAGCTGATTAAAGGGGAAGCCAAGAAATGCAGCAAAACCTTACGATGCCTAATTTAGAAAACGAAATACGTGCCCATTACGTGCCATTACGTAACATTGACATTAGTATGTTATCTAATGTTAGTGGTACTGGTACTGGGCTTAGCGGTGGCAACACGTAATAACAGTACACACAAGTCTGGGATGAAAGGAGGTGCTCTTCAAACTGGGTAATGCGTATTTTATATTTTACGCGGATCTTAGTTCTTAACTAATTAATAATTATAATGGTTATGACTGACTCTTTGGTCTAGTGGCCGTAAACGCAGTTGCTAATCATGAGGTTCTGGGTTTGAATCCTGTGTCGGGCAAAAATCAGTTATTAGGGTTTTGAGTCAAGAAATTCTCAGTAATAGCTCAGGTTGTAGGCGGTGTTTCACCCCCGCGCCTCGGAAAGCACGTATTGCCGTAGGTCCTGCACCTGATCTGTCTTCGGTCGTGTCGGAATACCGTCTCATCGGACTATGAGAGTGAGGGAATAGAGAGTGCATCTGTGCTTGCGTATACACTATACACTTGGGCACTATAAACCTGTCCTGCGCTAGTCTCCATCGAGACTGGCCGCCATGACCTAAATTCGGTCTGGAGAACATTATTAATTAGTATATTTTACTTAGTAATAATAATAATAATAATACTTAGTAATTTGTTAGTATTTGTAAATGATAGTGTCAATCACAATATCATTTATAAATACTAACTCCAAAGTTTTTTGCCGGTTCTTTACTGACTAGGTTTTGTGTTTACTAGATTTGACTTTCATAACAACTTTAAAGAAGTATAAATCGATTTAAAAAGTTTTGACTCTGACTTTAATTTTCACTTTTTAAGATGAATTGGAGATGTGTAATTGGAATTTACTCATCGCTAGTGTTCAATCCACAAGAAAAGAACCTACTTCCTCCATGAAAGTGCGTCAGTAAATCATCTATTTTTCGGATGTTCCCGTGAACTACAAGATCATTTTCCCTTTCCCTTCTATATAAAGAACATAATATATTCTACGTACTATAATTATGTATGTCTATGCTACTTTTACATCGTTCGTACAAATGTCGTAAGAGGCGACGGAGGTAAACTGAAACAAAAATGGGCAATAACATCTTTTTGATAAGGTATCAAAAAGTAAACGGCAGTAACCAACATGCTTGCCAATTTTGTTGACTATGGTAAATATATACCCCCAATAAAGCAATCTATGGGAGAGGCACATATTCAGCAGTTGTGTTTAAGTATGTCATGTATGAAAAATAAATATTTTTATTATTTTTCAGCATAATTAGCATGGTTTTACAATACATTTCCAAAGACTCGTTTGATGTGAAAGCTTTGAGGGCTTTCAGGGTACTGCGGCCACTTCGCCTGGTGTCCGGTGTCCCAAGTTTGTATTATTTAATATTCTTAAATTATTAAATGTTGTGTGGGTTTTAAAATTAAATAAAGTGCTGGTTGTAAATTTAAGAAATCATTAAGAAATTATTTCTTAAAGTTACGCGAACACTACACATTGAATAAAACTATTTATACGGATTGTATCGCGTTTAGTTAACTTATTTTTGATTCCCAACATTTCGGGTGCTTTACAGCACCCATGGTCACGGGGTGTTTTAGATGTTTGACGTCCCAATGACATAGTTATACCGGCTACGTTTGGTTTTTGAATATTAATTTTAGGTCCGATCTATGAATCTGTGAACATGTTCAAGATCATCCCCACCATCAGATTTGATAAACCACAAATCCTCGCAAAAGAACTCCGTTTCCTACAAAGAATGATACGCGAGAATATTAAAAAAAAACATGCTAATTTCAATAGCGAAGATGGATGGGTGCTGCCATATGCTTGGGATCCTATAATTAACAAAATTAAAACTAAATCAAGACCAAAGCATACCGCTGCAAGACTTCAAGATACAGTAAGCAAGTGTATTCTGCTTGGATCGGACCAAAATTAATTTTCAAAAATTGAAGGTAGCTAGGCTAACGATGACATTGGAATGTCAAAAATCTCAGTGCACCCCGTAACCATGGTTGCTATCAGCAACCATGGTAAACACAGCAGTATTAACCAACCAGCACCCGAAACGTCGGGAGTGAAACAAAAGTTGAAAATAAGCTGCCTTCCTTGGGGAAGGCCTATGTTCGGCAGTAGACACGTAATGATGAAATAATACTATCTGTGGTTAAACTTTATAGCCAAAGTGCTTAACTTTATTTCTAAAATAAAAAAAAATAATACGCTTGCCAGTTCAATGCAATCAAATCGGTTCAACCGTTTTCGAGAAGTTGGTGAACATACATTAAAAAAATCATACGCGTTAATTATAGAACGTTCTCGTAACATACTCTATAAGAATCAATCTTAATTTTACAATGTAAAAATGTATATTTCATTTTCATAATATTTTATTACAGGTCTTCAAATAGTTTTAAATTCTATCCTAAAGGCAATGATTCCGCTGTTCCACATTGCTTTTTTGGTGCTATTTGTGATCATTATCTACGCTATTATTGGCCTGGAGCTCTTTTCTGGGGTACTTCACGACGCCTGCTTTTATATAGAAACTGGTAAGTTTGAAAAAATTGATGTGATAAACGAACTCACAGTCCAACCGATGAAATGGACTGAGGAAATGGATAAACATAATAAGTTCATAGCAGTATTCTTGGATTTAAAGAACGCGTTTGATACGGTTCTCATTCTTGTACACAAGATGGAAAGAATCGGTATCAGGGGTGTTCCGCTAAATATACTCTCAGACTACCTTGCAAATAGGAGACAGAAAGTAAAACTAGAAAATTACACTAGTAATTGCACTAATGTGTCGTTTAGTGTCCCGCAGGGAAGTGTTCTTGGCCCCACGTTATTCTTAATTTATCTGAATGATGTATGTAATATGACCCTTGAAAATGCTAAAATATTCTTTTATGCGGATGAAATTGCCTTTGTTTTCACCGGAGGATCCTGGGACATCGCTAAAAATAATACAGAAAAAGTTCTTGAGGAGATAGGTAAATGGCTGCAATTTTATCTCCTTACGCTCAGTACGGCCAAAAGTTGCTATATATGCTTTAGCATTTATAACAACGTTCAGCCAGAACTAGATTTTGCGGTGAGAATAAATCACTGCCGTATCACAACAGATACACAGAAATGCTATTGCACCACTATATAAAAAGTAACCGAAGCTAAATATTTGGGAGTGTGGTTGGATCAAAGACTCTTTTGGTATCCTTAGCTTGAACATGCTACTCAGAGAATAAGGAATCTCACATTGATTTTTAAGATATTGAGACATGTGTTACCTAAGACAGACCTAGAAACGGGGACTGGGGACAAGTGTCTTCTAAGAGAAATATATCCTTAGTACAGTCTCCCGGAAATACCATGTACTGCCGGGTCTTGCCATTGCTCGTTGGTTAAGGATAGAGGGGTAAGCCCTTTATCACAAGAAATGACGTCATTTTTTATAGAATAAGGGTGAAAAACGAGCAGACAGTCCACCTGATGGTAACTGGATCCTGTGGGTCATAGACTCGTTTCCAGTAAAAAGGGGTCTCCAGATCTCTACACTCACCATGCAAAACACAGCAGTATTAACCTGCTATTTTACGCTGGTATTCTGTGAGAGCGTGGTCTTTCCCCGGTCGAGCCGACCCATTCGTGCTACAACCATAATATAGCTGCAGCGTAGTTCTACCACGTTGTATTTGCACAAATATAACCTTCGGTTTCACTTTTAACTGGATTAGAACATAAAATCCCTGAGTTACTTAATAGTCAGGTACCTGTTTGACCTTTAGTCACAAGTTTTCCGTTATAAATATTGGATTTTACCTATGAAAGTGCCGTTTTGTATCAGAGAATTGAAATATTTTTTTAACAAAAAACTATAACCAAGATATTTATTACCATAATTTACAAAACATTCTTGCCATTTTCTAGTCAGTTGATGCCCTTGCTAAAGAAGTTGCTGCATGAAAATCGATTAATTCTTTAAAGGCGTTCTTTACTGCTTTTTCGGCATTGTACCTACAAATATTCAACTATCAAAAAGTATCTAAACTTCGAAAACGGTAGAAGTTTATTGGAGCAAGAGTTAGAGTTTAATAATAGGAGATGAGAAAGGCTCTCCAGCTTTTGCTCTGTTAATTTGCCAACGGCTGTTGTACAATATGTAGCCAGACGTTATCATAAAAAAGCGATGACAACACTTCACCAATCTGGGTTACTTGAGTGCCAGATTCTCGAGCATAATTTGTAATTCTTGACAGTAACGGTCAACAGTAACTGTGGCACCAGATAATAAGAAGAAAGAAAGAAATAAAGAAAGAAACACTTCATTTTGGCACGGTCAATAATATACAAATTTATGTAAATTTAGCTTTATAAAGTATTTATAAAGGTTGTTATAAATGCTAAAGCATATATAAACTCAGCATGAGTTGTGGCGACACCACGATGTAGTAAATACCACCAATACCATCGAACTGTCACACAATAAGTTTCTTCTGGCTAATCTTTTCATTCGGGCACTGTATGGCTTGGGTACCTGGATCTAAACATTGCTATGAACGCTTACGGTTGTCGTAAAGGATCCGCTTCTTATTGTTGGTAACAAATCTACTAAAAACTCCCTCTTTTCTACGCAAATACAGCAAGATGATGCAAGTTTAGACGCTGCCTTCTCGCTTAATGTCACTCAGTTCGTGAGGTCCCAAATGTCTAGCTTCTACATTTTATCGTTATGCCGCAATTGATCCTAAATTGTTTCACCACTTACATCAAATACCGAAGCTAGCTCAGTCGTAGTTTTAGGAGGATCGGCTTCTAACATATTTTGTACGTCATTATCAATATTCTTTTCCGGGCGGCCACGACATCCAACTTCAAGGTTCCACAAATCTCTACACGTCACAAATGTTTAGTTTTGTTTTATGTTTGAAAATATAAATAAGACAAAATGGTTATTATAACGAATTCTAGAGTTGAGACTCCCTAAGCGCTCACAATGAAGCAACACGGTCGTGCCCATGCAATTGTATCAGAAGAAGCCACAAATATAATTAAGAAAAGTGAACAAATACTTTTTTTAAATATTGAATCAACGTTTTTGACGGCTCATAGGGGCAGTGGCTTAGCACTTGGTTGAGGCGCTAAACCCGCGGGTTTAAATCCCGCACGGAACAAATATTTTTACGACCTACAAATAATTGTTTTAGATCTGAATGTTAATTCTTGTGAAATGTATGTATGTAAACTGCTCCCACGATACAAGAGAAAATCTTAGTGTGGAGATAACGTATTTCCAAATAAAAAAATCTAAAGCTGCTTGAACTATTTCAGGTGAAATTGTAGAAGAACCATCACCTTGTAGCAGAGATCCTGACGTAGGCTTCCAGTGTGATGAAGGTCAAATTTGCAGAGACTATTGGAAAGGACCAAACTATGGAATAACCAATTTTGATAATATCGGTTACTCTATGTTAACAGTGTTCCAGTGCATTACTCTTGAAGGTTGGACTGATATTATGTACCATGTAAGTACTCGTAAATGAAATTATATTTACTTTTATAAAGATATAATTGTTTTACGAACCAGTGGGAAATCATGAATTAATAATTCTATAGCTATAATTCTAAGGGTAGATCCTTCCTAAAGTTTAAGTTATAGGTAAAGTTTACACTATTTTGAAACCGTTTTTAATAGTTGATTTTGAAAATTAAAAGAAATATATTTTTGGAACTATATATAAATCAAAAATATCTAATGACTATTTCGATGATTCTTATATCTTATTTTTTTAGATAGCTGATGTAAAGGGAAACACCTGGGTGTGGATTTACTTTGTAACGATGGTTATTTTTGGCAACTTTTTCGTTATGAACCTCATTCTTGGTGTATTGTCAGGGTAAGTAAAGTAATTATTTATTTATTTTATTTATTTAACACTTTATGTACACACAAGTAAGGGAGAGGACTCTATTTATCCGATAGTGAAATATCTTCCAGTAAGCCAGTTACAAAGATATATGATTAACAAATTATTATAAGGTGTGCACTTTGTTATTATACAACACATAAAAGGATATCTGCACAAATACTTATATATATATACAGATATATAAATATATTCATACTTAACCACACATAAACACATAAATACACATTATAATATAAAGTCATAATTATATATATATATATATATATATATATATATATATATATATCCTTATATATTATATTACGTGTCACGTTGTTTGTCCGCGATGGACTCCTAAACAGCTTAATCGATTTTAATCAAATTTGCACCCCGTGTGCAGTTTAGTACAACTTGAGAGATAAAATAGTTTTTTTGCCAATGAGTGACCCACAATTTTTTTTTGCGAATTCAAATATTTTTTTAATACGACATGACAAAGGGTCGTCGAAGAAGGTAGAACAACGTCTACCTGACAAGCTAGTATATAGTAAATATCAAAGATTTGAAACTTACATAGATGACAACGATAAATAATGTTCTTTCACTCGGTTTTTGAACAATGTCTCTGTTTTGATTTCTCGAATGGGAGGAGGAAGTGAATTCAAAAGTCTTACCGCATGTACGGATAATGAACGGGAATATTTTTTTCCATTTTTGTGAAAATCGTTACCTCCACATTAGGATTTTCTCCTGTATCGTGGGGGCAGTTTACAAACATAAATTTCGCAAGCACAAACATCCAGACCCGTAACAATTACTTGTACGAGTAGACTATACAAATACCGCCGTCAAATATAATATGAGTAAGCTTTAAAGAATGGGAATTTTAAGGTCAGATTTACAAACTGCATCTGGAGAATTAAGAAAGGTAAATAGATTTCGAAGGTATGTAGGGAAATTTGAACTATGTAGGATGTTAAAAAGGAGACAAAGGATACGAGTGTTCCTGCGAAATCGGATCGGGAGCCACTTGAGCTGCTTTCTGTATTTAGAGACGTGGTCAAACTTCTTGACTCCGAAAATATACCGAATGCAAAGGTTGTGGAATCGCTCAAGCTTGTTTAATTGCTCCTCTGTGGCATCCAAAAAACAAACATCAGCGTAATATAAGGTAGGCAAAATGAAAGTTTGAACAAGAGAGATTTTAGTTCATAAGGGTAAAATACTTTGAAATCGTTTTAACGAGTGGAAAGCATAATAAACTTTTCTGCTTAAGTCCGTTATATGAGGACTCCATGATAACCTATTGTCAATAATTAAGCCCAAGTTTTTCGCAGATTCAGAATAAGCAATTGATTTGCCATAGATAATCACATCTGGCAGGATGCATTTATCAATTATGCTACTAGTATACGTATCTGCTACTTACTATTATTGCTTGAGACTTACTTGAATTTATAGTTAAACCATGTGATCTGGACCAACGACTAATTCTCTCCAAGTCGTCATTCAGTGCTTCTATCGCCCATTTAGCCTCAGATGACAAAGTAATGGTAAAGCTACAAATCATCTGCATAAAGATTGAAATGGAGGATATTACTTTTGTTATAGAATAGATAAAAATGGTGAAGAGTAAAGGAGATAAGACGCCACCCTGGGGTACACCCGTTAATTACACCAGTTGGAGTAAGTGCCATTGGAGCGGATACATTGTGACCGTTCCCAAAAATAGGAATCAAACCAAAGAATGACCGAAGGTGAAACATTAATAGACTGGAGAATTTTTAAGAGGATATCAAAGTCAACAGAATTAAAGGCACTGCTAAAATCTAATAAAACGAGTACTGTTTCTCGTAATTATTTTTGATCTATGGCTCGACGGATATCATCAGTAACCTGAAGAAGAGCAGTTGTTGTACCGGGCCAGAGTCCAGATTGAAATACTTATTGCTCGAATATACTTAAAATATTGTTGGAATTAAGATAAGAAGACAATTGATTGTGAACAATATGTTCAAGTATTTTAGAGAGGGCTGCTAATATAGATATAGGTCGAAATTCAAAATGTTATGTAGGGTTAGCAACCTTGGCTATAGGAATAATTTGTGTTAACTTCCATGAATATGGAAAACAAGAGAAAGATAATGAAAAATTAAATATGTGAGTAAGAACTGAGAGAATAAAGGGTAAAATCATGGTTATCATTCTGGAAGAAATTTTATCGCTTCTAGACGCAGTAGAAGATATGGATAACACTGATCTGTTTACTTTGTCTTCTGACACTGATACAAATTCAAAAATTCAAATCGTCCTTGAGTAAGCTCGTCTTGATATCTCCCATCACGATCACATGCCTATATATAGGACAGAAGTCTGTAAGTAGATTTTCAAACACATCAAAATAATTAATTTGGATATTAGAAGCAGAGATATGTTTGTATGGGATTTCGCAAGTAAATAGCTACACCATCTCCTTCTTTACCAATCCTATAATTCATAATAAGTAACCAGGAAGTGAAAACTGAAAATAAGGGAGAGAAGGCTTGAAAAAAGTTTCAGATATAACAAGTGCGTCACTTATATTGCTACTAACGCGTGCAAAGTCAGTATAGTGAGCAGGAACACTTTGTGCGTTGATATGGGCAACGTTAAAATTATTGGGGTAGGGAGAAAAAATAGCAGAAATAAGATCATGCAGTCCAAGATTCGAATTCTCGGTCAAATGACTCGGTATCCGCGTTTAAGCAACTGGTAGAAGATGAATTAAACGAGAAAAAGCTAGCATTAAAATCAGATAGATTTTCCATAATTATGACAATAAAAATAAAAAATAAACAAAACAAAACTATGAAATTATAATAAAAATAACTTAATAATAAAGCAATATCCTACAATAAAATTAATAATTTCAAAAAGAAAATATACCTAACTTATAATAAAAACTAAAATGTAAATGACTAAAAAATAAATACAAATCAGCTCAACTCACTAGAGTAATGATATTATTTTTAACTAAATCTATGTGTACATATTACATTAAAACTAGAAGAAAAACAAAAATACTAATTGCAATACTAAATAACAAAGTAAAAACGGAACATTAGTTTAAACCATAGAGTATAAGGTTGTAGAATCTTAATAAGATAGTTTTATTCGGGTTCATTGCATTATAACAATCCTCATTTAAACATTAAAAGTAAACGTGCATTGTTTGTGAGGTATAAGCGTTCCGTCTAAGTTAGTTCTCGTCACTTTTATGAAATAATAATTAGTTTAAAGTCAGTTTTGTATGTACAATTCAATATTTAAAGAAAACAATAATGCTATGTTCAATTATTTATGCATCGCCATGATTTCTTCGGGGCGTTAACAGTTATTGATGTTCTAACAGCGGACCGTGATGCGTTATCGTTACTAGCGTAGCTAGAAGAATATTTCACGATGAGTAGTTCCAATTCAGTCAACGCTTTTATTTTTTGGCGGGTTTTATCGGGGAGAACTACATAAATTTTTCCTTCAGAAGACCAGCTGTGCTTAATTCCAAAGTGCTTACGAGCTGTAGTAAATATGTGATGCCTGGTTTTCGTTAAAAACTCTGAGATGGTGATACCGGAGTATTTTAAATTGGCTTTGCTAGCCCAAATAAACCGTGTGTTACTTTTAGATGATCCAAGCCGATGGCAAACATTAACACAATCCTTTTATATATCTGTCAGCTTTAATTGCTTAGATATTTTAATTAAAATACCTTCACGGAGGTTTTCATTTTGCTCTTCGACAATGCTATGAAACAATAGAACTTTATTTCGCATCACCGTTTCATGTGTATCAAGGCCGAGGCATAGAAAATTTATTTGTGTTTTAATTGTAGAAAGAGTTTGCCAAACAAATGATTTAAGCTCAGAGTTGTCAAGTTCGCTAAGATTATTAGTCAGCTGAACATCCATATTAGGTGGTATAAAATATTTTCAAATATTGTAGGATAAGTGGTGATTAGTGAGCGTAGATGAGCTTAATAATCAATTAATTCATTTATAACACTTAACACACACTGTCAAATTTATAATAAATATAAATAATCGCACACCAAAATTCACGTGTTGACGACACGAATACCCTCGTATCCATCACTACCATCGATATGTATGTACTACGGTCTAGATATGGCATTCCGAACACTCACTATGTTCAACTGAACTGTACTGGAATCCGTACACCTGTTATTGTGGCTTCGATATTCATGCAGTGCGAAGCGGCGCTAATAATAATTTTATATTAAATTAGCACATATGCAAAATAAACAAAAATTAAAAAAATGTACTCGATTAACAATACAATCTAAATAAACAATTATTTATTATGACAATTTTCGCGCGTTTATATCAACTGCGCATGCGCGACTCTACTGTTTCCCGCGCATACGCAGATACAGAGTAGGGCACATTTTTTGTTTGGAATAGCTTCTCTAGTATGTACTACATATGAAGCTGACAACAAATTATCGGACGCGGCTGACGGACGCGGCTGACAGCCGCGGCTTATTGAAATCTAGCCAGTACATTTAATACTACACTGTGCAAACTATCGGCCGTAAGACGCGGACATGACCTTGCGTCGCTCTTGAGCGTTCGGACGTCCGAACAGAATCTGGCCGGCTGGATGTTTGGTGCGTCCGCGGACAGTGTGAACGGGGCACGGGACGCGTCCGCGGACGTTTCGAGTACCACAAGCGAACCAACTGCGCTCGCAACATGATGTGTAATGAAAAAAAATAATTGAATGTGTTCATGGCCACGAATGCCTATATTTATAAAAACATATTATTAGTACATTCATAAATAAATTTTTTTAACGTTTGTCATCTTTTTGTAAGTCTGGATACAATGTATGAAATTCATCATACTCGAGTCGTTTTAAATTTTAATATCATGGACCCATTTATCATGCACTCCTTTTCCACTTTTTTTAGGAGGATAACATAAAACAGCTGCCGCTAACTTTATAGATTCATCCTCGCTGTCGCTGCTTGTCATATTACTCGAATGACAAACCTTTATGGAATGACCGAAGCGAGGCGTCCGAAGACGCCGTCTTGACTACCGTGCACACCTCTAAGCGCGTCTGTCCGCGGCTGACGGACGCGTCCGATAATTTGTTCTCAGCTTAACTCAATGATCACTACTTTGATTATCGTTTAAGGTAGTTTGGCTCAAGAGGCGTAATATTATTACATCGAACGTGAAGCGGAGATATGTTGTTCTATTGTCACCAAATCAAAAATTACGACCCACTCAACTTAAATCACTTCCACCGGCTTTATATTACATTTATATAATAAAAAGTACACCAATAGCAATAGGAGATTTCAATCAATACTTATAAAATAGTTATAAGATTATTTATTTCGATTATTATTAAAAAAAATATTTGAAAATTATTCTAAAAACTAAACTTATCACTATAATTTTTTATTAGCTTTAGATTTTTATCCATAGGAAGACTTTGGAATTTCACTATCGTAAACTGTTCCATTCAATAATATTTAAAAAAAAATCCGGTAACCAAATTTGAATTACAAGTATTAAGCAGTCAAAAAAATTCGTGTTAATAAACGGAAACAATTTTTTTTGTAAAAGTAAAGTAAAGTTACAGCCTATATACGTCTCACTGCTGGGCACAGGCCTCCCCTCATTTCTGAGAGGGTTTTAGGACAAGGAAGTGTCCGCCACGCTGCCCCAATGCGTGTTAGCGAACTTCATATGTCTTCGAATTTTTTTTTATTTCTCAGACATGCAGGTTTCCTTACCATGTTTTCCTTCACCGCCGAGCACGTGGTAAATCAGCACTTAAAATTGCAATTAACAATTTCATTGGTGCCGGCGGGGATCGAACTCGGTTTTGCTGGCGTACTGTAAAATTTACAGCGAGCGCTAACCATCTGAGCTACCACGGCTTTTTTTTGTAGCCTTAAGGGAATACGTGTTTTGATAATAAATAAAAGTAAATTGATTATTCAAAACATTACATGAGCATTCAAGGTTGAATCTTCCAAATATTTTCTGATATTATCTATCACTTAGTATATATAATAGTTTTCTTCTTTTTTAATTTCAGAGAATTTTCAAAGGAAAGAGAAAAAGCTAAAAGTCGTGGCGATTTTCAGAAGTCACGAGAAAGACAACAGTTTGAAGAAGACCTTAAAGGTTACCTTAATTGGATCACTGTTGCTGAGGAGTTGGATCTAGAGAACGATCAAGGACAGAAAGATGAAGATAGAGATTCACCAGGTTTGTTATACAAGCAGAGCAGATTATAGGATCGTTTAGTGTTATTATTAGGCAGATCCAAGCTCTGGATCAAAGGTTCAAAAATATGTAAAAATATCTAAACCATAATAAAGAGGTTGCACAGATTTAGATCGTGTGATACTTAAAACGGTTTATGTGAGCACATTACGTGCTACGAGTATTTTAAATTAGACGAGCATGTACCATACCAAATTAGTAATTCACAACAAAATATGCTGAATGTCCTTGTTATACAAATAGATACCAGTACACCAATTAGCGAGGCTCTTTTGATTGACTCTGGATCTTTGTTATATTAAATTTTAATGATATAATTTTATCAGAATATAATTTGTTGTGCAGGTAAAAAGGAACGCAAAAGTAACGATGAATCTCAGAACAAAGTGAACGCGAACGGCGAGCATACCCAAACCTCTACTTGCAAAATTTATTGCAAGAGATTTGATAAGGTAATTTAACTTCAAATAGACTTAATGTAGGGAGTTAATGAGAAAATCCGCAGTGGAACCAGAACAATTGACATAATTTAAAGGATCAATAAAATGAAGTGACAATGGGCTATATAGCAGGATAAACCGACTAGGTTTGGGAAAAAAGCTTCTGGATTGACAGCAAAATACCGAGGCGTAACTGTAAGCAAAGTGTAAGGCGGCTCCACGATAGATGGAAAAACGACCTGGTAGTAGATGTACGAAGTCGATAAATGCAGGTGGCTTAGGACCATGCTTTGTAACTCTCCTTGGGGGACGACTTGTGGCTGTGGATTCGTTCAGCATTCGACTTGTGATGTGATGATGATGATGATGAAACTTAATGTAAATTAGTTTGCACATACTGTACTTTGCTTCTAATATGATACATTAGTTTTAGAATAGGTAAAAATTATCAGAGATATTTTACCCTGAACCACCTTTACTTTACCCCCTGTTACCAGCGGTGAAACCCTGTCGCGAATACAGCTGCTCTCGGATATGTAAAGTGATAGAAATCCTTTTCTGCTTACTAGTCTTGGTGGTTACTAACCTATTATCCTTTTATGCATGATCAGTGTACGCCGGTATTGAAATGGTAATAGAACTAGGATTATTACAAGTTATCAGGCATTAAGATTTAGTCCTTAGCAGTGATAATGCATCGGTGTCTGTTTTAAAAATTGATGGGGTAAACCTTACAGTATTCCACCTGATGGTAAGTACCACAGAGAACACTACAGGTGCGTTGTCATCTCTGATGAATGCATTGCTGCATTATTGGCTGGCTCTCTATAAAGACAGAATATAGCAGCTCCAACCCGCTCACCAAGCGTGGCAACTATGGCAATATACCCCCCATGATGAGAGTGCCGAAGAGACGGCCCCTAGTCCCCAGCTACCCTGCTATTCCTGGCTAAAGTGGCGACCATGTTATCGGCGGGGAAAAATAAGTATCTAAGAATCTCCGAAGGAGATTCGGTTGCCACCTAAAAAAATTCGACGTAGCAACATACAACGCACGCACCCTGAGGACGGAAGAGAAAAACCTGAAAGTGAAAGAAATAGATAGACAAGTAGGATAAACTCGAGGTCCGAAGAGAGGGGGAGAACAGTGATCCTCGAATCCGGCAACTTGTTTTATCACCGAGAGTGCAACCAGCTGTCCCAGAGGTCTTGGATTTATCGTTCAAAAGACTATCGTTAACAACGTTGTAAAGATTGGGAGTGTGTCGACGAGGGTTGTGTACCTCATAGTCAGAATCACCAAACGGTATTCGCTAAAGGTCAAACAGGTTTACCTCACCACATCCCGATGAGGAGGTGGAGGAAATGTATGAGAATATTTCTAGAGCAATGCATTCCTCCAAAAACCACTATGCGGTGTTAATGGGAGACTTCAAAGCAAAACTAGACACAAGAGATAACGGTAAGCTAAAGGTAAGGAAATTTGCCAGAAGCTGGCCGACTTCGTGGAGAAAGAGAGACTCTTTATGATGAACTTTTTTTCCAGAAGCGGCCCCACAGGAAGTGGACCTGGTCAAGCCTCGACGGTTCGAAAAAAAATAACATTGACTTCGTTATGATGATTAGACGGCAACTATTCAGTGATGTCTCAGTGATCGCAAGGGTGAAAACTGGCAGCAATCACTGAATGGCTAGAGGCATACTGAAACTAAGCATTAGGTTGGAGAGGTCTCGTCTAATCAATTCAACGCTCCGTCCTCCTCGTGCTCTAATCCAAAGTCCCAAAATCAGCTTTCAGCTCGAGTTACAATACCGTTTTCATCGCCTAGGAGACTGCAATGCAGTGGACGATAGCTTTTTATTTCCGTTCTCCACGGTGGAACTACTCCGGAGACGTGAAGCAGAAGTTCGGTGGTCTTGTTCTTCAAGAAAGGCTACAACGCTCGCTTGAAGAACTATAGACCGATTTCCCTACTGAGCAGCATCTACGTGCTGTTTTCGAGAGTTATTACGAATTGTCTCGCACACTGATGACTTGCAACCTCCCGAACAATCCGGTTTCCGAAAAGGCTACGGTACCATAGATTACATACGTACTCTGTGGCAGATTGTACAGAACATCGTAGAGTACAATCTGTCACTTTGCCTTGGGTATGTGGAATACGAGAAAGCCTTTGATTCCATCGAAATTAGGGCCTACACCTATGCCGGTAGTTGTTGGGCACTAAGCTCGAAGTTGTTAACAAGTACGTTTAATTCGACCAATTTCGACCGAGAGGTCAATCGACGTATTCAATTCAGTTGAATAGCGTTCGAGAAATTACGAAACATCTTCTCGTCAGGTATACCTCAAAGCCTGAAAACGAGATTGTACAACCAGTACGTGTTGCTATTAATGACTTATGGAACGGAGACGTGGTCCTTCACTACTGGCCGTATGAGGACGCTCAAGGTCGCTCAGCAAGCTATGGAGTAGGCTATGCTCCGGATTTTTCTGCGTGACAAACTTAGAAATAAGGATATCCGCAGTAGAACCAGAGAGACAAACATAGCCCAACCGATTAGTAATCTGAAGTGGCAATGGGCCGGACATATATCTGGAAGAACCAACAACCGATGGGGAACAAAGGTTCTCGAGTGGCAGCCTCGTACCGGTAGGAGAAGTGTATGGTGACCCTCCACTAGATAGAGTGACAACCTAGTAAGACATGCAGGAAGTCTATGGATGCAGGTGGCTCGACTAGTGAAAATCTGTAATGATAATGATGATGATGAGAGTCATGCTGCAGCTACATTAAGGTTACAGCACGTAAGTGAAAGTTTAACCAGGATAGGGCAACGCTCTCTCGGAATACCAGCAAAAATAGCAGCTTAATCTTGCTGTGTTTTGTATGGTGAGTTTAAAAGGTCGGAGAACCTATTTCTAGAAACGAGGCATTCCATATTAGACTTAAGGGGTGACAACGCACCCGCATTTTGATTCTTAATCGAGAATAGATATCTCTAAGTCACAGCATCTCCTGACCATAAGGTGGACTGTGTGCTCGTTTGACACCCTTAAAAAAGCTATTACTACGGTTAATAATATATTTAAGAAACGAAATTGTGTACTTTTTCAGATCAACCGTCGCATGCGGAGAGCGTGTAGAAAAGCTGTTAAGTCGCAAGCCTTCTATTGGGCGATTATAGTTCTTGTCTTCCTTAACACTTTGGTGTTAGCCTCTGAACATTATCAGTAAGTGGTTTAATTTAATTATCGGTTATTTTGTTAGTTAGTTGAAAAGGCGGTGTAAGAATATTCACCACCCCATATCGTCCGTGGGTGTCGTCGCAAATCGTCCCGTAGGTGTCTCAAGAGGCGATAAAGGGAAACAAACCAGGGGATGGGCAACGTAGCCCTGATAACATCTGCAAAGTGAAACTGCGGTTGCCAACTCGCCTGCCAAGCCTGAAAACTATAGCAAATACTACCTATGAAGAGGGGAGAGATGAGGAGGGGGGAGGCCTCTGTTTAGCATTGGACTTTTGATAGGCTGTTATGATAATGTTGATCTTTACTATCATCTTTTTCATCAGGTGAGGTTTCATTTACGTGGTAGAGCCACGCTGCAGCTATATCATGTTTGATTCCCGAATGAGGCAGACCACGCTCTCACAAAATTCCAGTGTAAAATAGAAGCTGTGTTTCATAACGCTACTTTGTTTTTGGGATGAGTGTAAAGAACGGGAGAACATTTTTACCGAAAACGAGGCTATACATCTTAGTGCTCAGGGGTGACAACACATATGCATTTTGATTTTGATAAATGTAGATGCCTCGAAATCTTCTGTAAATGTTTAGAATAACTATCATGATAACGTATTGTATACGTAGAATAGCCATGCTGTAGCTATATTATGGTATAATCACGAATGAGTCATATGTACACTGTAAAATAGAAGCTTAATATTGCTGTGTTTTGTACGGGAGATTCTCGTTACTGAAAACGAGGCTTTCCATCTTAGTCCTTAGGGGTGAAAACGCATCGGCATTTAACACCATAGCATCCTCTTACCATCAGATGGACTGTATGCTCGTTTTCCATCTTTATTCTATAAAAAAGGTTCAATTAAACTGATACACTTCTGATGCTGAAGTGATAGTTTTTATTCTGTTAACCACAAAGGCAGCAAACACTCGTATTCTGCTATTCAAATTTTAGAGTAAGAAATAATTTATGAATCAAATATCTTTATTTCTTTTTCAGGCAACCTCACTATCTCGACAAATTCCAGAATTATGCTAACTACCTTTTTGTAGTTCTGTTTACCATAGAAATGCTTGTCAAAATGTACGCTTTGGGCTTCCAGGTATGTTATATCATTATTTAAATTAGCTTTGGTAAAAGCGCGTTCGTTCGATATAAATAAAATAATTAGTGTTGTTTATTAATATATTAATGGAAGTGATAAAAAGATATTCTTTCATTTTTTCTGCTCAGAAATAATTTTTAAACAACAGTTTCATTCTGGTTTTGGTTTTAAAATGGCGTTTCCTTTGTTGAGATTGACATCAACAATATTTTTTTTCTTTACTTAAGCAAAACATACAGCTTAATATAGTTCTTAATATGAGTAAGTGAACATTAAATTATACATCAAGTCCAAATTGTTTCAACTAAAACATTTTTAACAAAATTCTATTAAAGGAGACAGAAAGTTAAAAGTCTACATTTTTGAACGAATACGTCGTAGCGATCTGATTGGTTACACATGTGCAAAAATTTCTTTATATGTGCGATAGCCATCCGCAATATAGTCAGTAATCTATGGCCATCCGTGTGTGAGTCATAAGAGGCGACTATAGAAAACTAATACAGAGGATCTTTTCCAATCTTCTAATAACATTGCAAAATAATAAAGAACTGTGCTAACCAATCTGTCTGTCAAGTTTGGCAACAATGGCAAATATGAGTAAATCTGTGGACTAAGTCTATGCTTAGTAGTTGACTTTAAATAATATGTAATGAATGAATTGAATGGCTAATCTAAGATATACAAACTTTAGATGCAGAAATTTATAGAATTAACACTATGTTACTTCTTTGGCCGCCAATGGTACATAAAAACATCAAAGGCAAAAATAAATAAGAGAAAACAGACATAATATAATTTGATTGCAAGAGTGACGTGATCCTAAAAATGGCACTGAGCCAAGATATTGCTGATTGAGGTTTCAGTTGAGGTAGAGTTGATTTTCAGTGAATTCCATTGAGGTTGGACTCGCACGCTTTCAATTCAATGTGTAGTTTTCGTGTTAAAAGAATTTCTTACTAAAATTGCAATTAACAATTTCATTGGTGCCGTCGCGGAATCCGTGTTACTTTCATCATAAATTGCGAGATGATACGTAATAACTCCCGAAAACAGCAGGTAGACGCGGGTCAGAAGGGAAATCGGTCTGTAGTTCTACAAGAAAGCATTAATTTCTGCTCCACGCCTCCAGAGTAGTGTTACCATGGAGGACGGAAATGAAGAGCTTTTGAAGGATTTTCCACCCGCTTTTAGAAGCTCCACTATGTTTTCATCCTCGCCCGGGGACTTGCCGTTTTTATGGTGCTAGAGAGCCATTCTAATCTTGCTCAGACTGACGTCCGGGATTGAATGATGTTAAATTTATGGTGAGAACATATCGCTGAGCTACTACGTTTTTTTCTGCTACCACCAATATGTAAAAATCATTCATACAATCATTTATGAAATTATTGCCTTTTTATTTTCAGGGTTACTTCGTCTCCTTATTCAACCGCTTTGATTGTTTCGTCATGGTGTGCTCCATAGTAGAGTTGGCTCTAACGCACACTGATATCATTCCACAGCTGGGTATTTCTGTGTTGCGTTGTGTACGTCTCCTTAGAGTGTTTAAAGTGACCAAGTGAGTATTTTTATTTAACTAATCAAAACATGTTATTTAAAATCTCCCTGTAGTACATTTAATATACCACAGAAATAATTTTGCCTGTGTGTGATAAGTGTGGCAAGCAAACTGTTGACTGCCTCGTTGGTCTAGTGGTTGTAGTAGTGCCACTGCTGATCATGAGCTCCTAGGTTCGAATCCCAGGTCGGGCCAACAAAATCAATTATTGAGTTTTTCCGTCAAGAAATTCTCAGTAGTTGCCCGGAGTCAGGAAATTGGCGGTGTCTCACCCCCGTGCCTCGGAAAGCTCGTAAAGCCGTTGGTCCTGCACCTGATTTCTCTCCTTTCGTGTCGATTTACCGTCCCATCGGATTATGAGAGTGAGGGAATAAAGAGTGCACCTCTGCTTGCGCATACACTTGGGCACTATAATCCTGTCCTGCGCCGATGGCTAGCCTCCGTTGAGGCAGGCCGCCGTGGCCGAAATTTGGTCTGGAGGACATTATTATTATTACTAAGGAAACTGTAGAATAAGGTTTTATTTACATCTAAAATATATTTTTTTTAGTTTATATTCACCAGTGTTTGACTACAACGTGGTAGAGCCATGCTGCTGCTATATTATGATTGTAGCAAGAATGGATCGGCTGGACCGAGAAATACCAGCGTAAAATAGCAGGTCAATGCTGCTGTGATTCATAAGTGTAGAGAACCGGACCCTTTTTACTGGATACGAAGCGTTACTTGTGAGAAAAGACTTGACTTTTGTGACACGCGCAAGACTTTACAAAATTTTACTTTTTTACCAATTCTTGTGTTTTTTCCAGGTACTGGCGATCCCTATCTAATCTTGTTGCTTCTCTGCTTAACTCTATTCAATCTATTTTCTCCCTCCTTCTTCTTCTCTTTCTGTTTATTATGATCTTCGCGTTACTGGGAATGCAAGTTTTTGGTGGAAAATTTGACTATGACGCTGTACTAGAAAAGGAGAGGCATAACTTTGATTCTTTCTGGCAGGCTGTTTTAACAATGTTTCAAGTAAGTATTTAATCAACAGTCACATAATATATTGTTCTTGTTATTTTATATATCTGCTTCTTTGAATTGGTTTTAGATATTAACGGGCGAAGATTGGAATGCGGTCATGTACCACGGTATTAACGCGTATGGTGGTTTTGATTCACCTGGCATGCTTGCATCGATTTACTTTATAGTTATTTTTATCTGTGGTAATTGTATCCTTTGCAATAATAGGTGTTAAGGTAAAAAATTATTCATTGTTTACTTTTATACTTACGTGAGGGTAATATTAAGCCTCAAGGTCACCCTAAGCTTTGCCGCCCTATAAAACCAAAACAATGAGGAGGGCAAAGACAAAAACACAAAGTCGTATACTATGATACGTAATATATTTAAATATTAATAGCAAACCAGCCTTGGCATTGGCAATAAGTAAGAACACTTCGAAAAATCAACGTAAATAAAACTAATTACACTATACTATACTAAAATCGACTAAAATATTTAATATACTGTTAAGATACATATTATTTTAAGAATGATTATATCGCTATATTTCTTTATTTACCCTCTGTAATGATAAGTTTTTATTATTATTCGCTATATAAATCGATATTTTTTAAAAAGGAAAAGTATCGATGTGTTTGAGAACTGTTATAGCGAATCTTAGGATTAGTTCTTTCATTCGTTCCTGTATAGAATAGTTATATATTCTTTGTTCATTCCATAGACGAGCGCATTCGTGTTGCAGGAGAGAACTTGTGTAGAATAAATCTGTGTCAATCTTTTAATTCCAAGTTTATTTTGTTAGTCTAAAAGTGAACTTTACAATACTGTCAGCTGTCAAAATGGCGTCAATGAAGTAGCGCCCTTTTGACCCTTTATTTGATGGACTGATGAAGAGCTATCGGGTATGTTCCAAAATAGAACCCAGTGTACTGGCCAATGCAAGTGACGTCACAAATGGACACCATGCTGGTTATTTGTTTCAAAGCAGTGGACAGTTTGACATCATACATTTGCGTCATATTGGGAGTGTTTTCGATTACTTTGTCATTTTGTGCTCCAATAATCATTATATCCTCCTAATGGAGATACCAGCAATTATTCTATATTTTTTTATATTTGAATAAATAAAAACAAATTCTGGTGTACACACAATTAAAAATTGTTTTTATATGGCCGGATATCCGACAAAATATGGTGGTGGCATGCCAGTACAATAGGGCGTCAATTAATGACGTCATTTGCATTCGGCAATACTTAAACTGGAAACGTTTCGGAACATACCCATCGTATCACAGAGTCATCTATGCAAACGAGGCTGTAGTTTTTGAGTTATAAGAAAGTGACCATATTACCCCCACGTACTATAATTTGTGATTAATATCATTTTAATAATCTTAAGAAGTCTTAAGATTTTGGAAAAGTATTTTATTGTCTAATTATTCAAAACATAAACCATATTTTATAGTAAACATTTATACACGCGTTTTTCCTTAATTTTATTATTTAGATATTTTATTGAACGTCTTCTTGGCTATCGCTGTAGACAATTTGGGAGATGCTGAAGAAATGGAAGAGATACAGAAAGCAAAAGAGGTAAATTCTAGTTTAACAAGCCCGATAAATGAATAATATATCTTTTTGTTCATTTAAAAGAAGCCACATTAAATTAGAAATTTGAAAACGATCTTTGACGACCTCTCTGTGGAATAGTTTACAACGGGAAATATTTCCGGACCGATACGACTTAGAGACTTCCAAGAAAAGAATTTACTCTTTTCTAAACGGCCGGCAACGCACCTGCAATTCTCCTGGTGTTGCAGTTGCTCATGGGCGACGGTAGTCACTTAACGTTTGCTCGTTGGCCCCCTCTCCAATAAAAGAGATCCGTTATATTTAGGTTTTATTTTCTTTACAATCTAATGTTATTTTATTCTATTTTATCGTTTGGTTTTCAAACATTGTAGTGAACCCATCTTTCTCTAATTATGTTAATCAATAAAAAAGCTTTTTTCGCATGCAGGAAGCTGAAAATCCTGAAGCTGGTAATCCTCAGTTAGATGAAGACAGAGGTGAGACTGAAGATGAATACGTTAATGAAGAAGAAGGTTATTCCAGTGAAGGGTTAGTAATTACTAAATAAAATTAAATAATATGAAATAAAATTAGAAGTAATGTTGAAATATAATAAATTAGTTACGAGTCCTAAAATTTCGGTAGTAACCAAAGTTTAGGACTACATATTTTTACACGATAGTAGGTTAGAATATGTAACTAAATTTGGAATGAACTGAAAAAAACTTGTAGTAATTGGTTTCAAGAGTTATTGTGAAAGCATATCTATCAGATATAAAATTATATTTAGTTCTTTCAAAAAATGTCAGTTCACCTTCACTGAGTTGTCTGAATCATTATCTTAAATATTAATAATATTTATTGATAATCCTACAACAGCAAATAATGACAGCATAGTAATATATTATAATAAGGGATAGATAGATAAATAACACATTCTTGTACACAAAAAAAATGAATAAAAAAGGAGCATTAAGATATGTGGTACAATGGGCGTTCTTATCGCTAAAAGCGATTTTTTTCCAGACAACTCTTAAGTGGACAGGATTGGATTGGATAAAAGGGATTACGTTCGATTGGAATAAAAAAGTTTTAAGTGCAAACTTAAATATTTTTTCAATTATTTGCCTTATTATTCAAAAATACAGTAATAAACGCATACTAATGTTACTTTATATGACCATTGCTATTGTTTTAATGCAGCCAAAGGTATAAAATATACAAAAGGGTAGCAAGGTAAGTAGAATTGTTTGTTATTATAAAATCATAAGTTTACTTCATAGAATACTATAATACATACATAATAGAACGGGAGAGTGGGCGGAGCCCGTGTAGTCACTAAAATGCCACTAACACTTATAAATGTCAACATGAGATGTTTTGACGTTATAATCGTTTCCAAATTTCGCATGCTAATTATTTAGAAAATGCCAAATTGCACGCTATTTGCAAATAAATGTGTATTAAAATCCGTCTGTCAACATAGTGAATCGGGTTTGTAGTAGTGATAATACGACGTAATTACTTGTATGTGTGCTCCCGGCAATGCCGATTCTCGTACAAGATAAGGTTGACAGCCATTCTATTGTGTATTATAGTATTCTATAGTTTACTTTTATGTTACGTTTATTACACTATTTAGATCTTTCTTCCAAGCGTTTTACATGTGTCAAATCTGAGTTTTCTATACTAAGAAGACACATGGTGGTATATGGGTCACTTATAATAATATTTTTAGACTTCTAATGGGATTTAATGGCTATTGTAACGCTTCTGAAATGTACGTAAAACCCGGGTTGACTTTTTTAATGCAAAATCCGAAGAGGATATCGGAAGAGGATAGCATCATCTATGTCCAGGGGTTGACCTGTGTAACAACGCGATTGTGCGTAGTTTGGCTGATAGGTTGTTTGGCATATATAGACTGCTGCAATGGGTGAAAATTGCTGGGTAACGATAGACCTTTGGAAATATTGCGTGTACATATTACAACATGTTTATTCTTACTATATTATATTATTAATTTATCTTGTAAATATGGATCTCTGTGTCTGCAATAAAGGATTATTATTATTCTTTTTTCTTTCCCAAGATTTTGTAAAATCTTGGTTTTTAAGAGATGTTCACGGGCCTAAGCCAAGTGCGCATCCATTTGGAAATCAAAATCCGAGATGTCTTCTTGCAAAAATTTTCGGACTATACGGCACGTGTTGAGGATGGCTGCTTTTTGCATGGTAATATAACTATTTTCAGGAAGATCTAATCGTTTAAGGGAGAGAGACAAACATTTCGGGATCACACCAGTACTGGAGAGAACCAGCGGTACAATATATACTTTGTTCATTTTCCAGATTCTAGTTACTTCTTCTTTTAATTCTGTGTATTTATGATTTTTTTCAGTAATGGTTTTTTGTATATTATGGGTATTTGGGATCGCTATATCAATTAGATATACTGTTTTATTTAATTTATCAATTAAAGTTATATCCGGTCTATTGTAATGAATTGTTTTATCGGTAAGAATAGCTCTATTAAAGTACATTCTGTGACTGTCGCTCTCCAGAACAGGTTTGGGGGTATACTGATAGTACGGCAGTAGTTTTTGGTTCGGGATTAAATTGTGTTTATTTGCAAGTTTTTGATGAACGTAATTAGCAACCTGGTTATGACGGTGGGTGTAATCAGTTTGTACTAGGCTGGGACAAGCACCGGTAATATGTTGTATAGTTTCGGGTTGGCGGTGGCATTTTCTACAACTATCGTTCTGCATGTTTGGGTCTTTTAATATGTATTTTTTATAGTTTCTTGTATTGATTACTTGATCCTGAATGGCAATAAGAAAACCTTCGGTTTCGGGGAAAAGAGAACCTATTTTTAACCATTTATTTGAAGCCAGCAAGTCTATGTGAGGTTGTTCTAAATTTATTATTATTATTATGTGGGGTATCTATATAGTTTTCTCGTCTGGTTGGGATGTATAAATATATAATTATAAACGAAAATGAAAGGATAATTATACATAAATATCAATAAAATAAAATAAATACAAAAATACATAAATAAATAAAAGCCCAACCAGATGGAAGCCCTCGGCAGGGGAGACCAAACGGCCAAGGGTTAGGAAGAAAGGGAAAGAAACCGGCGGACGATGCGGGCAGTATCAAGGAGCACCGCCTTCTGCATTTGAGCCCGGAGCGGTCCGTCACGGAGTCCCAGTGTCCTCAGATGACCAGAGAGGCTAACTGGGATTAGCCCATTCGCAGAGACGACTACAGGAATAATTTCGGCCGGCAGACCACCCCACATGTCCGTCACCTCGTGAGCCAGGTCCAGATATTTTGATTGCTTATCTGTTTCGGCTCTCACGAGGTTCTCGTCATACGGGATGGTAATATCGACCAAAAATATCCTTGACTGTGCCCGGTCCATCAGCATAATATCAGGCTTATTCGCAAGAATAGTCCTGTCTGTGATGATGGCCCGGTCCCAGTAGAGTCTGGCGCTGTCATTTTCGAGCACGGCTTCCGGCAAGTACTTGTAATACGGCAATTTCCGGTCCACGAGACCGTATTTCAGAGCGAGCTCCTGGTGTAGAATTCTGGCTACTAGGTTGTGCCTGTGCAAGTACTCAGAGTTAGAAAGCGCCGAACAACCGGAGATGACATGCCTAAGTGACTCCCCGGGATGGCGACAAGCTCGACAGACGTCGACGGTGCCATCCTTTAGGATGTATCTCCGATAGTTGTTGGTCTTAATAACCTGATCCTGTATTGCACAGACAAAACCCTCGGTTTCCCCGAAGAGGTCACCGAAACGTAGCCAGTTGAGGGAGGCGACTGTATCTACGAAGGGCTCATGTAGAGCCTTGTAGTACCTCCCGTGGAGCTCCTTCTCCTTCCATACGGTCTCCCGGTCGGAATTGCTAAGCACTGCTGGGTCCTGCCATTGCTCGTTGGCTAAGGATAGAGGGGTAAGCCCTTTATCACTAGAAATGACGTCATTATAGAATGGATCATCCGATCTCGCCAAGAAGTACTGACGGAGACTGCACACTTCGCGATTATGCATAGTGAGCGCGCTCAGAAAGCCACGCCCACCATACTTCCGCGGCAAGTACAGCCTCATTACCGACGATCTCGGATGATGCATCCTATGGGACGTCATGTTAGTGCGGACTTTTCTATCCAGGGCGTTAAGCTCAGTCTGAGTCCACCTGAGTATGCCAAAGGTATACATGAGGACAGGCATGACCCAGCCGTTATATGCGTGTGTCTTATTCACACCGGACAAAAGGCTGTTAAGCACTTTGGTCAAGCGTGCATAAAACACGTCGCAAACTGACTGTTTCATACCAGCCTCATCGATACCGATGTTCTGTGACATACCCAGGTATCGGTATGTTTCAGCCTCGGAAAGGGTCCTTAAGTTGATTATTATTATTATTATTATTATTATTATAATGTCATTAATATACAATCTTTACTCCGTTGTTATCATAGAGCAAAATAGGCCATCGGTAGACCAAAGAGGAGTAGCCATGGGCGTACATTGAACGGTCATGCAGCCTGTCAGTTTTACAACAATCACTGTTGTGATTGACGAATAACCTACCGTGTAATGCAGTGATCCATTATCTGTGTTTTATCAATCATGATTGATGGAATTGATTGACGCCTGCATGAGTGTGTAATGTAGGCCATAGCGTTTTCTCCGATACATAACTCTCTGTCATTTTTGCGGGGGTTAAATCTGCGAACACAAAAGCAATCCTCTGTCATTACGAAACTCACATATAACAATTAAAACAACAAACTAACAATTTTACAGATACATAGATACCATAGATTTAGAATATATTTTACTCCAGTACATTCTAAGGCGTGCATTACGCGCTCATGCAGGCGTCAATCAATAGGGTATTACAACCATTTTCAAAAATTGCTTTAAATGAATCCTAGAGAATTCAAATCGTAGATACAGTCGCCTCCCTCAACTGGCTGCGTTTCGGTGACCTCTTCGGGGAAACCGAGGGTTTTGTCTGTGCAATACAGGATCAGGTTATTAAGACCAACAACTATCGGAGATACATCCTAAAGGATGGCACCGTCGACGTCTGTCGAGCTTGTCGCCATCCCGGTGAGTCACTTAGGCATGTCATCTCCGGTTGTTCGGCGCTTTCTAACTCTGAGTACTTGCACAGGCACAACCTAGTAGCCAGAATTCTACACCAGGAGCTCGCTCTGAAATACGGTCTCGTGGACCTTAAATTGTCGTATTACAAGTACTTGCCGGAAGCCGTGCTCGAAAATGACCGCGCCAGGCTCTACTGGGACCGGGCCATCATCACAGACAGGACTGTTCTTGCGAATAAGCCTGATATTGTGCTGATGGACCGGGCACAGTCAAGGATACTTTTGGTCGATATTACCATCCCGTATGACGAGAACCTCGTGAAAGCCGAAACAGATAAGCAATCAAAGTATCTGGACCTGGCTCACGAGGTGACCGACATGTGGGGTGGTATGCCGACCGAAATTATTCCTGTAGTCGTCTCTGCGAATGGGCTAATCCCAGTTAGCCTCTCTGATCATCTGAGGCGACTGGGACTCCGTGACGGACCGCTCCGGGCTCAAATGCAGAAGGCGGTGCTCCTCGATACCGCCCACATTGTCCGCCGGTTTCTTTCCCTTTCCCCCTAACCCTTTGCCGTTTGGTCTCCCCTGCCGAGGGCTTCCATCTGGTTGGGCTTTTATTTATTTATGTATTTTTATATTTATTTTATTTTATTGATATTTATGTATATTTATCTTTTCATTTTCATTTATAATTATATATTTATACATCCCAACTAGATGAGAAAACTATATAGATACCCCACATAATAATAAATTAATAATAAATAATAATCCTTTATATCATTAAATCCCATTAGAAGTCTAAAAATATTATTATAAGTGACCCATATACCACCATGTGTTTTCTTAGGTACACACTTAGGAACACTAATACCTATATAATAGATTTGAGGCACAGACGAAAAAAAATATTCCTAAAATTAAAATATAAAATTTATAATGCAATTTTATGAAAATAAATCAATATTTCTTGTTTTATTTTTTACGAAATCTATCATTATATATATATATATATATATATATATATATATATATATATATATATATATATATATATATATATATATAAGTAATGTTTAATAATGAATTATCATCTAAATCATTGTTGTGTTGTACCTGAACGCAAAAATACAACCATGAGAACGCCGGGAAAGTTATGGATTCAAGTGCCAAGTATTTAAATATAAGAAATACTTAGTCAAAACTGACAAGAAGATACCCGCATATATTGTCTACAAAAACCGGACTATTCTTCTGTGACAATCACTTTGTTATAAGTATGACTTCACGGTTTAAAAAAATTGAATTCTCTAGAATTCATTTAAAGCAATTTTTGAAAATGGTTGTAATACCCTATTGATTGACGCCTGCATGAGCGCGTAATGCACGCCTTAGAATATACTGGAGTAAAATATATTCTAAGTCTATGGTATCTATGTGTTTGTAAAATTGTTAGTTTGTTGTTTTAATTGTTATGTGTGAGTTTCGTAATGACGGACGATTGCTTTTGTGTGCGCAGATTTAACCCCCGCAAAAATGACTAAAAATATTATTATAAGTGACCCATATACCACCATGTGTCTTCTTAGGTACACACTTAGGAACACTAATACCTATATAATAGATTTGAGGCACAGACGAAAAAGAATATTCTTAAAATTAAAATATAAAATTTATGATGCAATTTTATGAAAATAAATCAATATTTCTTGTTTTATTTTTTACGAAATCTATCATTATATATATAAATATATATATATATATATATATATATATATATATATATATATATATATATATATACCCTGTTTCATCAGTCATTATTGGTAAAAAACGGATTGTGACTGATAGGCGTACATTACGCGCTCATGCAGGCGTCAATAACTGCATTACACGGTAGGTTATTCCTCAATCACAACCATGCTTGTTGTAAAACCGACAGCCTGCATGAGCGTGTAATGTACGGTCTATGCATAGATACATTTTAACAGTATCACTCAGTGACAGCGACAACTATGTTTGTTATATATTTAGTAAATACTGCTGAAACAATAGACTTAGAATATTATACTAAATCTATGGCTGAAACGAAATTATATTTAATATTAATTTGGATAGGTTACACGTTATCACATGCATTGTCTGGATTTGAATTTGTGTCTTAGCCAATTTTTGTGCAACATTAGAAGAACTGCGCATATCGGTTCTGTTTGTATTCTTATATCGTGAGATATAAGGGTAGACCTTGCAAAAGCTTTTTTTAGAACACAAGTAGATTGAGACTAGTGTATACATCCTTCATCACCAACCTCTCCTTTTCAAAAGATTGATTTCGGATTTTCGGTGTCGTAAATTTGTTTTTATTTATTTATTCATTCTTTATTGCATTCCTTATTCATATATAAGAATACAAGCTATAAGTTGCAGAAGGTATATATTTACTAAGTGGTAGTTCGACCTTGCTGTCTGTCGATGATCTGTTGTTAGCTATTTCTACTATCAATCCATCTATTATCGGGTCGTAGCAGAAAATGTAAAGTTTCTTAAATATAGTTTAACAAAAAATATTTCGAAAACATTAATAAGCCAAATAAAGATTTACGTTATGTTAATACATATAATTATTCTGCAAATTATGTTTGTCACTGAATCACTTTTAAACGAATGGACAAATTTTGATAGAAAAATTAATGCCTGAGTAGGTCCCTGGATAATTTTGAATTCACAATTGAACTTGGTATTTGGTGCTGTTGTCGAGATCTAGAAATCACCCCTGTAAATCTGGGGTGGATCGCGGAGTATTGTATTGAATACATGAAATGGCATCGTTTTTTCTTTTGGTGTCTGAAGAGATGTCCATAGAAAATACCAGAAAGAAATGTGTTGCTCTCCAAAGTAATGTCACCTGCAATAAGTGATGATTAACGCTAATCCTCAATACAAGATAACCATTAGCGGCCACATCTTCACAAGCAACAAACTTTTACGGATTACTGATAAATACGAAGAGAACCAAATAAATAAATTAGAATGCTTCAGAATCAATAACATTTGATATTTCGGAATTTTTTCGTAGACCAAATAATACGATCAGGTTATGATGGCTCAGCAAAGCAGTGGTATTGTCTATATCTATGCTGTTAGTCAGTGAGGTGTGTGTAGGTATGTGAGAAAGTTTATATAGCTAATAAATAATTGTTCCAGGTCCAGATGTGTGCCTGTTTTAGATTTATATTTGTAAAACTCCTTCCCAATACATGATAAAACCTAGATTGTAGGTAAATTTTTAAACAAAGAAAAAAGTTTTTATAAAAGTTATTATTACATACAGGTCAGAGAATGAATACGAAGAAACAGGATCTGAAGAAGAAGTTGATGAACAAGATGAACAAGAATCTGAAGAAAGAAATAACGTCAACGAAGTTTTGGTCAACAACGATATAAAACAAAATGGTATTTTTGTAATTTCGTATATTATATAGATTACATAGTGTTTCAACGTTTTACCATTATAAATTTAGTTTAAATTTCAGAATTCTCTGTTTTAACAATGGTGCTGTGGAGTTTATTAAATTTTCGTCTATATTATAAGATAGTATCTATTGATTATATCTTATAATATAGACGAAGAACAGTCTATATAGTAAAAAAAAATATTTTTCTTCAAAATATTTTTTTAATCTATTGATTACAATTGCTTGATTGAAACAGTTATACCAGGGTGGTCTAAAAAGTTTTCGGCTTCAACGTGAAGATGACAGCACTAGTCAATAAAAGCTAGTGAATATAGTAGTGCATCTTTTCTCATTTACGCACTAAAATTTCAGTCGTTATTTGACAATCGTTTGAGTAAGTGAGTGTTTTTTAAAAATGGAAGAAATTGAGTATCGAGCAAAGACATTTATGTAATAGTAGTAATAGACCGGACAGCAGCAACAAAATAATAATCTGTTACTTTTATCCTATAGCATATGTTTCGGATTTGTGGCATATAGTCTTAGAGACATCGTCAAGAGGTCAAGACTATGCAGTAGTATATTAAATAAGTATATGGTAAAGACGCATTCGCTTTCGAAATTTGAAAAATATTTTTTAAAGAAAGTATGCCTAATTGTGTATTAAGATATTGTTAGTCCTGATATGGATCAAAAACTGAATGTGATTTCGGTTTATTATTGCAAGTATAATGTATATTTACCCAATCATTTTTAAGTTTTATTATTTCCGGTAGATTGTTCCAGAACATTTATCATTATTATGATAACCGCCACAAAATCAGTTAGTGATTGACAACATTAATCAATTGTTGCTTGTTACCTCCCTCCAGTACAGCTCAGATTCGATCATACAACCTCCAACTCAACCTCGGCTCTAGAAGAGATCGAATTCGATCAGAAGTACTGCACTATGAACTATTTTTTTTAAACTATTTTTTCGTTTTAAACAAAACCAAAGACATTATGCAATAGATAATAGTATCAAAGACAAAGATATGCTCTTTTATTTTAAACCATAACCTGGCAATGTTTCTTAGAAAAAAAAAAAGAAATCACTCTGAACTTTCGGCGTTCCACGTGTCGCTTTGATGAAGGTGCTCCGTCTTTTTTATAGAATTTTATATTTGTATCTGGACTAAAAACGAAAGTATTGTACTTTTTTATATTCCTTGTATTATAGTAAACACGTAGATATATAATTTGTGGTATAAAAAGTGAAAAGTAAATTGCCAAAAGTACTTCGAAATCCGGAAGGCCCATTTTGGCGGTTGGGTCATAAATGTGTTATTTTTCCAATTCTCATTTATTTTTAGTGTAAAATGTAAGTAAAAATAGTTTTCTTACATATTTCAAATAACTTGACGTTGTATTTATTTCAAATTCACACAAAAATATTTTTGAAATATTGTTCGAAATGTCATACAGATAAATATTATTATATTTTTTTTTATTTTTTTATATTTTAATATTTTGGTATAAGTAACGAATAGAAACACATAAAACATAAAAATATACATATTTCCAAACATTTTCATATAAATTTCTCCAAAAACAAAAGTGTAGAATTCAAATTAGTAGTAATTTTGGCACTAAAATTGAAGTATATACTACTACTATGTTATAAAGGGTAATTTATGAATTTTATTACAATTTCTAGCAACCAAAAATAATTTTATTCGATAGTTTATACATTCAACAAGAATTCCTGTAAGTTTTATCCATAAATATTGTCTCAAAGTGAAAATATAGCAAAATTTGCAATATAGCAAAAAATTAGCTAACTTGCAAATTTTCCCGCCATTAAGGTCCCGAGGGAACGGGAGTATAACATGTCGCGCGCTGTCCGACCTTACAGGTCTGCGTCTAATGAACAGAGTGACGTCATCCAAGATGCCACCATTGTGACTGCTGTTTGAATTGATTCTTGGTTATTGGAAATTAAATATTTGATTTCATGACAATAAAATGACGTAAAAAGTTTATATGATTTTTCTGGTGTTATGGGAGTCATAATAAATAAATAATAAAATAAAAAAAACTCATCCATATTCTATATTATTATATCGTAAAGGATTTCAAACTTAGTAACCTACAACAACATTATCGATACTTTGATATCGAAACGTTAACATTCTTAAAATGGGTTTTTACCTCGTTTATGCTCGAAACAAAGATATAGTCCGAACAGTGGATTGCAAAGGTGAAACCGGCTCCAAAAAAAAAAAACTGTTTTTTTGGCAGGGAAAGTGAGATAGTACCGTATATCTTAATCGATTATATTCAAAAAGGAAAAACCATTACAGGAGTATACTAAGCACCATTACTTGACAAACTGAAAGCAAAAATTGCGGAAAATGATCACATTTGCAGAAAAAGAAAATCCTGTTTCACGATGAAAATGCGCCGTCTCACACCTAAGCGGTTGTCATGGCGAACATCTACAAATAACTGTTTGAACTGCTTGACCATCCATCTTTCTCAACAGATCTAGCCCCAAGCGACTTTTTTTGTTCCCTCATCTAAAAATGCGCTTAGAGGACAGAGATTTATCGTCAAATTAGGAGGCAATCACCTTCGGGAACAATTATTTTGCAGAGAAAAATACCGATTACTGTTTGGACGGATTACGAAACATCGCTGGGAGAAGTGTGTTACAAGGAGGAGAGTTAGTAGAGTTACAAGGAGGTTGTGTAGAAAAATGAAAACAAATTTTAAAGGAGAAGTCTTGTATCTTTGTTGGGCCGGAACTTTTTAGGCTACCCACGTAATTATAAATAATATAGATATTTTGTGAAGGCTCCAAGGAGAATAATTTTGAGTTTGCTTGTACCATTATTAAAACTTAGTTACAAACAATATACGTCTCTCTTCTTGGAACATATCGCCTCTAATTTCTGAAAGGGTTATGAAGTATACGTATAGTACGTTTCTAGAGCAGGCGGAAAAAAGTACATTGACCTCAAGTATTATGTTAGCATCGAAACAAAACGAGAGTTATTGCTTCCGTACATTTTTTTATAGATTACGTATCGTTATGCGCTAAGCGTGTTACATGGTATGGGGTAGGATGAAAGAAGCGGTCATTCAGAGATAATAAACCTGTTTCGACGCGATTTGTTATAGGTCTCACGCCGTGCGTATTTGAGAAAGCGGATGGAGCAGAACTCATTCCTCATTCTGCTTTGGGATGCTTGCTTGCGTGTAGATAGTTTGAGATTTAAAATTTTCGCTTATAGTAGTGGTTTTAATTTTTATTAGGTTTGTTTTGTTAGTTGTATTATTACGTTTTGTATTAAAGTTTTGTTATTGTTTTGTAACGTTTTCTATATTATTACTAATATGAAATCAGGTTCATCGACATGAAAATCTCATAAAACTTCACGTCACCACGAAAGAAGCAGAAAGTATCACAAATTTCGGAAACCGAAAAAATATAGATTGTAAACATCTATAAATATGTAAAACACTGCCGATATTTTAGGTTATAATCAATGTGACGGACTCTTCTACGTCTTCATCATCATAAAGTAATTCTGAAATAGATACAAATGAACTTCAAGGTTGGCTGAAACTTCAAGGTTGGCTGCTTAAGAATGCTTAGCATTAAAAGTTCGTTTTTTACCTGACTGCCAAGAAGTGGTTGTTTTATAAAACTACCACCAACCTACTTATTAAAGTACTTACTTACTATTAATGTAATAATGAAAATTGTAATAACTCATGATTTATAAATAATAAAAAATTAATATTCATTTGCTTTTTAATTCACTTAGGTACAGGATAATCTTCTTTCTTTATAATATAATAATAAATTTAGGGCCTGTAAAGAACTTCGCACTCTAAATGAACCTAAACAAAAAAGATTACCTACCCCGATGATATCGTCAAAGGTCAATGTACTTTTTTCCGCCTGCCCTGGAACCGTACTATAGTTAAAATTAGCAGATAAACTTCATATGTAATCTAGATATTTTTAAATTATCAAACATGCAGGTTTCGTCACAATATTTTCTTCGTCGCCGAGTACATGGAAAATCAGCAATTAAAATTTCAAGTCAACTATTTCATTGGTGTCGGCAGGGATCAAACTCGAGCTGCTTGCGTTACGGCGAAGTCGTTATCCGCGAGCTCTCATAGCTCTATTCAAATATATGTTATAATCTATTTAAAGCATTTTTGCTGAAACCAATGTTTGAACAAGTTTCATAAAATATCACAGGAGACATAAAGAAAGAAGAACCACAGTCCATGAAACGTCAGCCAACAGTATCTGCTCGCCCACGTCGTCTGTCAGAAGTGGAAATCAAATCTCAGGAGAAACCAATACCTGAGGGCAGTAGTTTCTTCATATTTTCCAAAAACAATTGGTAAGATTGACAGAATGTCATGCAAGAACAAAATTATTTATACGATTTCTTTGAATCACATCACTAAAATAATCTGACCGACATCACTAAATTCAATATACTAGTACTTAATAATAAACATTCCAATAATGTTAATTAATATTGTTTGTATAATACTTTCTTCAAACCATGTTATAAGCACAAATTAACGGCCTGGTTGTTCCATGCTTCTTACCAAGGAACAAATCTTTCTTTTCCTTTATAGCTGACTTGTTCATACGCACTCTTAAGTACACTCGACTGTGTTTTAGTTAAATAAATATATTTTATATAATTATATTCTTGAATGTATTATTTTACTAACAGGTTTCGAGTGACATGTTACAGAGTGCAAAACAACTCTTGGTTTAAAAATTTGATTCTTCTCTGCATTTTGGCTTCATCGCTAATGTTAGCTATGGAGGAACCTGTGCCTACCGGAGGTACAAATGAGGTAAACGAAATTGACTATTGATAACTAAATTGTTTTAAGTTTTTTGTATCCGTCGTGGCATAAGAACCCGCTTCGCTGTTTTTTTCGGTTCTGACAAGCACATCTGAATCTGTGGTTTTAGACCGTAGACCGTGCCCGACGCTTTGAGTGCGCGTGCATGCGCGCGCGTTTTTGTCTGTGTGTGTGTGTGTGTGTAAATATGTAAACATCTCATTACTTTATAACGAAGTTTCCGATCGAAAAGCGGTTTGCGGCATCTGCAAGGGCCTCGCTGAACTTACATTATCTGTGAATTTAAACCGAATCGTCAAAAACCTAAACGTCAAAAATTCTAATATTTTTAAAAGTGGTTATTTTGAAATTGATTCGACACATTTGTTTTGATTAATCCTATCATCTAATCAGTTCTTATACTCAGAAAACGACGTCGATTGCTGTGAACCGCATCATAATCGGTTGATTCATTCGAGAGATATCGTTGTCGAAAGAAATCCCGAAAAAGTGGTTTTTCAAAATAACTTGAAAAATGTCCGTCAAAATAATTTTGTTTGTAATAGGTTGTTTGTTAAGCTGACAAAATTGTGTCAAAAAAATGAACATTTTGAAAAAAAAAAAACCTGGTTCTTTAAAATTGGAAATTATAAAATCTAAATATTATAATCCTTAATAAAATATATTCAAGCTTTTGCGTTTGAAATTATCAGGAAGTCTTGAACGACGGCCTGCAGGATCAACTATTTTTTTTTAAATTATTCTTACAAAGGCTATACATTCTTCACTTTTTAATTTTGCCAAACTGTAACTAGCTTAGTCGCCAACAAAACATTTTATTGTTTCGCACTCCTTAACTATATAGTACTTATGATTGGTTAAATATCTGCTATCTTAAATATAAGAAACAATTCACCACTGTGGACACAATGACAGATAATGTTTCCTCAAGATGGTTTTGAGCTGCGACTTAGTTACGATTTCGATATAATATGTCCGCCACCTCATTACACAAAATCGGAGGTATCTTTTGTCTTGTACGCCGTCCAAAGTAATTTAAAACACTAGGTATGAGATATTTCCTCATTTGTGTAATTTGGATATATGACTTTTAGGTTTCTTAAATGTTATTATTTCATGCGGTTCTAATATGCTGGTGAATTTTACTTTTTTGTCTATGGTTACAAGGATTTTTTTTAAATTGTTTTGTATGCTGCGTTCTTTGTCGCAGCGGGAAATAAAATGCTGCTTTGCCATTCTACTTGGTATGAATCGTATATGGGTTAAGACTGTAGGAGCCAACTAAGTATGACCTGGACTAAGCTATCTTGCTGTTTGACAAGGTTCAAACAATAAACTAAGTCTTAGACTTAGTTTCTGAAGCTGTATTATTTTTTAAATACTTTTAAAACTAAATTTTTAGAATGATAAAAGTTAACAGCATGTAAAGTTTCAATTTTGCAAATAACTTTATAAACGTAATTTAGACATGTCCTTTGTATTTCGTCCAAGATTACTCTGCTATTGGTTTAGATACAATTTGATGACGATACATGAAAAAAAAATCTTTATTCTGATTAATTCAAAATATGTTTTATGATATTTAGATCCTCCGCAAGATCGACTACTTCTTTACGACGGTGTTCACTATCGAATTGGTACTAAAACTGATCACTTACGGCTTCATTTTTCACAAAGATGCGTTCTGTCGGTCCGCTTTCAATCTCCTGGACTTACTGGTCGTCATTGTCTCCCTTGTATCTCTTACAGGGTAAGTTGATTAGATTTAATATATAATGATTTTATGCTTAAATAATAGGTTTTCGTACTACAAAATTGTTAATTAATCATAAATCAATTTACGTTATAAATCAGTATTCCACACATATAAATAAAATCTTGTCAAAACATAGTTAAAAGAATTGTGAAGTGCCGATACACGGCGAGAACAATACCTTGTTACGAGCTTGGGCTTTGTGACGATAAAAACAGCCGATTGAATTACTAAAATTGACACTTTAATTACCGAGACACCAATTACAACTTAAAACACACTAATAATAAAACTCGCAGTTGTATCGCTTCGAAGTATTTGCTCGTATCGCCAATCCAATACCTACTCAGTCGTGGTCCTTACTTACCATATACATTTAGAATGTTCGAGCACATACCAGTCCTACCCGACTAGATGTAGAAAGTTCTAGTATGGAGTTCTTTAGAAGAATTAGTTCTGTTACTCGATACTAGATGGCGCTAGTGCCATGTACCAGGCATCAACTATGGCATGCAACAGTATTTTCAAAAATGCTATCTGTTTCATATCGCTCGCTCCGTATCGCCGTTTTGCGATAGAATTGCAAATGTTAGACCTAATTGCCTATACATTTTCTTTTTAAAATATTGTTTCAAGCGATAATGTTTTCACCCCTCTTAATCTTTATATAATGAGACAATTTTGTCACATTAGATTCAGTATACCTTAATTTAGGTCTGTACGTTTTTCTTTTTTCGTAATTCAGTTTAGTTTAATTAAAAAAATTAAAACGCTACGACCTAGTTTTACATTATATCTACAATATTTTCAAAAATTATTAAAATTAGACTATGTTTACGAGAATACATAAAAATAACGTTATCGCTTTTTTATGAAAATTTACAACTTCGCAATCCTCTTAAGAATTCGTTGATTGAGCAATTTTTATATAAGTACATTTGAATAAATAAAACTTGTTAAATTTGCATAAAAGAAATTAAATCCAAATAAACGTTTACATTTTATGTTATGTTGATCGATTTTTTAGTTATGAATATTTACGTTTACAGGTCGAATAATGTATCTTTTATCAAAATTTTGAGAGTGTTTCGAGTGTTGAGGCCCTTGAGGGCTATCAACAGAGCTAAGGGGTTGAAGGTCAGTTTTGTGTATTTAAATATTTTTTAATAAATTATTTAGATTTTAGAGAAAAATTAGTAAAAGGAAATGTTTTTTATTAATTTTAGCACGTAGTTCAGTGCGTGATTGTCGCTATTAAAACAATCGGCAACATTTTGCTGGTGACAAACCTTCTACAATTCATGTTCGCTGTAATGGGGGTGCAAATGTTCAAGGTAGGGAGATGAATCAATATACTCCATTTCTTTTTTTTTTTAATTTTGCGATCAACGACACCTTTGGGTCCATTTCCATTTTCTAAATTTTTCGGAAGTAAGTATTATTATTCACTGACAAATTATTAGCACAAATAAAAACGTCATCTGATTTCGTTTCGTGTGTGTGCTGCGGCTTTTTTCGTTTATTTACGACAATTAGATTTACTAACCCTCATTATTTTGCTTTTGCCCGTGGGTCCAAAATATCGCTAAATAGGACGTTGCATGATTTTGTGTTATTTTTTTTTTACGAGAGCCCAAAGGTGTTGTGTGGTGTTCCCTAATTTCCCTTTATTTGTGATTTTTTGGACTCAGAAACAGAAAAAGCTTCAGTGTGTTTCATTTGCACAATCCACCCTACCCTACCTTGACATTTTCGCTCTGTCACTAGGAATAAGGTACTTCGTTTACAATTGTGTTTTGATTTTTTTTTACTTTTTTTACGGTCAGATCAGGACGCTGGCAATTTTTTATTCATTTTTAATGACATATTTCTTAGGCAAAATTTTTGTTTTTTAAGTTTCTAACGTTGTTTTTTTCTTTTCTTTTTGCACATGTATAATCTACATGTTCTGCTACGAAATTGGCATAAACTGGTGGAAAACCTTGTCATCCGGTAAAGTAATTGTTAAATGTGGAATGAAAACTTACATTTTTGTGACTTAATAGTACGTTGTAAAGTGTGTTATCGCATCGATTAAATCCATTGGCAACATATTCATTATTAACCATATGTTACAATTTATGTTTGCTGTATTAGGCATTCAGTTATTTAAGGTACGTCACGTTGTTCATTTTCGTTTGTGCCAGCTGTATTGTAAACGTGTTAAGGTTGTTTTTGCATTGTACCAACTTCAGTGTTAGTAATATTTTACCTCTCTATGTGCTTAGCTTGGATTGTGAGAACGAAGCGAGGTCAGGTGATATTTTCTTTTACTTCTTTATTGAACAAGTCTTCTAAAATGGATTTTATTTCAGGGAAAGTTTTTCAAATGCAGTGATATCACAAAAGTGACTAAGGAAGAATGCCGGTAAGAAAACATTTTACAATTTATTATATTAAAGACATTAGTTCTTTCAGTACATTAATCAGTAGTTAAAATCTAATTAATAATTTGGTTGAAAATAATTAGTGAGGCTATTATAATTTTTAAAATAAAGTGCGATAAAAACGAAAATTTCTGATCAAAACTAATATAGGATAGGATTTCATCAAAATTCTATCGATGTTTGAAATGGTGAGTCCAAAACTATCTGTTTCTTCGTTAAGTTCACTTAAAAGGTGTAAAACACTTATTTCAAAACATAATTACATAAGGTTATTTCAAAGAAATGAGTAGTGACATATATTGATAGTCCTTACACTTTAACGGAAAAACGATCATAAGCATAATAGAACATAGACGCATTTGAATGAAGACATTATTTTAAATTAGATACCCTTTTATCCTTTAAATGTTTAGGGTTTTTTTTTTAATATCCGTGTACTGACTGAGAAGCTAACAAAAGATATCTTATAAATGAAGTAAGAGAAATAGCAGAAACATATTTAGACTTTTATGCTAGAGTTTAAATTCCCACATCAAATATACGAAACAACTAGAACAGTATTCATAAATCCGCCTACCAAGAAATATTATATAGGAGAGGAGGTAGTACCATTTACTACTTTCTCTCTTATATAATATTTATTTTGATTACAAAGTTAGATAAGTAAGATATTGACAATAAAGTTTAGTTCTCAATAAATTATTTTGTATACAAAAAATTCAATAAAGTGGCCTTATTTACGACATTTAATATTTTCAGGGGATCGTACCTAGTTTATGAAAATCAAAAGCCTCAAATAAAAGACAGACTATGGCAGAAGAATAAATTCAATTTCGACGATGTGCTGAATGGCATGCTGACACTGTTTACGGTGTCGACATTTGAAGGGTGGCCGGGGTAAGATGTTATGTGCAATCCATTTTAGGATTTAGTAATTTTATTGAAATTAAATATTTATTTACGTTTAGTTAAGGTACACTAAAGAAGGTCATAATAATTAAACATCTGCTTTTTCGGTCGTTATTAATGGCACGCAATACAAAAACAACAGTCTCAAAATAAATTTAAGCAAAAAGAAATAATGAAAATCTTTGATAGGGAACTAAGGGTCTGTCAGTGCGATCAAAAAGCGCACAATCTAGAACACGCATAGCGCTTATTATTATTATCATCAAAATATTGAACTTTGTCGTATTTAATGCGTAGGTAACTCGAATACAGAATTTAAAAAAATCAAATTTGACTTTTGGGTTATTTTTTTGGAGGTAAAGATAAGTAGGATAAATTGCAGGCATTTATTTGATGGATTTTTCTTTCAGATTATTATCTACTTCTATGGATTCAAACCAAGAGGATCACGGACCTATTGAGAATTCACGACCACTTGTGGCGTTCTTCTATATTAGTTACATCATTGTTATTGCTTTCTTTATGGTAAGTTTTAATTATAACATGAAAATTCATAGAAATTCGGAATATAATTAAATAGATTCCAGTAGTTATCCAGCTTTGCCCTGGGCAGTTGTGAAAATCGCCGTCAAAGGGATTTCAAACATTTTTTCTGAATACCTGAAGTTTACATTTAGTATATACTAGCTGTTTCTCGCGACTTCGCTCGCGTGAAATTGATAACGATTGGATTTCGTGGGTTTAAATTTTTTGTGCTTAACCCTAATTCTGTTTCTAAAATAAAAGTAGCCTTACTTACCCCTTATAACATCAGCTATCTGCCAGTGAGAGTAACGTCAAAATTGGTCTTGCGGTTTCGGAGATTAGCCGGAACAAACAAACAGTAAAATAAGCAGACAAAAAATTTAAAAATTGTTTTTTTTTTGTTATAATTATCGTATTTTATGCTTTCATATGCATTTAATAAAAAGCAGTTATTTTGACATTACAAACAGACATTTCGATTTAATTTATTTGTATAGCTAATACATTGTAAAAGTCACGACGGCGAGCGAGTACTATTAGTTGTGATGATGTGTATATACTAACTAAACTAGTAACTGCAGGTAGCGCTAGCAAGCTAATATTTATTAAACAAGATAATACAATTAGTCACATTTGTGTTTCGTTAGGTGGTAATGGTGAAGTAAGAATGTAAATTTAGTTACATGTAGAGAATATTTAAAATAGTAAGAGCAATATGAGAGAACAAAAGAAGTTCACTTAACAAATTTTGGCATATTCTCTTCTTGGCAAAGGATTTTGTTCTTCCATATCTATCTTTCGGAACCAGTGGCAGATTTTAACGTTCATAGGCTTCAGTAATCTGAAATTTAATATTTCCACTTTGATTTTAACTCAAATTCAAACCTTGGATCCGCGAGGTAGTAACAGTAGCAGTGACACCGTAGAATGTAATAAAGATAATTATTTTTTATTTAAAGTCTCAAGTCCTGGGATATGGTCACTTGATTTCTTAACTTAAACTTAAGTTAAAAATTTCAATAACTTTTCACTTATTTTCAGGTTAACATATTCGTCGGTTTCGTCATAGTGACGTTCCAAAAGGAGGGTGAGCAAGAATTCAAAGACTGCGAACTTGACAAGAATCAGAGGAACTGTATCGAATTTGCTTTAAAAGCAAAGCCAGTTAGGAGGTTAGTTCTGTTATCTAATGAAAAAAGTTACAGCTTGTATACGTCCCTCTGCTGATTCATTGGTCAATCTGGTCTCATTTCTCAGAAGGTTCACCCGCCGGCCTGGCCAAGTGCGGGAAAAGTGCATGCGGCTCACCTGATGGAAAGTGTCGACCGCCACGCATGAGTTACTGCATCACCAGGGGAATTCTAGGTGCGTTGTTGTTAATATTTTACTTAGTTCCTCTTAATATTTTACTTCTCAGACAGGTTTCCTCGCGATGTTTTTCTTCACCGCTGTGATAAATTGGAGATTGAAATTGCGACTAACAATTTCATTACGCCGGCGGGGATTGAACTAAGTTTGTTCGCGAATTATAAAATTTATATTTGCCATGTAGAAAGAATGAATGAGGAACGAGTGACAAAGCAAATTTATATGGCAGATGTGAACGGCAGAGTCAGGAAGAGACGTCCGAGACGAAAGTTTATAGACCAATTTGACGATATTTTGAAAATGGGCCACATTAGGAGTACCCTTAACCGACGAGCATGTATGCGTAGGTATATGGATGTAAAGGAGGCGAGAGAGGTGTCTGAATCGTGCCAAATGGAAGTCTAGTCTCTAGGTGACAGGCGTGGATGTTTATGTATTATATTATGTATACCAGTGTTTTTAGATCTGAGAATCTATCACAGTTTCGAAATTCAATGATGGGATTCGTCATTTGGAAATTTTAGATATCTTATGTGTGACCATCATAGATATTTTCTTATTTTCTTTATTAGCCTCTCAAATTCTAAGCTGGGCTTTGATTTCTCCTATTGTAGACAGTATTTGTTTTCTTTGCCACTCTTGGTAGGTGGATTGATGGGCGCAGCACCAGAAATTTCACAGCAGGCAATAAATATGCTGGTTATACAGCCCTCTTTGCGTTATTCCGTGTAGTGGCGGTGTAAGAATATCCAACACCCCATATCATCCCGTTGGTGTCGTAAGAGGCGACAGAGGGTAACAAATCAGGAGATGGACAACATCGGCTTCCTGAATATAAAAGAAGACTAAAATCTGAAAAAAAAAACTGCGGTTGTTAACCCGCTTACCAAGCGTGGCAACTATGGCAAATATACCCCTATGAGGCAAGCCTTATTTCAGCAGTGGACTTTTATAGGCTGTAACGGAACGAATGCCGCTTTCTATCAGAGGGTAGACAGACAAAATGGAATGTTAGATATAACGACTTCAGAGATATTTTAGATTGAGGCTATTCTCTGAGTAACATCGGTTATCCTTGACATTTTATTTGCAACTTAGGCATCCAGTACTCGTGCAGCATATCACAAACGTTGAATGTAAATTTAATTATTAGGCAATCTATCTTAGTCCTCAGGGGCAAAGATTTAAATAGTTAGATGCGCCTTCATATTGAAAACTGTGACATTATTTTTGGATGTGTTCGTTTGCAAGACGCTGACGCGCGCACACTAATGCAATAGTGTCATCTCTTATTATCTTACAGAAATTGTGTATACTACTTTCTCTGTCGCATAAATGAGCACTGATTGCGAATGAGTGAGCTCACTCATTTGAGAATGGACACATTTCGGAGTGGTCATAATATGGTAAGGGCGCATCTAACTACTTTGCTCAGGAGTTACGACGCATCTAACTACTTTGCTCAGGAGTTACGACGCATCTGTTACCTTTTTGTTTAATATTGGTTGTCGGTACCCATTGACTATCAGGGATAGGACTGGGTACATTTTCCAGTTCAATATTATTAAAAGAAACATTAAATCACATACAGAATGCAATGAGATGATTTATTTCTTCAGCTAATGAAAAAATCTTTCACTATAATTATTTTTAATTTGTTATTAATAATAATATAAAATTCTTTATGTGGTAAAGCTAAGCTGCAACTATATTATGGTTGTAGCACGAATGGGTCGGCTTGACCGGAGTAAGACCAAACACCAGCGTAAAATAACAGCTTAATTCTGCTGTGTTTCGTATGGTGAGTGTAGAGAATCGGAGACCCTTTTTACTGGAAACGAGCCGTTCCATCTTAGTCCTCGGAGGTGACATCGCACCTGCATTTTGATTCTCAATTGAGGATAAATGTAGACGTCTGAAGACCACAGCATCCACTTACCATCAGATGGAATATATGCTCGTTTGTAACCATTATTAAAAAAAATCATAGTTTATAGTTATGTGACTGTTATTGATTTCCTCTGAATTATTATTAATTTATTATTTCAATAATTTCTAGGTACATACCGAAACACCGAATCCAATATAAAACATGGTGGTTCGTGACGTCACCACGTTTTGAGTACGTTATATTTTTCTTCATCGTGCTCAACACTGTGGCACTTATGATGAAATTTCATACCGCTTCCGCCGAGTATAGAAAGGTATATTTGTTTATACAGTTAAAAGTTAAAGCCTATATACGTCCTACTGCTGAGTACAAGCCTCCACTGACTACAGGTTTTAGGGCAAAGAAATGTCCACTGTGCTACCTCAATGCGTGTTGACGAAATTAAATTTTAATTTAAATTTTTTTTTCCGATTTCTCAGACGTTCATTTTTTTTAAATTTAACGGCTCCTTTACGCAGTGGCTTAGCAATGAGATGGCGCTGAGGGCCGCGGCTTCAAATCCCAAACGGAACAAGTACTTGTATGACCTATAAATAATTGGTCAGGGTCTTTGTGAAATTTACATGTAAACGATACCCAAGAAAATCTTAGTGCGGTAAAAACATAAGAAATTATAATAATATATTTTAAGAACGTTTTCGCTGAAAAGCTGTTGTTGGAACAATAGCATATCTTCACTCTGAACAATTACAATATTATTTAAGGGCCAAAGCATAAGGATTGAATAATTCTACAACTGTAATGAATTATTATGAACAATTCAATGATTAGACTAGAGGAAAACTCAATACTAATTGTGAATCTAACTAATAATACCTAAAATGTGGATATGATCGAGTTTGTTTCAATGTTATTTTCTACAGACTTGACAAAGAAGGAGGTATTCAATTGGGCTGTATGTTTTTTATGTGTATTACCTCAGAACTCTTTTCTGTGTGTACCGATTTTGATGATTAATTTTTTATCCGACACCTGGTGTTTCTTGTGTGGGGTTCCATATAAATTTGATAAAAATCTGACAAGTAATTTTTGAGTTATCCTTAAATAATGCGTATTTAATTGACTTCGAATACATTGATGATGTTATCATTTTATTTATGTTGAAGTCGGTTGTACAAAATTTTTAATTTTACCACTTGTTTCTTGTAGGTTTTGGATTACTTGAATATGATACTGACAACAGTTTTTATGCTTGAATTTGTCTTCAAACTGGCTGCGTTCAGATTTAAAGTAAGTAAGAAATAAAATATAACTACTTACGTATTTTATGAAACCGTACTATATGTATATTTGACCACGTCTAGATATATGTCGTTTGAATTCTTTGCCGACGTTGCAATAGATGTCCATTCATATTATGGACATACATGGTTTCATTCGAATGGAGAACAATATTAAAATTAGCTCCTTAATCCGTAATTTACTGACCTATGCAAAAAGCATACATGGACAAATATTTTCAAAAATAACTGCATATATTTTGATTCATCTATGATATACATCAACTGTTAAGATTACTGACGTATATACGTACGTAAATAATACGAATGAATTTGAAGTTATTAGTTTTTTTTTCCGGGACCAAAGTGACATTGTCATATTTTAAATAATTAAATGGTGTTTTTTTTTTAAATCCAACTTCTAAATTTACTAACGTCCATTGATTTTACTTACATGGAGATAATTCATATGAATTTAAAAACCGTATGTTTTTGGAGTTATATCTCTAATAGTGATGGATTATTTCGGGATGTTACCTAATTTTTTGAAAAACAAAATTATGAAGAAACTTTGAGCGGCAAACCATTTGGGAGTTGATGGATATGAACAACAAATATTTAAAAAAAGGATTTATAAAAAAAATATTCTTTTTCAGAATTATTTTGGCGACGCTTGGAATACTACTGACTTCATTTTGGTCATAGGCAGTATAATTGATATTGTGGTGACACAAGCTAATGAAAATAATCCTAAATTGCCGGCTTCTAGTGTAAGTTTTTATTGATATATTTATTTTGTCACTCGTCTTTTGTCTATTCTACTTTGTAAACTTTTCTTGAAGGTTTAAATCTATTCTACTAGCGCGAGCTATAATTTCATTATTCGCATCTAACAAAGAGTATTTACTTTGCTTGCATACTTCATCTTTTAAACAAATACCGGTAGAACGATACGTAAATTATTCATTATTATAAGACCTTACTACTAATATGGAATTAGCGAAATTGAAATACAATCGTCGATTGAAGTAACGTTCACGGAACAAAATGACTTTTGTTAAACTAAGACTATTTTAAGCTTTAACACCACCTGGCTCCAGGTGGATAGAAATCGAACACTGGCTTATGATAGAAAAAGTATTAATTTTTTTTAAATGTCGGCATTATGTACAAAGATCTTGATAGGTCATTATAACGGCTGTTGTAGGATGACAATTGATTATCCTTCAGATGAAATTTGTGACGATAGCATCAATTATTATCATAAAAATAGATGGAGCCAATATCAAAGCCGGAACAACTTTAATATCTTCTATTTATTTTGTTTATTCCATTGGAAATGTAATAAGTAATAAGCCCGTAATAATGAATATGGATTAAGGACAGACAAATTTAGATAATATAAACATCTGTGCTTGATTTATTACCTTTTTTACAAAATGATTCATAACTGGGTCCTATTCACATTTTCAGATTTCATCAGATAAAGGAATTGAGGAGGTATGAAGTTTTAAAATACGATTTTCGCATTTAATTTTTTATATCCTATATTTATGTTAAGATCCTGTATATATGTAACTGGTTTATCAGAAATGGCTCTAACGATTTGGCTGAAATTTTGTAATTAGATGATGTTTTACTTTCAAAGATTATCTAAGTAGGTGTCATTTATCCTCGAGAAAAAAACTTACTCCGAGAAAAGTTCGGTCATCCAGGTACATAAAAATAATAGAAGAGAAAACTGACAAACACTTAAAGAAATTTAAAGACTTAATTATATTGATATTGATAGGTCAATGTTTTAAAAATGTTATTATAATGAAAAATACATATTTTAGCAAAAAACAAACTACTTCATTAATTTCCTCTTCTCTTGTTCATACTTCTTCTTTTTTCCATTCAAGTTTTTTAAAATTTGATTTTAATGCAATTTTAGAACTAAAGTTAACGATTTTAATTTTATTTTTTAGGGTCGCAACCAGACAATAGGGTTAAAGTATATCACATTCTTCCGTTTGTTCCGTGCCATGCGTTTGATTAAGCTGCTTTCACGTGGTGAACGCATCAGAACTCTGCTTTGGACCTTCATTAAGTCCTTCCAGGCTCTTCCATACGTCGCATTACTGATTGTTCTGTTGTTCTTCATCTACGCTGTTGTTGGAATGCAGGTATTGTTTCTTATTTTATAATCAATATTAGCTTATTCTTCTTCTTCTGCATTAGTTGTGTGGTCGTCTTAATTATCCCGCTTACTGTTGCCAGTCATCGGTTTTCTGGTCTATTTATTTTACCTCTGGTGTAAACGAGATGATTATACTGCTATTTATCGAATTTCATTAGATTTTTGAGGTATATTCGCCTCGTGCACATCCACAGGACGAAATAGAGTGATTGAAACTTAAGCGACGCTCTCGTATAGCAAATTTAATAAAATAAAATAAATAAATAGTTGAAGTTTGGTGTAAAACCAATGTAAAAACAAGTGTAAGATGTAAATTACTTGTTTTCTATTTTTGTTTAATTTTTCGCTCAATACATAACATAATAACTTGACAATAAAGATATCATACATCATTTAGAGACACTTATTTTCATTGGCCTTAGTGAATATAATTAACTATATAAGCCTTATCAAACTTACTGCTGGATATGTCTTATCTAGGATGCGCAATTTGGTATCCATAATTTGGTGAAAACCTCTAAATTCAGCACGATGGCCAGGTGGAATGATGAGCGCAGGACCTCGCATTGATAGCTGTAGCCTATGACTAGTCTGCCGAACCCAAGTAGGCTCGGTATTTTCGAGTGGATATATATATATATATATATATGTGTGTGTGTGTGTGTGTGTGTGTTGTAATAAAAACCCTGTGGTTCCCGTTAACTGCGTTATCAGAATCAGCATCAAATCATCCAAGCATATAGAAATGTTTTTTTTTTCGAAAAACACATTTAAAAAAATTAATTTTAATGAAAAAAAAAATAATTTGCAAATTGTATGTGGGACCTCTAAATCACACGAGTATCGATAATGCGGGGTCTTTGACAATCCTCTTACTCCTCGGCTAATGCAGAGATAATAAATCCACATACAATTTGCAAATAATTTTTTTCATTAAAATTTTTTTTTAATTGTGTTTTTTTGATAAAAAAAAATATTTTTATATGCTTGGATAACTGTTTCTGATAACGCAGTAAACGGGAACCACAGGGTTTTTGTTACATGTTGTATATTATGGTCCGCTTTGACTAACTTATTGTTCTAATGGTCGTGCGGTGTTACATCCCTTTGCCTCGGAATGTACGTTAAACCAGTGTTCCGCAAAGTGTGTACCGCGGCACACTGGTGTACCGTGATCATTAGTTGGTGTGCCGTGGAAACATAAGGTTATCTTATAAAATTATTTTTAGTAAGTAAGTAAGGGTAAGTAAAATACCAACACAAAAAACGCGAACGCACGAGCGAGGCATTTTGTTTCGTTCATTTAATTCTGTGGTTTCGTCAGGCGCAGGCTGCGGCGGCCAGCGCGTCGCGGGAGGCGGGGACGGAGGCTCCCCGCCCCGCTACCCGAACTCTCTGGCTCACCAGTCTGTCAGTATAAGTACGAGTGCGCCGTTTAACCGCACGCTTTTGTTTCGTCGCTGCTTATTATTCTAAGCGTAAAATAAATATTAAAATAATGGATAAATTTATTAAACGTAGTGTGAGTTTGTCAGGTGAAAGTAACGAAGAAGAAAAAGAGTCAATGAAAAAGAAACCCAAAATTGTTCATCGAAAATATGACGAAAGGTACATAAATACGGTTTTACATATTGCGGAGACGAATCTTGTCCTACCCCAAAATGTCTTGTTTGCGGAGAAACGTTGTGTAATAATTCGATGGTGCCCAGTAAACTAATACGACATTTAACTACTAAACACCCATCAGTAGCCCAAAAAGACAAAACGTATTTTCAACGTTTGAAGGACCAATCGAAGAAGCAGGTAAATCTCACGAGTTCATCTTTCAAAACCTCAGACATAGCACAAAAAGCAAGCTACGTGATCACTAATATGATAGTTAAAGCTAAAAAGGAGAGTGTGGTTTGCAAGATGATGCGGTGACCAGGATTAAGAAAGGAATGCTTCGGTGGTTTGGTCATGTAGAAAGAATGAATGCGGAAAGACTGACAAAGCAAATATATGTTGCAGAAGTGAATGGAAGAGTCGGAAAGGGACGTCCTAGGCGGAAGTTTGTCGATCAAATTGGCGATATACTAAAAATGGGCCAAATTAAGAGTACCCTTAACCGACGAGCATGTATGCGTAGGTATATGGATGTGGAAGAGGCGAGAAAGGTACGTCAGGATCGTGCTAAATGGAAGTCTGTAGTGTCTGCCTACCCCTCTGGGTGACAGGCGTGAGTGTTTATGTTTTTTTTTAAAGCTAAAAAGCCGCACTCTCTTGCTGAAACTGTAGTTTTACCTGTCTGCAAAGAAATTGTCAAGATAATGATTAGCCAAGAAGCTGCTAAAGAAATTGAAAAAATACCTGCATCGGCAGAAACGATTTCACGCCGAATCAATGACATATCTAATGACATTAAATCGACGTTGATTGAAAAATTAAGAGTTAGTGGAGTTTTTGCGCTACAAGTTGATGAGTCCACTGACATCAGTGGTCACGCGCATCTCAACTCAAATGTTAGATACATTGGTACTATACTAAGGTTGCTGAAAAAAAATCCTAATGTTCAAAAACAGCATTGTTTTTACATAGGGAAGCTCTTATGACGAAGTCTATGCCTGACGTTCTATTGCGCGTTCTTCAAGAAATTATCAAAATCGTCAATTACATCAAGTCGCGACCGCTGAACTCTCGTATTTTTAATGCACTGTGTCATGAAATGGGGGCAGATCATCAGTCGCTTTTGTTTCATACACAGGTACGATGGCTTTCTCGCGGCAAAGTACTTTCCCGAATTTATGAGTTGGAAAATGAGACTGAGATGTTCTTGCAGTCCCAGGGTTCAGATTATGCACATTTATTTTAAAAAAGAAGAATGGCTAGCAAAACTTGCATATCTGACGGATATATTTGCTCACTTAAATGAGCTCAATAGAAAAATGCAAGGCAGAAATTCCAATATTTTGACATCGTCGGATAAAATTGAAAGCTTTCGCGCTAAATTGGAACTATGGATCAGTCTCGCTACGAATGGTAATAATGAAATGTTCCCAAATGTCATTGCAGCTGACAAAGAACGAAAGGTGCAGGCTTTGATTGTCAAACACTTAAAGCTTCTTGCAGAGAAAATGAATTTCTATTTACCTAAGCGTGATCTGCAACCTATGGACTGGGTTCGAAATCCTTTCTCCGAGAACATTCCTTTCAGCCACTTACCAATAAATGAGCAGGAAGAACAGATGTAAATGAAAACGGATCGCACATTAAAATTAAAATTTTCTGAAACTGATTTAGAACATTTTTGGCTATGTGTGAAAAAATAATATCCTCTGCTTTCTAAGCATGCTATTGCAATACTTTTACCGTTTGCAACAACCTATTTGAGTGAATTAGGATTTTCGACTTGTACCACGATAAAAACCAAAAAAAGGAAACGCCTCAGGACGATCGACGAAGAAATGAGAGCAGCCTTGTCAGCGATAACTCCAAATTTAAACCGTCTGTGCTCAATTAAACAGTCTCATGTTTCGCATTAAATAAATTTTCTGAAATTTGAAGTTTAGGTTTGTTGATTAGTTAAAAACTGTTTTTTAATTTGTGGTGTACCTCAAATTTTTTTCGTTTTCCTAGGTGTACCTTGAACAGAAAAAAGTTTGCGGAACACTGCGTTAAACCGTTGGTCCTGCTCCTGATTTCTCTCCGGCTGTGTTTGAATTTCGCCTCCATCGGACTACGAGAGTGATCAAGTAGTGAGACCAGAGTAAGAGAATAGTCTCCTACTCTCGTCTCACTCTGTTACCGACCAAAATTCCGACCGAATGAATTTCTTTTAAGTCAATGCCAGTCTTAGTTTGTTACATGTGTATTCTTAATTATACTGCTACGAGTACCCCAATATTAATTTTATAAGATTTTCTTCTTTAATTTACAATACACATTAGGTAAGGTATGACCGTCCGCGTAGTCAATGTTATAAAGTTCAACAATTTCTTTGTAGTTTATTGATTGCTTTTTTAAGATGTCAAATCAAATAAGTTTTCTGTCTTTTTTCTATGTATTTTCATTTGTATGCAAAATGAACTGACCATATATATGACTATGACTATGCATAGATCGGACCATAAACAATAATTTAAAAAGCTGAAGGTACTCCAGGTTTAACAATGACATCGGGACGTCAGTCATCTCAGTCCCCCGTGACCGTGGGTGCTGGAAAGCACCCGAAACGTCGGGAATTAAAAATAATTAAATTTAAACGCGATAAAATCCGTAAAAGTAGTTTTAATTAATGTGTGGTGTTCGCGTAAATATAAGAAATCATTATGTTACTCATTTATTGGAAATTGTTCCAGTTATTTGGAAAAGTTGAGTATTCGGAAATAATTACAAGGAATAACAATTTCCGGACTTTTGGAGGCGCTTTAATGCTCTTGTTTAGATCAGCTACAGGTAAAAGGTTTAAAATATTTTTTAATTTGTTTTTAGTAATTTAAGTAATACAATCTAATGAATTTAATAATTCATATATGATATTAGCTTAAGCTAAGCTTTATAGCTTCGATCATATTTTTGTTATTGTAAACATTATTGAGTACTTAGTTTCAACTTCAAATATATTGTACTACATAATTTTTTATTTCATTATGATTGTAACTGTCTACTACCTTGGTTTACTTTTATTTTGTGGTATTATTAATTAATATTTTACTTAACATAAGCTTTTTGTATTAAAATTATGTTTCTGTCTATCCTTTAGATTATAGCCATTATGAAAAAAAAACCTTTTGTGTAGACGACGTGGCGTTATTTTCATTCAAATATAAATTATATATTGACAGTTTAAATATGGCGTTAGAGTTGATGTTTTGTGTTTATTTCAGATATAATGTCGTCATTTAGCTTCTAAATCAGGAATAGCATAATTAAATCAGGAATAGCATTTGCTATTGAATTAGTATTAATACTTTAACAAACAGGTGAAGTTAGTACCTAGTCTATTTCTATGTTTGTTATAGTCATCAATCAATGACTGTGTTTCTAAATGTCAAGAGTTCAGTGAATCGTGAATTGTGCACCTATAACGCTTCCCTTAGATAACTAAAGCATTGTTAATATGTCCGTTAAACGGTTTAAATCCATTATAAGTTCGCAACATCCAACCAAACACGTAATTAGCCTCCTGAGAAAGTTTTTCGAACTGGGTTTTTTCTTACCGAATAGTTTGACTTTGCCCATATTATACGAATCTATATTTTACTATATTCAAATTTTATTATACCCTTAGAAATCAATAGCAGTTTTAGTTATATTAGACACGAACTCATCATGAACCGCCCGATGAGCATGTACACAAAGTTTTTCAGCCGCTTGCCCTTTACGAGAAAATCTGCAAATTTTAATGCTGGTAGTTAACTCTTTATCCAACCTTTTTATAATTAATATCTTGCCATATTTGCTTGCGATCTTGCAAAATCGAAAAAAAAAACGCTACTATGAAGTGATCATTCCAGTACCGTATCGTATAGTATACGTCTAAGACACACTATGATATTGGCCTAATTCCAATCTCAGCTGACATTTAATATTTGTGTTAGAAATGTTGTTAGTTTCTGGTCTGGTTGTGTTGGGAGATTAACCTCTCCCGTGGTTGCAGAATTCTATTCTAAATTGAGTATTTTCGCATAAGCTTTACCTAGGGTAAAGGTAAGGTAGTGGTACCAATAGTTTAGGTGGAACAGATCTTTATGTTAGCGCTCCAGAAGTGATACTGACATAACATGATCAGTGAAAAACATCCAACAGTACCCGTAAGTTGTCCCCGTGTTTAAAATCGGCGTGAAGAATGTCATCGGCCATTAAAATAAAACTTTATCTATGTATCAGGTGAAGCATGGCAAGACATAATGATGGCTCTATCACCAAATGGAGCTGAGATACCCGATGAACCGGTTCGATGCATTCCCACCAATTCCACTACAGATGGTTCAGAAGAGATTTGCGGCTCATCGTTTGCATTCCCTTATTTTATTTCATTCTCTCTGCTTTGTACCTTTCTGGTAAGTATTAGGCTTCCTTTCTCTTTTTTTATATAAATTTACCTACTACGTACTCGTCGATGAATGAAAGCACCATTAAACAAACCTGGATGCCAAAATAATATAAAAAATATTTCGTAAACATATAAAGAGCTTTTTTGATCTAAGACCCTTTGCGTTTCTAACACAGACACAAAATATAACTGATAAATAAAGCCATAACATAACATATAAAACCTGTTTATGGTTAATGAGGAATGCTCCTAATAGGACTGCCACATATGATGTGCTAACCTGTAGCATACCAATGTATGTTTGGTGTAGATTAAGTTAAATAAAACAACACTATGAATGCGACATTTCAGTACAGGCATTTTACGTAAATTTTATTTTCGTGTAGACACTAGAGCTGTTGGAAATACGATATGTTGCTTCATTATGAGACTTGTAAACTTCTAGACTTCAGATAGTCTTTCAATAAAAAAAATACCACAGGCAACACGGGCCACCGGTGGACCGAAGGGGAGTAGCCATAACGTTTTTTCCGATATAGAACTGTCGGTCATTTTTTGCGGGAAAAACCTGCGTCATTCTATGTCAATCAATCGTCTGTCACTTCTGCATACGTATTTATGTAATTACCCTAAGAACACTATCGCTCGGTGACAGCAACTACTCGAAAACGTATTCGTGTCAATCGCTCGACTGATACACATATTGTATCAGGACGAGCGTCCTGTGTTGGTTAACAAATCCGAAGCAACGAGACCGTAATTATTGTATTGTTTAAGTTTGAAAAGAAGTAAACAAGCAATAATGTGTTCAAAAATTTATATATGAAAAGTAACGCAATCTTTTGTAAATTTGACAGCTTTTTGAAGCAAAAAAACTGAACAATTCGGTATTTTTGTAGGACTTCGATTCAGCCGCGCAACTAAATTTAGTCTAGTGAGCATTGCGGCTGCAATTAGTTTTAATATACGCATAGGACCACGCGAACTTATTCTTTGACAGAGGCAACGCTTGCATATGGCTACTCCCCTCCGTCTGCCGGTGGCCCGTGTTGTACTAACTTTTCTATTTTTTTTTTTTTTTTGTTCTGTTTCACTAAAAATTTTAGGTAGTGGCTGACATCTAAAATTTATTTACACTTCGAGTAAAAAAATATTTATTTATGATTCTGTTATATTTACTTTAATGATAAAATTTCTATAGATTCTAAGCTTGTTACTAATTATTTTCAGATCATAAACTTGTTTGTCGCTGTCATCATGGACAACTTCGATTATTTGACAAGAGACTGGTCTATCCTTGGACCACATCATCTGGATGAATTTGTTCGGTAACTTTTCATTAGCTATGTCTTTTCTTTGAAATATACCTACCAGATTTCAATGATTTAAATAAGGAAACTGGCATATAATAATAGATTGTCGCCGTACGTCGTGTTGAGGAAGAAGTCAGAGAAACAATCTTTATGAGAGATGACGTATAAAGTAATAAAAAAAATTGAAAAAAAAATTGAAACCTTTTAGTAACCAATAATTGTCAGACGTATCGTATCAATATGTTTTGTACGTGATAGAGCCACGCTGCAGCTATATTATGGTTGTAGCACGAATGGGTCGGCTCTTCCGGGAAGGACCACGGTCTCACAGAATACCAGCGTAAAATAGTAGCTTGATGCTGCTGTGTTTCGTATGGGGAGTGTAGACATCCGGAGACCCATTTTACTGGGATCGAGGCATTCCATTTTAGTCTTCAGGGGTGACAATGTGTCTGCATTTTGATTCTTAATCGAATATAGATGTCTACGGGCAACAGTATCCACTTACCATCAGGTAAACTGTGTGCTCGTCTGTCACTTTATTCTATAAAAAACATTGAATTTTGTGATTTTTACCTAAATTATAGCGTAGTATTAACGTAAATAATAAATAGATATTTTTTTTTAATTCATACCTTTACCTCTGTTTTGGAAAGTGCTCCTGACCTGGGAAAACCCAGCGGAACTTGTTTTCAGTAATGTATTATTGTAAATTAAATTAAGTATACAAACCAATTAGAAATAGCTTGGTATGAAATAGCTTTCATAACCATGTCAATCCATCCATCACCAGTCCACAGCTGGACATACGCCTCTCCCACTGTAAGGCGGATTTTTTTTATAGAGTAAGGGTAACAAACGAGCACAAAGGCCACCTGATAGAAAGTGGATGTGGATCTCATTAAGAATTAAAACGCAGATGTGTTGTCACTCCTGAGGACTAAATGGAATGTCTCGTTCCAGTAAAAAAGGGTCTCCGGATCTCTACACTCACCGTACGAAACAGTAGTTAAGCTGCTATTTTACGCTGGTATTCTGTGCGTGTGTGGTTCTTCCCGGTCGAGCCACCCATTCGTGCTACAGCCATAATATAGCTGCAGCGTGGCTCTATCGCGTAGAAATTACCATTGCATCTGTATATATGTCCTAAAAGTCAGCAGTTGGACACAGACCTCTCTTATCGTAAAGAGGATTTACCTTAACTAAGTTTATTGAATAAAAATCATTCAAATGAATGATTTCATAATCATTACATTTCATACGCTTGGCAGGCTTATTGAACATCGCAGTACCTGACATGAGCACCTTTGACCTTGCTTGTCGTCCTTGTTATTGGTATTTTATCGATATTTTATCGGTGGAGTAAAAGTGTTTATCGGAAGCTATAAGATCTTTTTGGCATATCTCATAGTCCAGAAGAAATGGAGAGACGTATTCTCTTACACCGCCACCACATGGCGTGTAAAAATCTCTCTGTCTCTTTTAATTCGTTTGACAAACGCCAGGTAGAGGAAAACCGAGAATGAAATTTATACGTGGTAGAGCAATAATGCAGTTATATTAATAGTATAGCTGTAGCAATGGGTCGGCTCGACCGGGGAAGCACCACGCTTTCACAGAATACCAGCGTAAAACAGTAGCCTAATGCCACTGTGTTTCGTATGGTGAGTGTAGAGAACCGGAGATCCTTTTTACTAGAAACGAGGCATTCCTTCTCAGTCCTTACGGGTAACAATGCATCTGCGTTTTGATTCGTAATCGAGGATAGTTGTAGATGTCTATGGGCCACAACAACCACTTACCATCAGGTGGACTGTGTGCTCGTTTGTCACCCTATCTCATAAAAAAGGAAAGGTGTGATTTTTTTTCTTTTTTAGGCCTTTATCTTTAGATATATTATATAGCTTCATCGTTTCCTATCTTAGAGGTTCACATCTAAGGATTTGTAACTAAAAGCATTCTAGCGACAACTGACGCAGATTTCGACTGTCGCTGTGGTTTAATATTATTTTTATCATCAGCAAGCCTCTTTTAAATTTATGACGGAGTGTATCACCAAATGTTGTACTCTCTCAGTTGTCCTTACCATGAACCTAAAAAAAGCAAGTTTTGAAGAAAAATTGACCTTATAGTCGACATAGTTTCAATCGTTTACCTATTTTCATTATTAAACAATTGGATGGATATAATTGTTATAGATCTCTTGATATACTTTAATTAATTTATGTAAATTAAATTACAGACTTTGGAGTGAATACGATCCGGACGCAAAAGGAAGAATAAAACATTTGGACGTGGTAACTTTATTGAGAAAAATCAGTCCGCCGTTAGGTAAGTATAAGGTGTATAATTATTAGTAAGGAGTTTAATTGACAATCTTGAAAAGGCAAAATTTGATGATCAGTTTCTTTTAAGAATACTAGTCAAACTCTCGTATTACATAGTAGTTATTAGTATTAAACACTCCAACTGAGCTTAAAATCCTTGTGTAAGGAGTAGTTTACGACTATAATCGAATGTAGAACTTACGAATTCTTAATTACTCTTCATCATCTTATTAATAATCGGTTCAGATTATAAATGCATCCAATGAAAAATTTGTGTTTGTAGCTCGAACGCTTGATGTGGTGATGTAATTATACAACAATGCTCTGTTAAAAATAATCTGCTAAATATTTTTCCTATTTACTGATTTTAAGTTTTTTTAATCCCTTCATTTAAAATAAAGTGAATCATAGAACATGAAAGTGACAAACGGTTCGACATTGAAGAAGACTAATTTTACGGATTCTATCCGGTTTTATTGTAATTGTATCTCTGTGTCAACTTTAAAAACTAAGACCGAATGCATGACAGCCTGTATGTTAATACAGTCTGTAAAGATTATGCCAGTATTACCTGGTATGCTCTGTATAATCTTGGAACAGGAACACAATAATAGATGCATTGCTATAAATTAATTTTGGCCCAGGTTTCGGCAAGCTGTGTCCTCACCGGACAGCCTGCAAGAGACTGGTCTCCATGAACATGCCTCTCAACTCAGACGGCACCGTAAATTTCAACGCAACGCTGTTTGCCGTGGTGCGGACGCAGTTACAGATCAAAACAACAGGTTTGTATCGATTAAAATACTGAATATCAACTCGGGTTGGGAAGGAGGAGGGGTTAGTAGTAAAATATGAGTTAAAGAAAAAATTGTAATAACAGCGTCAAGGGATGCCCTAGACGGTAGGCTAGGAAATGTTCGAGATGGGTTAAGTGAAGAGAAAGTACCCTTAGCTGACTAACATGTATGCGTAGATATAGATGACATAGAAGCGAAAAAAGTGCGTACGTATCGTGCCAAATGTAAGTCCATAGTCGTTAGTTGCATAGTCGTTGCGTAGTCTTTGGAAGGCCGCCGTAAGAGTAAGTATTAAAATACATTAAAGTAACTATTTCAAGTCTGGTTTTAAATGTCAGATAATTCATTCCGTAGCTGTTATAAAAGAGGACTATGGGAAATGCCGGAAAGGTCTCAAAACTTCAGGCGGACTGCGGTAGACCATGTTTATACTTAAAATAAAACATCTACACCAGCGAAGGGAAGCAATATCAAAGTTAAGAACGTCTGTGACTGTGATCACCCATTCCAACGCCCTATCAAGTGAAGCTATCTAATCAAATTTCAAAGGGATAGGTCTATGTTCGGCAATAGACTTTTGTGGATGGACTGATATTAAGGAAAGTTAAACAGAAACAAAAATGTTTGATAAGTCTGCTCTGCTCTGCTTCTGCTCGGCATAGACCTTCTTTGTTTTCTTAGAGGGTTAGGGGGCAATTATTGTTTCAAAATATTTTAGTTTCTTAGAAATATTTATTTGAAATATTCTTTAAAGATGCAGGTTTCCTCACGATGTTTTTGATTCCTTTACCGCCGAGCACGTGTTAAATTAAAACTCAAAATTGCAACTGATTTTTTTATTGGTGCCTCTAAATTCTAGTTTCTATGGGTTTGAATCAAGAGAAGGAAAATATAAATAATACAGTTTTATTTTGCGGTATATTAAATTATCTGCTATATAAGGATAGTTTTATATAAGGACTAACACTTCTTGACAACAGAGGCATTTAATACTTCTCCAACTGTCGCTGAGTCATTACTCAAACAGAATGCTAATAAATATTTAAAAGAATTTAGATTTCAAATTTTTGGTCAGGGAAAACTTATATGTTCACTTCACGGATTACTTCGACATGCTCTTAACGTAATGCGCTTGCGCCAGACTAGCGAAGTGTAGTATAGCGACCTGTGTACATGTATACGCATATATACATTACTACATTGTGTATACTCAAATGTATCATAAACGTGTTTGACTTTTTGGATGGGTAAAATCTTCTGATTTCGCGTCACCGACATGCTGTATTAGCAGAAAGTGAAGTTATGTGATGGTGAAGACCACTTGAAAAGTTTATTTTGTGTATAATGCGTTGTAAAAAGTTTTCACTTCTGACGTGCAATCCTACGACTGACAGTTTTTTTTATTTCAATACAAAATTACTCCATAAAATCATTTTGGTTTTACAAGGAGTCGTTCAACGACTGACACAGCTTATGAAGTATTTTTTCAATGACTAGAAGAATTCACAGATGCTTTAGGTATTTTTATGATCTTTCTAGGGCTTTCGATTGAATTCATCATGAGATATTAATTAAGAAACTACAGAAATACGGTGTCAAAAATATTGCGCTTCAACTTATTATTTCATATTTAATTAAACACGAACTGAAAAAGTCAATATCGATCGGTAGTATCAATGGGCGTCCCTCAGGGCTCGATTCTTGGGCCACTCCTGTTCTTAATCTATATTAATGACTTATTTTGTAGGGGACAATCACAATATAGTATTATTTTCTGATGATACCTCTTTAATTTTCAAACTCCAACGGCAGTCAATAAATTTTGACAATGTAAGTAATGCTCTATCGACATTAGTACATTAGTTTAATGTCAACAATTTGATCTTAAACGGCAATAAGACAAAATGTATTACATTGACAATACCTTATGTTAAATAATCGAATACTGATGTACTCTTAAATTTTTAAGAGTTGAGTCTTGTGTATACCACTGCTTTTCTTGTAATTACTATTGACACGAAGCTTCCATGGACCCCCATATATCAAAACTAGCAGGCAGACTTAATTCTGCAGCATATGCTGAAGAAAGATTCGATTAAGTCTCACCAATATTAAGTTAAGCGACAGTAGCCTAATGGCAGGGCGCGGACCGCGAACTCAAAAAGGTCGTGGGTTCGAATCCGCCATTCGACTACTGGCGTGCACCACTCGTAACACAAGCAATTTAAGCTTACAACGAATGGTTAAGGTTAGTATTTATTATTAATATTAGTAGTGTTTATAGTATTGTTAATGTTCTTTTTTAAAAAAGTTAAAGTAAAGTAAAAGTAATGTAATATTGAAACAGGTAGATTAGTTTATTTTAATTACTTTCATAGTATAAAGTCTTAAGGAATTTCGCTATGGGGTAATGCGACTGACATTGAAGCAATATTTGTTTTGCAAAAGGAAGCCGTATGGGCGATTTGTCACTTACAATATATTTATGAAAATGTAATGTATGTATGTAAAAACATAAAGCTTTGATAAGAATAAAGATGTTTATACTTTAAACACTGGGAACTAGCAAAAGCTTGTAATGCCAGTTTCTGGAGCCCCTAGAATTACTAATTCATTTATTGTTATATACAACACGTAACATAATTAACGCACTTTGAGAAAGTAGTTTGTTCAGAATCGTTTACTGAATCGATTTCTATCATTTTTAATATAGGTAATTTTTTATCCCAAAAATAATTAAAACTACATAAATTACAGTCACACTAAATCTGTAGAGTCAAAACAAACTGAAATGGACCGTAAGTTAAGGCAATAAGACTTTTAAGAGTGCAGTTTTGTTTTTATTATAACTTATTCTGTCATTCAATAAAAATAAAGAAAAGTGAACTTTATTTCAAGCACGTTAAAGTCTTTGCGTTCGTGGGCTTGTACTGTGACCACAACATTATTCTGGAATTACTATAACTAATTTGGTAAATCATCAGTGCATAAAAATATTAAACTAAAATTTCAGTGTATGTATTATGATTATAACATAATATACTAATTGGGGTGCCTGAGGGTGTGCGTTAATTAAGTAACATATTGTATATGTATGTGTATATTAGTAACAAAATCGCAAAAAATGTAAAAAATTATAAATAATTTTAAATGTTATATTTAAGAAAAATTGTAGAAAAGGGGTTATATAATATCATAAAGTACATAAATTAAAATAACCCCTGGTAATGAGGTGGTCGCAACAATGCTGGTTCTGTTAAAATACATTTAAAAATTATACAAACAAAAGTATTGTAAAGTGAAATATGTTTAAAAAAAGTCCCATTGGGTTTCTTGCTGGTTCTTCCAAGGACATAGGTATTTTCCGAACCAGTGGTAAATAAAAAATTACTTTTAATAAGTGTTATGTAATAATCTATATTGAATTAAAATAATTATACTCTATTCTATAACACTTTCGACACTGTCATATTAACAGGAGTCATAGATGAATGCAACACGGAACTAAGGGCTATTATTAAGAAGATCTGGAAACGCACATCACCAAAGCTGCTCGACCAAGTAGTCCCACCTCCAGGAGATCCTAACGAGATCACTGTGGGCAAGTTCTACGCCACATTCCTCATTCAAGACTATTTCAGAAGGTCAGTGTAAGACGTTGAATTTGGTAAATGTATGGGTTTTTTCCTAGATTGAGAAACATTTTATCGTTGAGAAATTACAGATTATGTTCTACTTTTACTAAATCTTAATTAAACTTTAATTTAATTACTAATTTTAAAATCTACAGTGTTGGAAAATTATATATAATAGCATTGTTAAAAAAAATTGTTTTTATTAAGTAATATTTTATAAATTAAATTAAATTTTAAAAGGCTGTATTTTACCAATGTAGATTTCAGATTTTTAGTTTTAGAATATTATAAAAATTTTCCCACACTTAATTAATTTTCTCTTTAGTAGATCTTGTGATTCCTAGTTTGTAAAACATTTTTGACGATGAAGATTAACTCAAATTATTTCTATTTTTATAGGAACCATGCGTAAGTCTACCAAAATTTAAGCAACTTGAAAATAAATCCGCTGTATTTATGCTTTTATGTCTTGGAGTTTTTCAATCGATAATGAGATATCGTGTTGTCGATAAACCCAAGGCGTCGCTTAAATATTCTACCTTTTTGGAAGTTTGGATTGTGAATGATGCTCATATTTCATTATACAATCGCCTTTATACAAATTCAATTTAGTATATTTATTTTGTTTTACTCTGGTAACTCTTGTGGTAACTCTAGTCGCTTACTATTCGGCAATCTACATACGACGAAATTAAAAATAAAGGCGATTGTATAACCGCGAAAACGTGAATAATTTTATTTTCAGCTTTCCTGCATTTTTAAGGTTATTTTGTCACTTGTACAAGATTAATATAAGCATGACTTTCGACCACAACTTTTTTCGGACATTCCAAAGCATGTTTTCTCCGTGTGTAACGTAACGTTTTTGTTGTCTCTACAGCCACTTGCTTTAAACAATCGCACACATCCCCACTCTCCCCATTTTTGTTTGCTGAACTCTTGCGTGTTCTTTGAGCGTGGTCAATTTATTGTGTTATTATGAATTTTGCATGTACAGATTAGCAATCATTTTTCCAATTGGCTTCTATCTAACATTATTCCATTTTTTTTTGTTAAATATTGGAAGTCACATTGAGAAGACATGTTCTTGGAATAGACTATGTAGACTTAAGAGGATTTAAATAAGGTAATTACGAATTTTGACACGGTTGTACTAACGGATCAAAATAGTGAAATTTAGTTTTTTTTTAAATAGTGTTTTTAGATTTGTTTAGAGAACGATATTTTTTCTAACATTTCACGACTGCAAGTTAGTTTTAAAAATATTAATATTGGTCGAATTTTGGATTGGTTAATTTTTAACTAATTCCAGTGATTTATATATTCAACAAAATATATTAGGTTCCGTAAGCGTAAGGAGCAAGCAGCGGCAGCATCGATGCAGAATCATCAGATGACCCTACAAGCTGGTCTGCGGACTCTTCATGAAGCTGGACCCGAACTCAAAAGGGCTATATCTGGAAATCTGGACGAGATTGTACCAGAGACTGTCGAGCCTATGCATAGGGTGAGCTTGTTTTCTTGGATGAGTTTACAGATAAAAGTTGTTACATTAATTATATTAGCTTGCAAGACTATGAAAAATTCACTGTTGACCATAGTTCTCGCCTTAGATTGCCTCAAAGGGAGAATATTTGCCATAGTTGCCGTGTTAAAAAATGTGTAAAACTTTGGGAAAAAAGAGTCGGAAACCGCGGTTTTTGTTTTTTAGGAGTTAATGGGCGGACGCTAATGTCCATTTCCTGGTTTTCCCTCCCCTCTCTCAATCCCCTCGATTCCCTCTGTCGCCTCTTACGACACCCACGGGACGTTCAAAGTTGTTAAAAATAGTTATATTACTATTAGATGTATATAGCTGTTAATAAACTTGTACTTACATTGGTATTCCTGGCTTTGACTTTTTTCTTTTTTAAATACTTTCTTACTAATCCACATTGCAATCATCTTACTTAGCATGTAGAATAGATTACTAAGTAAGTGCTTTATTCCTATCAAAAATTTATATGGCATTTTTGATTACGTAATTCTGGAAGTGATTGTATATTTTGATAAAACTATTTTTGAAGTATTTTGTTGTGTTTATTTTGCTAGCATCCAAACACTTCATTAGGAAACAGTGTAAGAATCAGTATTTGGAAAAATAGATGTTGGTTCTGAAGAAGCATGTTATGGATGCTATTACTGGAATATTATAATATTATTTTCACAAACTTTGTGAATGTAAAATAATAGTTTTAAGTTTAAATTGTAAATAATTTATAATAAATTCATAGTTTAATAAGTATTATATGCTATATATACTGATTTGAAAGAAGAAAGAAAGAAAGAAACAGATTTTATTTGGCACATGCAACACACTCAAGTGGATTACATAAAACACATAACATTTAAGTAGTCATACAAACAAAAAAACAGAAAAAAAATTATACATAGAAATCATGAAATAGGACATTCACTCCTTATTCTCTATATTAAAAAAAATTATACATAGAAATCATGAAACAGGACATTCACTCCTTGTTTATAGATATAATAAAACAAAAAAACAAAAAAAAAGCAAACAATAATATAAAAAAGAAATAATAATAATAATAATAAAAAACTAGAGAATAAGGAGTAATGCATAAGGTGTATTACAAAGATAATCCACCCGTTAAATGCTGCTCTGCTCCAAAAATGAAAGCCACTCAGGATATGTTGGAATGTATCAGAAGTACAACACCCCAACCCTGATTTTCAGTGGCACCCTTATATATTTAAAATAAAAATACACAAATAAATATAAAATATATATATACATATATTACATATATTCTTTATGTGCAGAGGGCAGTTCTGTTGTGTTAAACCAAATATAATAACAAAAATTTTTTTCTTGTAATATTGTCATAATTCTTATAAAATATTCTTAATATTGTAAGAGGTTGCTTTGAAATTCACTCAGGAACGTAATTAAGTTTAAGCTACAAATACACAAACCAACTGCAGTACACCGCTTCATTACATAATTTCAATAAATAATATATACATACTCAAACACACACACACACACACACACACATTTTTTATATATATATATATATATATATATATATATATATATATATATACATAAATATAAACAAGCACACATACATACACATATACACGCTCATACATTATTTATAAAATTACATACTATCAAAATATCTGCACTACTTAACTTTGAGATTGCTGATCTAAGAGGAACAATTTAACAGGATTTCAAAGATCAAAAAGGACCGCAATCGACCATTCGGCTACTTTTGTAAACCACTTCTCATACAATCATATTAAGCTTAAATAGAGTGGTTAAAGGAACTATTATTAGTGTTATTAGTACTTCTAGTGTTCCTTCAAAAAATGATGATGGTGATAATGGTGTTTGTCAGATTAATTATAACCCAGAACATCCGAATCACTTAACTTTACAACACAGCGCTAATTACACGAAAACGTCTTTAAATCCTCATCGCCACAAGTAGTATGAATATTAGAATAATACAAATACCAATGCTTGTAAATTTGCAGCGCAACCACACACTGTTCGGTGCAGTTTGGACAACTATCAAGAAGCGTGGTCGGGAGAGTTTCTACAAGCCACCAATGCCCAAACCAGAGAAAAATCCAAGCGGTAAATCCTAAAGTTAATTACATCATCTGTCCTTTACCATCGTCCTTAATATTTTACTTTGCACTTGGAATATTTGTCATGCCTGAGATTGAATATGCTCGATGCCAATTAGTAGTGCACCTATCTCTATTTCTGGTTTGAATAGTAAAAGTCAGTTTATTTACGTGACGCATTTTATGACAGTTCTTAGGGGTGACACCACAGGCTTTTTTTATAGGATACGGGTGATAAACGAGCACACAGTACACCTGATGGTAAGTGGATGTTGCGACCCATAGACACTTCCTAACCTCGATTAAGAATCAAAATATGCAGATGCGTTGTCACCCCTGAGGACTAAGATGGAATGCCTCGTTTCCAGTAAATCGGGTCTCCAGTTTTCTACACTCGCCATACGAAACGCAGTAGCATTAAGCTGCTATTTTACGTTGGCATTCTGTGAGAGCGTAGTACTTCCCCGGTTGAGCCGACCCATTCATGCTACAACCACAATAGCTGCAGCGTGGCTCTACCACGTATAACGTAATACGCAGATGTCCATGACTTGCAGTAGCCACTCACCACCAGCTGAACTGTTAGCCCGTTTGTCACTATCTTCATATATAAAATTCCGGTGCGCATGCGCTTGTATAGGGTATAAACCTCCACCATATAAAACAATGTAAAAAATATTTTTTTATTATAGGTTTTGTAAAAAAGAAACGAGAAATTTTGATTTCTATTCATAAAAATGCGTTACAAATTTTTTAATTCAATTTTTAGAATATTTTTTATCTGTCCCTCAAATCTCCAAAACGCTGTCCGCCGTATTAGACTCCGTCGTGACGTCACTGGTTAAGTTATCTAGCTAATGTGCTGTATGTTTTGTCAAAAAAAATTCTAGGTATCATTTAGATTGTTGAGTTTTATTCCATATTTTATTGAAAAGGCATCTGCGAAGGAGAAATACATCATGGTGGCAAAAATATTGGCATGCAATCCAGAATCCAGATTTTGTTCTTCTGAGTTGAGGAATGTTAAAACATCACTATAATGTACCTATTCCCAAATTTTGTTGATACAACAACACAGTGCCAGGTCAGAAATTATTATGATAATACATAGTTATGTTTATCTTTCATTACAATCATTAGTTCTAATATCTAAGATAACCTAATCTATTACAAAATTTGACTTGCAATACCAATACCTATCACTTCATGATGTTTGGTTTTGTATAAACGACAGTTAAATATAAGTCATACTTACATCAAAATAGTTTTCACTGAAGTATAGTTCAGTTTTTGTAAACAATCTATTTAGGTATCTCCGTGCCAGTTCTAACCGAGTATTTTTCATATTCAAGTCAGTTGACACTTGAATCCACAACTTCCCCTGCGTTCTTATGCTCGTACTTTTGCATTCAGGCACAATACACCAACGATAAAGATGATACCTCATTATTAAACACCAAAAAATATCTTATTCTTATGCAAAATCGACAAAATTCTAGGGCAGTGACGTCATGAGCTTCACAGAATGGCGGCTAGCGTTTTCGAGCGAAAATTTAAAATGATAAATTAAAAGTAATTTTTATGGTACTATTCGGTTTAAAAAAAATCACATAAAATTATAGTGGTTCAATAATACTCTAGGATTCATTTAAAACATTATTTGAAAAAGGGTGTAATACCCTATTCTTCTCATCCGATTTTTTCAATTATATTTGCAGCAGGTAGGTGGCGCTGTCGTCGAGATCCAGAATTTCCCCTTGTGAATTTGAGTTATTATAGAAAGTTTCTCTGTTATGTTTTCTTTTTAATATTTCTAGTAATTAATTTAATTTAAAGACATGAAGAAGAAGGTTCATAACAGTATATGTATAGATGGTAAATGACATATTATCTCAACTTTAAGTTGCGTGATAGTCACACGACGACGTTGTTTTCTTCCATTTTTATAGTTTTCTACTAGTGTTAACGATTATAAAAAAAAAAACAACTTGACTATTTTAGCGCCTCATGACAATGTAAACTGCGTGGAAATGTGTAATTTAAATTGCTGTCAAACACATTATTACAAGTTCTGAAAGTATAGCCGAGAGTATTCACATATTATCTAAACATATTAGGAGGAATGGAGATAAAGTGATAGTGGTGATGGTACAGGGAATCGTCACAAACATGAATATATAAAACAAATTTATTGAAATGTAATTTCTTTTTTAGGACCTCCTAAAAGTGGTCAAACACTTAGTTTGATGATGCAACGAGAATTGGGCTTAGATGGCAAGATCCCAGAGGACGATTCGTAAGTATAAAATGTGTTTTACCCGACTGTCCCAGGGACGGTAGTGTTTTCCATGTTCCATGTTGCATGTATGCATGTAATAATTTTACAAATATTAAATTATTGATACTTATAATCTTGTAATATTAATACCGATGGCGAAGAGAGGTTCTTGGGCGGCAGGCTTCTCCTCCTGGCAAGTGCAGGGTTGGGCAACTCCTATTAAAATGTAGTGACAACCTATTGAAATATTTAGGGAATCGATGAATGCAGATGACTAAGGATCGTAATTTGTTGCAATCTATGACATCAATGGATTATCATAAATTCATGGTGCAATGCAATGGTGCATGGGTGCAATGATAATGATGATGTCGATGACGTAATAATAGATTAAGGTCACACTCATAGAATACTATAATACACTCATAATAGAACGGGGGAGTGGGCGGATCCCGTGTAGCCATTATCATGTCACTAACATGTCAATTCACACCTATAAATGTCAACACAATCAATCTTCAATTTTCGTGTCAACCGTCGCTGCATGCAAATTATTTAAAAACTGGAAAGTTGTGCAATAATTACGTGTCGAAAAAACAGCGGAACATGGAATTTAAATAAAGGAGACATATCCTACAACCAGTAAGTCGAAACTATTTATATTTTGCGACACAGATCCTCGTACAAAATAAGGTTGACAGTCATTCTATTGATTATTGTAGTATTCTATGGTCACGCTTATAGAAATTATAAAATTGTGCAAAAATATCAAAAATTATTTTACTTTCAGTGGTTTTTTTATTTCAGATTTTTAATTATTTTAGAACATTCTGATTAAATTTTGTGTTTAAAATATGTTAATGATTGTAACTAAAGAGTTTTTGAACGAATTTATAACTTTTCAATTATGTTTAGAAAATTCGACGATGGACATCAAAGTGACGAGGAAATAGCAATGCAGCCACTTTTACATGGCAAAGACTCCGAACGAATATTTAAGGTTATTGAGTAAGTATTTTTATTTTTGTCGTAATATACTTATTAAGGATAAGAAAAATGCGACTTTAAGTTGTGAAAAGAATATTTATTGTAGAATACATAAAAGGCATGTGGGTAAAAAAATTAACATTTAAATAACTAAAACAAAAATTAGTAAGTCGACATTTTTACTGTGTACCTACTACTCTAATTTCGTATTATTCTAATGACATCATAACGCTTTGTTTATTTACGAATTATATAAATTACACTGATTAATTTGACATTTTTTTTACGGTTTAGTGGCGGTGTAAGAATATCCACTAATTAAATTTTTTTTACTTGAAATTTTAAATTGAATTATTTTGGCATTTTATTTTGTATTTGGTTGGTTAAATTGAAGAAGTTTGATTTTTTTTTTTCGGAGATATTGTACTTTATTTAGTGACTTAATCGGTATTTAAGTATAATAGCTGAATGTATTTAAGGTAGTTTTTGTTTAATATGCCAATATAATACTTACGACAAACCTATTTAAGAAAAAAAAAGATTTACATTTGATTTCTATTTCAATGTTCTATTTTTATTATTTTAAGACACAATAGCAATGACATGTTAATACATGTTAATATGTATAAATGCAATAATTCCATCATGCTAAAAAATTAAATTTCGTTAACCAGAAATATTTTTCTTAACCTGTATTTTTAATAAAATAGCAGTATTAAGCGTGTAACATTTATCTGTAACTTTTGTTAATTTTGTTGCCACAAGTATTAAATTAGAAATTTTCGTTTTGTTATTATCATTTTATATATAATTACATGTAGACTTCTCTGTGACGTCAATGTTCTGTGCTCTTCGTCACATCATGGCACATTAAAATCTTCAATTCAAATTCTTGTAATTTTATACTGTTGTCATTACGTTGTAAACATAGGTCCTCAAAGATTACAATCTCATTTTTTTAATGCTAACCTATTGGCGCCCTCAGCTTAATAAAGATAGAAAAACGTTTTGATTATATATCTGTAATCAAAGGTAAGACGGAATGCCGCGTACCTTTCGTGTCGAATTTATGCTCAATTTCTTGACACGCACTCACGCACAGACAGACATACAGACAGAAATGTCTATTATGCTCTATAGGTTTATTTTGCAATAACCAGCCAAATTTGCAGAGAAGATTCAGAATAAGTAATATAGGCAAATGGTGAAGTAAAATTTATTTAAAAAAATCTCATATATTCTGTACTTTTTACCTTTTAAATTGAAAATGCGTGGTGATGCATTATTTTAACTGATTTTATTGTGCACGCACACATGCGTGCACAATAAAATCAGCAAAAACGTACGTGTCGTAAGAATCGATTAGTAGACAAAAACGTTGTTATCCATGAATCACATTCATTTTGGGATAATTTGAAATAAAATTAGAAGCCTTATTCACTCGTATTTTCAAAAACTGCAATAACGGTATATCATTATTTATATATTTTAACTTAAGTTTAAAATCTAGCTACTCTTTGAATAATAACCATGTAATATGACTATTAATGTCTTAATGGTATGCACATAGCCCCATGAGCTCGTCTAGCACTCATTTCGATAAAAAAGTAGACACTTCAATGTATATATTTAAAAAGATAATCACCCAGAACTTCGTGTGTATAAAAAATGGCTGACATTGTTAATCGGAAACCGGTTGACGATAATGACACCAGTATAAAGTACTAAGTCCGATAACATTTCCAGAAAAACATCGCACGACTTAATGCAGAATATGCGAAACAGCCGTAAGTCCGTTTTTAGTGTGTTGTGATTGTGTTATATATGAATTTTTATTATTTAAGTATACCTTTATTTTTATTGGTTTAAGTTTGTTGGCTTTATTTTGTGCTTAGTGTGATGCTATTTAAGCGACAATAGACGAGTGTATGAGGTTAGAAATTGCGAAACTCAAAAGTCGTGAGATCAAATCCGCCATTCGACTATTGTCGTAAACTTGTTACAGTCGCTTTATTTTAAGATTTTAAACCTCTTCTATCAGAAGAATTTCAAATGTTTAATAAAGTGCTTCAAAAGGAAATACTAATAAAGAGAAATGCGGCGGTACTTTACGCAGGAACAGCTGCTTACTCTATATACTCGTAAAGTGCAAGTCCGGTCGTGTGTGAAGTAGCAGCAATCAATGCTGCTTTATATAGGTTGGACTGCAAAATGCCACCTTTGGACTCAATGCAAAGGCGTGCTAAGAGACTTATTGGTGATCTTGTTTAAAACCAATCTCACCAGTCTCGAACACAAAGTGTAAACATCCTTTCGGTTTTCTACACGATAATTTTGGAGAGTGCGCGCAGGAATTACATAACTTATTCCTCCGTCTCCCTTCCATCATCGGACAATCAGATGCTTGGACACTCTCCAACCCTATATTGTCGACTTACCATGCATTTGAACCAAACGGTTTGCTTCATCGCCATGCGTACAGCAAGGAATTGTAATAAATTGCTACTAGCATTTGTCTTTCTATTGGATGACAAAACGATTTAAAGCATACGTGGATGCTTTTACTAAGCAAGCCAGTGCGCTTCACCATCTTTGGCTGCATCCCTGCTTATCATTAACTGGGATAGAAGTCAAGCACTGGCTTGTAATAGTGTAAAATATTAATGTGCTTTTATTTACGTATTAGTGTGGTTTAAATAAATCGAATGAGAACGGGATGCGTGGCAGTATAAAGCCAAACCTTTTTCTTTGCATTGGAGATTGGCAAAGAAGATTTGCTTATATCAATTATAAGTAACAACACTTTCTTGATTATCGTTTTTATTAGTAATTTATTTATTGCAAGCCTCTAACGCGAAGCGGAGAGATTATGCGCTACTTTCGAATAATTTTAAATCACTATTTTCTCGCGTGCTCGTGTTTATTATTTTACATCGCACTAATATGTTATGAAAAGCACATGTTTAGAAGTAGGAACCTCTAATGAAAAATCCTGATGTTTTTTTATTTATTGATATTTCCTTTTATTGTTTGCCTAACTTCATTTTTAATCACTATACAAACAAATGGGCATGTTTATAAGTTTATAACATTACTCGGTATTCGTCATTTCAATTAATATTTTAGATTTATACTCTGTGTTACCAACCCTGAAACAAACTACAAATTACTAAAATCAAACTGTATTATTGATATACATGACTAAATCAAACTGTATTATTGATATACATGACTAACACGTATGATCTTTATCAATTAATAATCAACCGATTGGTTTGCGTTCGATTGTATACTGATATAATAACCTAGAATGATATTTATAGCTATTCTGTTACATCTAGATCGTGACAAGACACCAAGACAAATCAACGCCGTGCCTTATTGTGTAGAGAATCCAGCGGAGAGCCTTATCGCTCGAGTAAGTTTTAGTCAAATTTTATAATTAACATTACAGCCACCATAAACACCTTTTTGCAAGGAACACCTGATCAAAAGTGTCAAAATTTTACGTCAATAATCAACGAAAAGTACCAGAATCGCATTAATTCGTAGAAGGTAGGCAAAATGTTCAGATCTCCACGAGTTTCAGAACGTCGCTGCATATGTGTGGGTGCACAAAGTCATACGCACGATTTGTGCGCACACTAAGTTACGCACTCTGGACAGAATGCTTTACAAAGTTGCCGCGTAGTAAGCGAGTTGGCAACTATATAGTGGTTTTATAACAGCTCTTATTAGAAAGATGCTGCTGCCCATCTTCTGGTACAGTTTCCCTCTGTCACCTCTTAGGACACCCACAAGATGATATGGGGTAGTGGACATTCTCTCGCCATTACTACACGGTTCAGATTTACTGACATTAAATATTATTATTACCTTTGTGGTAGCATGTAAGATAATCTATTACCACATTTTGTCCCTGATAAGGCTACCTGATGGTAAGTGGTTGCTGTGGCCCATAGACATCTATATCTATCCTTGGTTACGAATCAAAATCCAGATACGTTGTCACCCTTGAGGAGTAAGATGGAATGCCTCGTTTCCAGTAAAAAATGGTCTCTGGTTCTCTACACTCACCATACGAAACACGGCAGCATTAAGCTACTATTTTACGCTAGTACTCTGTGAGAGCGTGGTCCTTCCCATAGATATCACATACATCATATCTTCCAACAGATATCATCATCTCGTTTACGCAAGACAGCTGTAGCGTCAAACTACATAGGACTAGTACTGTGATTACCAATTCACCTGCCAAGTATGGCAATTAGGGCCAACCCTCTCCCCCCTGCGAAAGCTAATAAAAAGCCCATATCCAGCTGTGTACTTCTACAGGTTTTTGATAAAGAAGATATATTAAATTACGTTATTTTGTATTGTTTTCAAAAGCATGCTTAATAACCTGCTACGTCCTTTGTAGGCAACGCCTGAGTCAGATAAGCTGTAAGAGTTGCATAGACTAACAGCACAGACATCTAGATACTAGACTGTAGTCAACGACTACACAGCTTCGGGTTTGTAGGCAATCTAAAATGTTAAAGTTAATATCAAAGTTAAACTTTTTTATTCAATTTACACGTGCTAAATCCAAGCTGCAGTTATATTATGGTTGTAGCACAAATAGGTCAGCTCGACCAAGGTAGGACCACGCTCTCACAAAATACCGGCGTAAAATAGCAGCTTAATGTTGCTGTGTTTCGTATGGTGAGTGTAGAAAACCGGAAACCATTTTTACTGGAAACGAAGCATTCCAACTTAGTCCTCAGGGTAACAACGCATCTGCATTTTGATTCTTAATCGACTAGAAATGTAGATGTCTATGGATAACAGCATTAACAGTTATCCTCAGGTGGATCGTGCGCTCATTAGTCACACCTATTTATAAAAATATTTTTATGCTTCTAATATGTTATCGAAGATATATACACGCAAAACAAAACCTGAACTAACACGAAATAATCTAATAATTACACTCCAGTGTAATTATTAAATTGTTAAGAAATTAATATGTGTGTTTATATCAGGTACTAACGGAGGAGGGGCTGGGCAAGTACTGTGATAAGGACTTCATACAGAGCACCTCCCGCGAGATGCAGGAGGCGCTCGACCTCACGCAGGAGGAGATGGACACGTGAGCTACTCATTTACATTTTATCCATATTCTGTTTTTACTATTCACCATTCACGGCGATCCCCGCCGGCACCAATGAAATTGTTAATTGCAATTTTAAGTACTGATTGACCACGTATTCGGCGGTGAAGGATAACATCGTGAGGAAATCTGCATGTCTGAGAAATAAGACAAAAAAATATTTCGAAGACATGTGAAGTTCGCTAAGACACATTGGAGCAGCAAAGCGGACACTTCCTTACCCTAAAACTCTCTCAGAAATGTATTGTGATATATATTATAATATATATATAAATCTATTCTCAGTGGGACGTATATAGGCTACTTACTACAGCGCATAAAAACTCACTGATAGATTGTCTCACAGTGAAGGGGGGGGGGAATAATTTTGTCATAGTTGCCACGCTAGGTATTAGTCAATTTTCCCTATACTTTTCCCCTTTTTGCCTCTTACTACACCCACGGGACCATATGAGGTAGTCATTTCTGAAAACATAGACATACTCAAGAGATATAATAAAATATAGATATAAGGTTACTCACGATTTGCCATTGGTACGGCTAGGTTAAAAAACATTACACATTTTTTGTAGAAGAGGGGGCAAACGAGCATGCGGCTCACCTGATGGTAAGTGTCGACCGCCGCCCAGAAACAGGGGAATAACAAGCGCGTTGACGGCCTTTTAAAAAGGAGTAAGCTCGTTACTTGAGGTCCCTAAGTAAGCGATGCCTATTATTGTTTTATCCATTTCTAAATAATATCGACTGTAAAAGTCTTTTACTAACTTTATTATTTTTGCAAAACTTGTAAAAATACGGAAAGGAGGCAATTTTCGACGCTAGTTGAAGAAAAAAACTAACTCGTATGCGACGCTACCCAGGGAGTCAATAAACGCTTGGTGTTTTATGGTAATTACAGGGTGCCTGTGTTCAGTTGTGGGCTTGTTATAGGCTGTTACGATGATGATATAAACTGTGAATGAATGATGAATTGAAAAGATAAAGAGTTCGATAGTTAATATAACAGTTAATTTTTGTTGTTATTTTATTGGTTATTGTCATTTTTCCAATGTCATGCATTTCTTATTACTAATTTATTTTTGGGTTATATAATATATATCCCATATTTTGTAATTTATGTTATAAATCTGGCACCTTTTCCCATATTGTTTTGTAATTTTACTTTTCTAATGAGGCATGTTGTGGTTATTTTAAATAGACTTTTCATTTAAAATAATGTTCATATACCATATGGTAAATAATGTTCATATATTATATGGAGTAGAGCTACACTGCAGTTTTTATTATGGATGAAGCACGAATGGGTCGACTTGACCGCGATAAGACCACGCTCTCAAAAATACCTATGGTGAGTATAGAGAACCGTTGACTCCTTTTACTGGAAACGAGGCACTCCATCTTAGTCCTCAGGGGTGACAACGCATCCGTATTTTTGATTCTTAATCGAGGATAAATGTAGATATCTATAGGCTTAAAAAAGGGGATGCCCCTTACCACCAGGAGGACTGTGTACTTCTTTGCCATACTCATTGTATAAAAAATGTAATTACCTCTGACTGTCCTTAAGTTGTTAAATAAATAATATATTTAAATGTTTTATTTATTTAACAACTTAAGGACAGTCAGTCAGTCATAATATTTAAATCTTAAAATGTGGTTCACTGAGGCTCTGCTTGCAGCGCCGCAAACCAAATCATTCTGCAAGAACGGAATATGAGTCGAGCTCAGAACGGACCAAGCGATGTGGTGAGTAACATATTTGAAATTATCAATTTAAGATTCAGAGTAATTACTTATTTACAATATTACCAGTGGTGACATGTAGGCTGTGGGCAGTGTCGGCTCAAGGTCAGTCAACGAGCTATTGAGGGGGCTGGGCTCTGAATTTCTGTGCGTGATAGAATTCAAAATGACAACCACAGGAGAACCGAAGTAACCGACATAGTCTGATCAGTAGCTGAAGTGACAATGGGCCGGCCAGCTCGAAGACCCAACCACCAATAGGGAAGACAGGTTCTTGAGTTACAGCCTCTTACTGGTAAGCAAAGTTAAGGGCGGCTTCCCACTTGATGAAGTGACGATCTGGCAAGACGCATGACGTCGATGGATGCAGGTGGCTCAGGATCGTACGTTGTGGCATTCTTCGTGGAAGGCCCATATTTAGTAGTGGACTTGTGATAGTCTGTAGTCATAGTGGTAGTAATATACTAGATTATAGCAGGATTATTTAAAGAAAGCTATAAAGAGGTGTTATACCACTAGTGTTTAGTACATGGTAGAGGCATGCTGCAGCTAAACTAACAGCACGAATGAATTGGCTCGACTGGGGCAGGACCACGCTCTCATAGAATACCAGCAGCAAGAAGTAGCAGCTTAATGCTGTTGTGTTTGCTATGGTGAGTGTAGAGAACCGGCGACCTTTTTACTGGAAACGGGGCGTTACATCAAGTTTATTAGTCCATAAGAATGACAACGTATATACATTCTGATTCTCAATCGAGGATAGGTGTAGTCCATGGGCCACACCACCTTCTTAACTTCAGGTGGACTATGTGCTCATATTTCACACTTATTATATAAAATTCATTTGCGAATCTTGGATTTTTTTATTGGTAATAAATGATTACAGCCTGTTAAAGGTCCATAAAAGGTTCAAGTCCAACATAAGTCCTCTACAATAGTTTGCCTCATAGAGGGGCAAATGGCATAGTTACCTCATTTTGCAGTCGGGTTTGCAACCGAATTTTTTTCATTAGTCTTTATTAGGAGCATGCTGCTGTCTATATCTTGTATCATTTCTCTCGGCCGCCTCTTAAACAGACGGAATGATATATGGGGTAGAGGATTCTTTTATGCCGCCACTAACGGCGTAATATTTGTCATAAAAGAATTTAATATCATTATAGAAGTTAGATACAGTACTAATATACATCTTCCTGAATTGATAAAACTATCGGGACGTCAAACACCTTAGTCCCCCCCCCTCCTTCGTGACCATGGATGCCGTGCCTTAAAGCCCTCGCCCGAAACGTCAGTAATTAAAAAGTTAAAATGAAACGCGGTGAAATCCGTAAAATTAGTTTCATTTCATGATAGTACCAAGATCATAATTGATGTTTATGTAATTTTTTTTTGTTTCCAGGAAAGTATACTGGCTCGGCAGTATCATCCTTTCCATCAGCCTCCGATGCAGCCTCCTCCGAGAAAAAAATAAATTTAAAACTTTTAATTTTTGGCTTATAGTTTGTTTCCTATACTGGTTGGCAACCGTATAGGTTTTTTTTAACCCTTTTATTAGGGTTTTTGGGCTACCCATGTAGCAGTTCTTTTCGAGGTTTTGAGGAGATGCCGATTTTTATTGAATAATTTGTAAATATTTATTTCAGTGTGGTTATCGAAGAGTATGTTTCGGTTTTTTTTGGCATAGTTAAAGTTTATAGAGCTTAATGTATTAAATAAATGAATTTTACGTACAAAATGTGTAATTATCATGGATACATTTTTAAATTAAAAGTAGATCAATAATTATTACGATCACAAATAAATTGTCGTAGGCCTTAAATAAATAGTGACCCATTATTGGTAATTTCGAATGAATATGTTTAATGAGATACAATTAAAAAATAAACGTTATCCTATCACCATACCATACCATATATTTTTCTATTCTTTCTACTTAAAAATATTTTATAAACATATTTTAAATAATTTATGAGTGCCTACCATAGTATTTATTTACATTAGACAGGAAATTATTTACTTTTGTTAAAAAATTTTGATATTTGCCCCTCGCATTACGTAATCCAATGTCCTTCAAGATTTAAGATTGTTTTTAATTAAAATAAATACATATTTTACATGTAAGTGGAAAGGAATGTTAAATGATGAATGTTCTTTTTGGCTGACTTTTTTATTTTTTAACATTTTCTAACTAGTTCTTAATTATTTATTATTGTACTAGTATGTACTACCAATATACCCAAGATAAGAATAGAGCATGCAACTGAGAGAATGGCGAATTTACTTGATTAGCGTTGTGTAAGATGTACAAAAAACGTAACTAAAAATATTTTGAATTGAATATTGATTTCATTTTTATTGTTATTAGTTTTTATGTGACTATATCTTTGTATATTTCCTACAAAAAAAGAAACAATGTTAAAATAGCGGCGTGGCAAATCGATAATGTAAAAATGTAATGTTAGTAAAGATGTCAGCAGACCCACATTTATTATTATTCTTTGTGCACGATTTTGTTCGATTAGTAAGTAATTCTATATCGTGCTTTTACGTGAAAAATTTTAATTGAGCAAATGTTATACACATGTATATAATTATAAAGTATTTAAACATGAAAAGATAAAACAGCGTGGCAATGTGCCTTAAATTAAAAAAAGAAAAGAGTAGAAAATTTAAGTAAGTATATTTAAGAACTCTCGTGCCAAAATATGCAAATAATATATATTTTGTAATCGATTTTTCGCTGATTCTCTATTTTCCTTTATACGTGCTTCATGTATGAAGTATGGACATTTGACATAATATATTATTAATCGTATTATTATAAGTTACTATACCTATTACTCTACCTATGTTAACCTGTTAGTTTTCATTATAAATAAAATTTGAAACGAGTATTTCTAGTCATCGTCTATCGCTTCTTTAGATAAATTTATATATCGAATGTTTATAAAACTATAGTTATATTTTAATGTTGTATTTTGTATGGAATATATTGAAATTGTTGTGCTATTAAACTTTTAAATTTTACTCATGCTGTTTCATTATTTCTAAAGTACAAATAGAATTTTATACTAAGATACTAAGGAATCATTTACCTTGTTTTTCTAAACTGGCAACATTATTTTTTAAACGTTACTAGGTACATAATATCAACTCTTTAATAATTAATAATATCAAACCAAAGGGAAAAAGATAAAAGAACATTACATACATTTGAAGGTGACGCCGAATCCATGCTTAACTTAGGGCCGCTTTCTGACTTGCCGGTGCGGGAGCGGTGCGGATTAGTTTTGCTCGGTATACGTGGTACCGAAAGCTTGCCGAGCGCATATATTTTAATGTGCGTCTTCTAATTGGTGCAATATGTGCGGGAGCGAAGAGGGATCGTTTCGTTTTACCATGTCTCGGGATGCGTATCCAGGGGCCACTCGACATTTACCGCGCATGGTTGTGCAAATAAGATGGCAGAGCGAGATATTCACGTCATTTTAGTACTAGAATTGAACATTCTCCAAGCCTTGTATTTTGCTTTGTTAATACTGTAGTCAAAAAGTTCCAAAGCTCTTCGTAAGTTTTTATTGGTGTATAGTTGACATTCTATACATCAATAAAAAAATTCGTCATCTTGGGAAAGTTCTTGAACCACAACAAAAAGTCGACAATTTATATTATTTTCAAACGCTCTACTATACTATATATATAATAATATTGGTTACGCGGAAATAATTCGTGTATTTTAATTTTATTCGAGGGTATATTTCCCAAGTTTCTATCCTTCCTCCGACCTATTGTCCCTTCCGTAAACACACTGAGAGGGGAAAGAGGAGAGGCTAGAAGGTGGCGTGATTCTTTCGACCAATGAGAAGCGCGCCCGACCGAGATGCATTGATAGGAAAGCCGAAGCAATATAAGCTCGCGGGCTGCCCTCGAGCCCTCTCTTGCCTTCGCGCCGCTAGTCCGAACCGCACCTGGAGCAGTCGAGCTCCAGAAGCAACCGCCTCACATAGTGTGAGATATCGTCGCACATCGCTCTTTCTTCAAACCACTGGCCTGTATCGCATCTCTGGGGCGCCCCAGAAGACTCACCAGAAGTCGCACCACAGCAACAGAAGCGCCTAAGCCGCATCGAAGTCACACCCCGGTAAGTGTGTTTTTCCTATAATTCAATGCCCGCTTGAGCATTTGTTTGTTAGCTAACCCGCTCCATTTCATTCCTCCTAATGTGCTCAAGCAGGATTCCTTCATAACCTTGGCAAACAATAGATTTCGGAAGAGCGAGTGCATTGTCAAGGGTCCGCCATCTTGTTGAGGCAGAAGAAGCTTCCGCGTATACAGTCCATCTAGTATAACATCTCGCGTCATAGGGTCAAGGCTCGACCGGGGAGTTGAACTCGGGAACCCTAAGGCCCGCCGCCCAACCAAATATGGTTGATATACATTGCGGCTGTGTGATGTCTGTGTCAACTTTTTTTGCAAACGAAGGCTCCACGTGACAAATTATTAATAAGGAAGAGCCCTTGTTAATAATTTCGTCACTGGGAGTTATATTTATAATTATTAAATTTATTGAGCAGTTGATTCCAACATTTGTAATTTAGTTACTACATTATTGAAAGTAAAAGGAACAGCTTACTTATGTCCTAGGTACTGTTAGACATAAAGCTCTCTTATCTTCTAATTTTTTTTCGGAAAATATTTTTAAGGCAAAAAAAAGCTGTGTTGCCCTCACAGTCTCATATCATGTCGATGGGCTTTGCACGTTATTTTTATAATTTATCAAAAATTCCTCACTTTCATTTGCCACGATGTGCTCGGGAATAAAGCACGACATGGTAAATCTGCAAGTTACATTGCGGTTAACAATTATTTCATTTTATTTAAAAACTTGAATGTAACAATGTAACTTAAAGCTACATAAAGTTAACGCCATGTGTCTTTCTCTGTCAATAAACCCTGGGTGCGACAAATAAACGTTGGCAGGAATAAAACATCTTAATCATGATATGAAGTGTATATAAAGTGTTAAAACTTATATGTATGAACACACAGAGATCGCTACTATCCTATACATTTAAACGAGCAATTCTTATATATATATATATATATATATATATATATATATATATATATATATATATATATATATATATATATATATATAATCGGAATCTCGGAAACGGCTCCAACGATTTTAATAAAATTTTGTGTCCAGGGAGTTTCGGGGGCAATAAATCGATCTAGCCAGGATTTATTTTTAGAAAATGTCTTTTTGTCTGTGTTTTCAGACAGTGAAAAACTGCTACAATATAAGAAGGTATATTTTGACATTGTGTTAATGGTCGTAATAGCTCAAGTGGAAAGTGAGCGGTCGTGAAACCGTAATTCCTTGGTTCGCGTCCTGTCTTCGGTTCGATTTTTTTCCTTTTTTTCTTCAAGTTTCTTTCAAAAGAAAGGAACTAATAAAAAAGGGCTCGAAATAATAGATTTTCTCACAAAAGTGAGAAAATCTATTATTTCGAGCCCTTTTTTTTAGTATTTTTTAAAAATACGAAAATTTTAATTAAACTAATTGCCTTACTTTTTTAATTAAAACCGAGCAAAGCTCGGACATCCACGTACTGCAATTTTATAAGTACTACTAACTATTTAAAATGAACATGGGCAAAAAAAGGTCATGTGTTACGTCCATGTCACACCTATGCCGGTAGTTGTTGGGACCACTAAGCTTGAAGTTGTTGACGAGTATGTTTATCTGGGACAAATAACACGACAAGGTAAGTCCAACTTCGACCGCGAGGTCAATCGACGGATTCAACTCAGCTGGGCAGCGTTCGGGAGATCACGAGTCGGGCATTCCTCAAAACTTCAAGGCAAGATTATAAAACCAGTGCCTATCACTAGCTATATATATATAAATAAATAGTTAGTAGTACTTATAAAATTGCAGTACGTGGATGTCCGAGCTTTGCTCGGTTTTAATTAAAAAAGTAAGGCAATTAGTTTAATTAAAATTTTCGTATAAATTAAAATTTTCGTATTAATAATAGATTTTCTCACTTTTGTGAGAAAATCTATTATTTCGAGCCCTTTTTTTATTAGTTCCTTTCTTTTGAAAGAAACTTGAAGAAAAAAAGGAAAAAAATCGGACCGAAGACAGGACGCGAACCAAGGAATTACGGTTTCACGACCGCTCACTTTCCACTGGGGGGGTGCCCACTCACTTCCGTTTGAGCTATTACGACCATTAACACAATGTCAAAATATACCTTCTTATATTGTAGCAGTTTTTCACTGTCTGAAAACACAGACAAAAAGACATTTTCTAAAAATAAAACCTGGCTAGATCGATTTATTGCCCTCGAAACTCCCTGGACACAAAATTTTATTAAAATCGTTGGAGCCGTTTCCGAGATTCCGATTATATATATATATATATATATATATATATATATATATATATATATATATATATATATATATATTGTATATAAGAATTGCTCGTTTAAATGTATAGGATAGTAGCGATCTCTGTGTGTTCATACATATAAGTTTTAACACTTTATATACACTTCATATCATTATTAAGATGTTTTATTCCTGCCAACGTTTATTTGTCGCACCCAGGGTTTATTGACAGAGAAAGACACATGGCGTTAACTTTATGTAGCTTTAAGTTACATTGTTACATTCAAGTTTTTAAATAAAATGAAATAATGGTTAACCGCAATGTAACTTGCAGATTTACCATGTCGTGCTTTATTCCCGAGCACATCGTGGCAAATGAAAGTGAGGAATTTTTGATAAATTATAAAAATAACATGCAAAGCCCATCGACATGATATGAGACTGTGAGGGCAACACAGCTTTTTTTTGCCTTAAAAATATTTTCCGAAAAAAAATTAGAAGATAAGAGAGCTTTATGTCTAACAGTACCTAACCTAGGACATAAGTAAGCTGTTCCTTTTACTTTCAATAATGTAGTAACTAAATTACAAATGTTGGAATCAACTGCTCAATAAATTTAATAATTATAAATATAACTCCCAGTGACGAAATTATTAACAAGGGCTCTTCCTTATTAATAATTTGTCACGTGGAGCCTTCGTTTGCAAAAAAAGTTGACACAGACATCACACAGCCGCAATGTATATCAACCATATTTGGTTGGGCGGCGGGCCTTAGGGTTCCCGAGTTCAACTCCCCGGTCGAGCCTTGACCCTATGACGCGAGATGTTATACTAGATGGACTGTATACGCGGAAGCTTCTTCTGCCTCAACAAGATGGCGGACCCTTGACAATGCACTCGCTCTTCCGAAATCTATTGTTTGCCAAGGTTATGAAGGAATCCTGCTTGAGTACATTAGGAGGAATGAAATGGAGCGGGTTAGCTAACAAACAAATGCTCAAGCGGGCATTGAATTATAGGAAAAACACACTTACCGGGGTGTGACTTCGATGCGGCTTAGGCGCTTCTGTTGCTGTGGTGCGACTTCTGGTGAGTCTTCTGGGGCGCCCCAGAGATGCGATCCAGGCCAGTGGTTTGAAGGAAGAGTGATGTGCGACGATATCTCACACTATGTGAGGCGGTTGCTTCTGGAGCTCGACTGCTCCAGGTGCGATTCGGACTAGCGGCGCGAAGGCAAGAGAGGGCTCGAGGGCAGCCCGCGAGCTTATATTGCTTCGGCTTTCCTACCAATGCATCTCGGTCGGGCGCGCTTCTCATTGGTCGAAAAAATCACGCCACCTTCTAGCCTCTCCTCTTTCCCCTCTCAGTGTGTTTACGGAAGGGACAATAGGTCGGAGGAAGGATAGAAACTTGGGAAATATACCCTCGAATAAAATTAAAATACACGAATTATTTCCGCGTAACCAATATTATTCTAACAAAGGTACTAATGAAAACAGACCTTTGCAGTTGAGTGTTTTGGCTGTTATGTATCTGTTTATTTATTTATAGACAAGTTGTTGTTTTTTATAGGATAATGGTGATAAACGAGCACACAGTCCGACTGATGGTAAGTGGTTGCTGTGGCTTATAGGCATCTACATCTAACCACGATTACGAATCAAAATGCAGATGCGTTGACTAAGATGGAATGATGTGAAGACTAAGATGGAATGCCTCGTTTCCAGTAAAATGGGTCTCCGGTTCTCTACACTCACCATACGAAATACAGCAGCTTGGTGTTTGTACTATTTAAGCTCTACTATTTCACGTTGGTATTTCTGTGAGAGCGTGGTCCTGTCTCTCCCCGGTCGAGCCGTTACCCATTCGTGCTACAACTATACTACTAATATAATTGCAGCATGAAACAACTTTTTAGGCAAACATTAAAATTATTTGCCTAAAAAGGTTAAAAATAGCAATAATTCAAAATACAGGGGTATAAAGTTATACTTTTATTGAATGTACGTGTTTAACAATTTCATATCGTGCTATGGCAAATTTTCGTTGGAATCATTTGGCGTATTTTCAAAGTTTTTTGCAGACTCCAAATTACTACATATTTCAGATTTCAATTCTAATTTCAATTAATTGAATTCGTAGTCTTTAACGTTATTCCCGTCATCTTCATTATATTCGTTATTTTTGTCACTATTATTTTTGTCTTTACATGCAGGAATTTCTTCTTGATCAGAAACACTGTTTGATGCATCGGATTCCGAATCATTTTGTGAGTTTGAGAGATTATAAGCACATTTCTGTAAATCTTTGTGTGTGAAATTAGTATCTTTGACAATGATTGCATTTATTTGACATGGAGTACAAGAGAAAACGCTTTCACCTTCCGTACTTGCAGTTATACGTTGATTTTGTTGCGGCTCTTCAGATTGTCCTTCAGTCTCTTCAACCGATTCGACAACATTGGTCGTAAGTTCGTCTATCTCAGTTTCAAGTCTTCTAATAAGAGTTTCCAGATTTGCGATTCGCGCTTCAAAATCTTCTTTTGATATACGGTTCATATTGACTTTAATGTCAGATGACTCAAGATCAATTATTTGACTGTCAAGATTAGTCTCTGAATTCTTTTCGCTTTTACCTCTAAATTTTTCTAAAAAAGACTCAAAATAAGACTTCTTATTATTTTTTGGATTATTGTTGTTAGCCTGTTCCATGTTATTCTAAATACCTTTTCATTCTTTCTTTACACTCTGCAATTCTACGACGTTTACGTTGCTCTTCACAGGGGTCTGGAGTTGGTGCTGGTGGGATCGTTGGAGTAGGACACCTCGGCCAAGGTAAATCGGGATATGCAGCACTTGCAGCTTTTATCTCGTCACACCGTGCTGTACCCGGTAAATCCTGTTGAACAGTACATACAACTGCTTGTTCTTGATCCTTGCTGTTAGGGTCTACGGGCGGATTTTTTATCTTCTCTATGCAAATCGCTAAGCACGGAGGTGGGGGTGGTGGCTCAAGAACTGGTGGTTTCTTACAAATTTTGATACCAGCCTTTTCTTTTTCTTTTATCTTCTGTATCTTACAAGGATCTGGCGGTGGAGGTTCAGGGGTTGGTTCTGTGAAGCATTTTTTTGTTTTCATGTTATATACATAATTGAATAATCATGCTTTTATTTTTTGTAAAAGTATTCATGGTGAAAACTAATTTTTGGAATAGATTGTTTCAGACTAGTTTAGTGACAAGTGTCTTCTATCTTATTTTTTATAAATAAAGACGCAAAAATGCCAGTATTTATTAAGTACGTCTCTATGGTTTTTGTTTCGTCCACTAAGCTGGCACGAATACTTTTTACTAACTTGTAATAGTGTTCTGTGTTCTCCGTGTCTCCTAGTCCTAGTAAAAAATTGCTGAATCGCAATTTTTTTAATCTTAAGCACATTGAAGATTCCTTAGTTTAAAAGACGTTTCTAAGACCCATTTATCGAATATCCGATTTTTAATATAATAATGCATGCCTGTTTTCACACCCGGTGTCCGATCCGATTAAATCTAAGCTTCTATACTCTCGAGGAGGCTGACCAAATATTTTTGAGTTTATCTAATTGTGACGGCTATGTGGCTCAGTGACTTGGCATATGAGTTACGACGCTGAGGGCCGCGGCACATAGGGGTATTTTGCTGATCTAGCCGGTCATAAACCAATTTATAAGATGTTGTCGCAGGTAAAAAACAACTAGTTCCTTTTGTTATCGAATGATTAGAGAACAATTTGACGTCCCGTCCCGGTCTCTTGTTGGATGCACCTGCGCGCTTGTTTTGTCGGAAGTTAGTCATCGCTTCAACTGCATATCTTATACGTTTCCTAAGTATCTGACAAAAAGTTAAATATTTTCGTGAGTCCTGACTTTTTTTTAAATATTGTTATGGATATAGATCAAGGAAGTAAAAACACATATTGTTAAAATATTATGCTGTAATTTTTTTATGATAGGATATTATTATTTGACGTTTGAAAATATACTTTAAAATTCTTAAAATTTCCAACCAAATTTTAAGTTTGAAAAGGTTTTTGTTGTACTTCCGGTTTCTTCCCGGTTATAATGTTAATTGATAACGACAGGCTATAGTTTATGTAAAATTATCATGGCCTAATTAGCCGTCCATACCCGCCCCCTTTTTTCCCAGAGGTTTTTTTTCACTGACCAAGACAGTGAAAAAAAATAAAAATTTTATTTGGAATTTAAACCATGTTACCTTGGTAATTTTTTGATAAAATAAAGTGCAAAATTACTTAACTTTGAAGAAAAATTAAATTACTTGGTAAATTGGATTTTGTCCAGAGAAAACTATTCTGTAGATGAATTAAAGGCGTTGAAGCACAAGTTTTCGCATATTAAGTCGGAATTTAAACAAAGGTGGAAAAAGGTGATGAACGGAAGTTCTTTATAATAATGATGAATGGCTAAAAATACATTAGAAATACCGAGAGCGAAGCCTAAAAGTTCGGGTCGAGCATCAAAATCATTTAGTGAGCTATGCGAAAGAATAAAGAGAAAGAAAACTGAAACCTTACGTATTACAGCGGATAATGATATGTTGATACATGCTGCACAAGAGAGCTACAAAGTTGAAAACAGTATACAAAACGGTACAAGATAACAAAGAAAAACTTTTTGTTGAAGAAAATAATAAATATTGAAGTTATAAATTACTAAAATATATTTTTTATAGTTTTTCCCAATATTTTAAGTTATTATTAAAAAAAAGAAAAATATGGCTTATAGTTAACCAGGGCAAGTCCCTGGAGTAAAAACTAAATAAATAATTTTGACCGGCTAGATCAGCAAAATGTGTGCGCGGGTTCGAACCGCATGGAACACGTTATTGTGAAATTTATGTATGTAAGCTGCCTGCACAATGATACTGGAGAAAATCCTAATGGGGTTTGGATTTTTTTAATCTTTTTAAGTGTTTTCTTAAGAAATTTTCCCAGATGATAGTCACTGTACTGAAGAATGAATAATGAGTATTATATTACACATAATCATTAAGAAAATCTGGGGCGAAATAGCGGGTGATGATATGAAAAAAAAACTGAGTCCAAATAATTCTATTTTATTACTTTTCTAAAACAATTTATTTTTCGTTATTTATTGATGTTGGATTCTTGATCCTCTCCAAGCAAAGAAATGGCGTAGAGAAAGGTGTTTTATAGAAATTAAGGCTGCCATAGCACGGATGCGGTGAATTGTGAGATTCACAAGATTGAACATAAATGATGTTATCACCATCTGGAAAAAAATGTTTTTACTGGTTTTATTTAAGTGAGGATGATGAACAAGTACACAGTCCACCTGATTTTTAGTGGATACCGCGGCCTATAGACATCATTTGATCATTGATTATGAAACATTATGCTGATGTATTTTCACCTTAACGTTATAAAAGTGGCCAGTTACACTAAGCTCCACTACTTATACCCACTACTGCTTAACCTCATTGGTAAGGCAAAGTCTATTCTTGTGCTTTACCGGTTTGATTTACCTATCAAAGCCTCAAGTGACCACGTCTCATTTAATTATGTATTTTTACATTAAAACCATATATATAAAGGTGCAATTGGATACTGTATTATTTTTGGTATGCACGTATATTCTATTAGTTTGGTTTAACCATTTCAATTAGCTACGATTCCTCGTAATGAGAAGTAGTCACCGGCAAAGGCTTTGTTACGAAAGCGTGTAAGAGAATGATTTATTATGAAATATTTATTTATTGTTTTCTAGAATTTTTTTTTCAAAAGACTTCACATAATAAATGTAACATCTTTATTTTTAAAATTATTATAAATTAAATCCTTTAATTTTTAAATGTTATAATAAGAAAGTCCTCCAGAGCGACATAAGGTCACGGCGACCGGTCTCAACGAAGACAAGCGTATGTGCTAGTACATGTAGACTCTCCTTTACCTTAATCGCATAGTCCGATAGGACGGCCATCGAACACAAGAGAGATCAATTGGAGCAGCAACGGCTACAGGTGCATTTAATCGGGGACTTCATTATCGGCAGTAGACCAAGCAATCAGTACAGACAAAGTATCATTTATAAATTACTTACGAGTTTTAGATACTGTTGAACCTTTTAGTAGCTCCAAGCAGAAAGCTGGTCTGGTATCAGGATATGTTGGATGATTTTCCATTATATTCATAGGCGTATGACGAGCCACTAGATTGTCTTTTTTCTTCTTCGTCTTTTTTCTGGGAGCTTGAAGTTCCCGTTTTTATAGGTAAATATCTTCTAAATGTGTTGGTTAATTGTTCCGTATCAACATTTGGCTGTTGAAATTGATAATAATATACCAAAGATTCAAAACTGAACCCTAGTAAATTGTAACTCTTAAAGTAGATTTTTCAATTTTACATTTGTCAATTTTACCTAATTCAAGATTGCTCCTTTTTCTCGTGATTTACAAAATTACAGCAAGGATGCTCGGGTGTGCACTGACAGGTACTATTATGATCGTCGACGTTCCCATGACACTTCTTGTTCTGCGGGGTTTTATTCTGCTTCTCCTGTTTGGCTCCTGCATGCACCAAGTTTTCAAGATCGTCGGTGTAAGGCATTACACAAGGCAGACATTTCATTTTTACGTTCTTAGGGTCCTTGCAAGCATCATCAGACATTATGGTGTTCTAAAAAAACTGTGAAATCGGTTACATGTTAAAATTTTGAATCGTTTTAAGTACCAAATGACAAACAATTTAGAAATTGAAAAAGCGTAACGATGACAGGTGAATTTGCTCTAATGAATAAAACTAAGAAAATGGCCAGTTGTTATTTCAAAGTTTTCAAAAAGTTTACTTCGTACAATTGCACTTTTTAACCTTGATATCCATACTTATAAATAATATTGAAAGGTCGGTCTGTAATTTTATACATGGTAGAGCCATGCTACAACTATATTGTGGTTGTAACACGAATGGGTCGGCTCTACCGGGGAAGGACCACGCTCTCACAGAATACCAGCGTAAAATAGCATCTTAATGATGCTGTGTTTCGTATGGTGAGTTTAGAGAACTGGAGACCCTGTTTATAGGAATAGAAAAGAGGCGTTCCATCTTAGTCCTCAGGGGTGACAACGCATTTACATTTTGATTATTCATCAAGGATAAATGTAGTTGTCTGTACATCCACTTACCACCAGGTGCATCACATAGTTGCTCGTTTCTCACTCTTATTCTATTCAAAAGAATGAAATAGATGACTTCTATTAAGCCCTGTAGTTTATTTGTATGCTATTAAGTCATAAATGTTCATTTTTAAAATTTTGTCCGTCCGTTCAGACTAATCTTTGGAGCAGCTGAACCGATTGTAGTAAAAATTCATAAAGAATAGCTGCTCATGCTGCTTTTTGCAGAAATGATGTATAATGATAAAATACGTTCGAAAATGAAAAAAAAAACTTTTTACTAAATGTTCACGATGTGCCCTTTTTGCAATTAGCGATTCAAATGTAATATTGGATTAAGACTTAGATTACGACAGTAGGCACTGATGAAAGATAATAGAAACTATTGAAATAAAGGCATAGTCAGGGCCATAGACTTAGTGCGCCAGTATATTCTAAGTCTGTGGTCAGGGCATTCGCAACTTTATCTGTCACTTTGGAACAGGGTGAAATATTTGACAGATTTCATAGAGGGATATAAATTACCTCACTGCGGGACCACTATGTCAAATGTTCGTATTCGTTTCGTATTCGTTCGTTTCGTAGGTGTCTAGACGTGAATAAAGCTAGTAGACCAGATGATACCAGCTACAGTTCTAAAGGCTTGTGCACCTGAGTTGTCTCCTGTGTTGATATGCTTGTTCCACCTCTCATTTAGGACTAGAATATTTCCAAACTCCTGAAAGCTGGCCAACGTTCAACCTGTTGCAAAAAAAGGCAACCGTGTCGATCCTGCCAATTATCGGACAATCTCAATTGCCTCCATACTCTGCAATATTATGGAGCGTATATTTAACGCCCACTTAATGGCATACCTAAAACAGAATGACTTCCTTAGTGACTGGCAATACGGGTTTCGCCGAAGTCGGTCAGCTGGGGACCTTCTAGCCACATACTAGCACTTGCTGTTTCCCTTGATGTCGCGAAGGCCTTTGACAGAATTTGGCACGCTAGCCTTTTGGGTAAACTTCCATGGTACGGCTCAACCTCTGATCTGATTGACTGAGTAAAGGACTTTCTGAGTGAACGATCCTTCCGGCTCTCGATGGCTGCTCATCCGATCCTGTGACGACTAACGTCGGTGTTCCTCAGGGGTCCGTTCTCTCCGCAATTCTTTCTGCTGCATATTAATGATTTGCTTATGCTCGGTGTCTATGGGTACGCAAACGACAGCACAGTTGTGGAGATATACCAACCAAGTCCTCGGGCTAGTCGGGATCAAATGCAGTCCGAAAGAGAAACTATGTTAGAGGGTGTGAATCTCATACTACAGACACTTTCCGAATGGGGCAATGCTAATCTTGTGAAATTCAACGCCACCAAAACACAAGCGTGTCTCTTCACTGCAAAAAGGAGCCAGCTCACCTTGGCTCCTTCTTTCCGCAATGTATCACTGGAATACACCGACTGCATCCAGTTGCTGGGGGTTGAGATATCCTCAAATCTGAACTTCGGGCGGTTCATTAGGTCCAAGGCCAAAGCAGCTGCACAGAAGCTAGGAGTCCTTACAAAATTGCGGCGTTACTTCACGCCGGGACATCTGCTTACTTTATATAAAGCGCAAGTCCGGTCGTGCATGGAGTATTGCTGCCATATATGGGCTGGTGCTGCAAAATGCCACCTAACAGCTTTAGACTCAACTGAAAGGCGTGCGAAGTGGCTTATTGGTGACCCGAATTTGGTAAAAACCAATCTTAACGGCTTCGAACACAGGCGCAAAGTAGCCAGCCTTTCGTTCTTCTACAGGATGCATTTCGGAGAGTGTGCGCAGGAATTGCATAATTTAAATGCATAATTTTCCTCCCTCATCCTTCCACCATTGGATAACCAGACGTTCGGTCAGTCTCCACCCTTTCGTTGTTGACTTACCACGCATTCAAACCAAACGGTTTGCTACGAGGGCGGCACTGAAAATTTCGGGAATCAAGGAAGTGACACAACATTACTATTTAAAAATGTATTTATTGCTTTTCGAAGTATTCTCCGCGAAATTTGACACATTTTTCCATACGATGGAACCAATCATTGAAGCAACCATTCCATTCGGAATTTGGGGTCTCCAAAATGGCCGTTTTGTAGGCGTCCACACAGCTTCTTCAGGTGATAAAAATCTCTGTCCACGCAATTTCTTCTTTATTTTAGGGAAAGTATAGAAATCATTAGGGCTTAGGTCGGCGGATGGTCTAATAATTCTATGTTTTCTTGCTCTAATAACTCTTTTGTTCTGTGTGCGGTGTGAGAACTCGCATTGTCGTGATGGAGGATGATGCGGCGGTTGCAGTTCTCTTTACGGAGTTCAGAAACGACCTGTGGCAAACAAATGCTAGCATACCATTCTGCATTAACCGTTCTTTGTCTCTCAAGAGGAATAGTCGTAACATGGCCGGTTTTGGAGACAAACGTTGCCACCCTTTTTTTTGCAACACTCCGTGAACGAACAATTTTTGTTGGCTTTAACTCATTTTCGAACACCCAAACTCATGACTGGTTTTTTGTTTCGGGTTCGTACGCATATATCCAGGATTCGTCACCTGATACGATGTTGTATACAGCATTTGAGGATCCTGCGTGGAATCTTTCTTGAGTTCTGACGAACCAAGTAACGCGAGCCGCTTTTTACTCTTCACAGAGCGAATGCGGTATCCATCGAGAAAACAACTTTTTTACACCTAATTGTTCATGCAAGATTACTTGTATTTGACTCATGCCAATGTCTAAAGTTGCCTGAATTTCGCGGTATGTCACATGTTGATCTTCCTCAATCAACTTACGCACAGCATCAACGTTTTCTTGGGTGACTGCAGTTTTTGGACGACCTTGACAGAGATCGTCACTAAGCTTGACACGTCCACATTGAAATTCAGCAAACCAGGGATAAATTGTGGTTTTAGATGGGGCTTCATCACCAAATGCAGAAATCATCCGGTCAACACACTCTTTTTGTGTTAAACCACTTCGAAAATCATAATAAATCATCGCTCTTAAATTTTCTCGAGTCAATTCCATTTTCTCAACGACTAAACAAGTTTGACAAAACCTTGTGACAAGACCGAGAATCTTTTTATAAATTAATAAATGGTATTCGATTTTTAAAACCAAGGAGTTTTCAATTAAAAAGATTTTAATATGACAGGAACAGTGGAAATACTCCATTCCCGATACTTTTAGTGCAGCCTAGGTACGTCGTTCATTATGCGTACAGCGAAGGGGTGGAATAAGTTGCCAGCATCTGTCTTTCAATCCGATTACGGTGTGGGTGTCTTCAAGGCAAGAGTGAATAGGCTTTTGTTAACTTAGTATGTTTAATTTAGTAGGTATGTTTAATTTTTTATTATTTCTTTTTGCAATTTTGACTACTGCTCTTGTTACTCTCTTGATCTGTCATAATATTTTGGTCATTTGAATGGCAGTGACAGATTATGTTTAAGGCAAAGGTATGTAGACCATTAAGCCTTACTAACATTGTTTTGTACCTTAACGAAATTTTGGATTAAATGTTGTTAAATATTACTTGGAATACTTGTATCTTGCTTGTGTTATCTTTTGCCATGTTCGTATTTTTTTTTAATTATGGAAAATTTAATTTTTCGTGTTTTCTTCTTTATAACTATCAGTCAACTTGAGGAAAGGTGGTTTGATAGAATAGTACCTTGTATTATACATATAAATTATATTCTAGCATTATTTATCTCGTTGTTTTTGTAAATATTTGTTTTAGGTATATGATATTTATCTCAAATTACTATGTCTGATGATGAAGTTTTTGTGTCAGCAAGTGATATGAGCTCGTCTTTTCACTCCGATGATGATGATTATAACTTTCAGGTCGCCCTCAGGCAACAAATTTCTGATACATTTATTAACTTTGTTTACTCCGATCTTAATATATGTCATATTAATGCGCAAAGTATTCCATATCATTATACTGAATTATTGGCTACTTTCTCAGCTGATCTCGTCCATGCTATATTAGTGTCCGAGACCTGGTTAAAACCTAACCTATGTTCTGTATCATATGGTCTACCAGGCTTTATACTGGTACGACGGGACCGAATTTTAAAGCGTGAAGGTGGAGGCGCTATTTACCTACATAGTCATGTAACCTTCAAAGTAATATCCACTTTTGATCAACAGGCTAATGACATGGAGTATCTGTTTCTTGAAATTAATTTAAAGGCGACCAAAGCTATTCTTGGAGTCGTTTACTCTCCTCCCTCTATTAATTATTTCCCCACTTTGGAATCTATCCTAGATAACATCTGCTCTGAGTACACACATCAAGTCATTATGGGTGATTTCAACACAGACCTGTTAAAAAACTCCTCTAATTCTCAAAAGTTACGATCCATCATAAATTCGGTCAACCTCTCCATTCTCCCTCTTAAAGCCACTCACTCAAATTTTTCTACCGCGGAT